TTAGCTCTGTTGGTGGTTTCTCTTGCAGTGCAGAAGCTTTTTAATAAGATGAGATCCCAGTTGTTGATTCTTTCTGCTAGTTCCTGTGCTACTGACATTTTGTTCATAAAGTGTTTTCCTATGCCAATGTCGTCAAGAGTTCTACCTAACTTATCTTCCCGAAACTTTACTGTTTCTGTCTTGATATTTAGATCGTTAATCCACTTTGATCTTAATTTAGTGCATGGTGAGAGGTATGGGTCTAGTTTTAATCTTTGGCAGGTTGAAACCCAGTTTTTCCAACACCATTTATGAAATAGGCTATCTTTCCTCCAGTGAGGGTGTTAACCACTTCTTACTGCATGCCTACCATATACTTATCTAATCAACCAGTATGTTTGAGCATCTGCCATATATGCCTATACTTACTCAACCAACATTTATTTGACACCTAATGTATATTTTATATTTTTATTTAGTTATTTATTGGGTCCTTACGATATATTCCTACATTTATTCAATCAGTACTTGTTGAGTACCAGTATTATGTGCCTCGACCTATCTGGGATTACATCCCAATTAACCCGTGGTGAATTGAAAATATCAGGAGTCAGAAGTGCATTTAGCTGGGTGTGGTGGCATATCCCTGTAATCCCAGCATTCAGGAGGCTGAGGCAGGAGGATTGCTGTGACCTCAAGGGCAGCCTGGGCTACATATTGAGTTCAAGACCAGCCTGAAATGCATAGCAAGACCCTGTTTAAAAAAAAACAAAACACTGTGCATTTAATACACCTACCCTACTTGGACATCATGCTTAGCCTAGCCTGCCTTTTTTGGGGTGTGAGGGTTGAGACAGGGCCTCACTATGTAGTTCAAGCTGGAACTCACTGTGTAGCCCAGGCTGACCTTGAACTCATGGAGATCTTCCCACCTCAGCCTATATGATTGACAATGGGGACACAGCCATGACTAAGAGAGACCCAGTGGCCACCCTCAGAGTAGAGGAGAGATCCCACCTTGGCTAGGAGATTGGAGTCTGGACCGTAGTCCCATCACTGGGGGCCGGTAATGTTAGTCACCCCTCATGCTGCCCTCCACATCCCAGCCGTGTGGCCCCCTGAAGCAGCTGGTCAAGGAGGACTTGCTGCAAGAAGTGACAGCTAAGCTGGGCCCTGAACAGTGAGTGGGCAGGCATGGGCTGGCAGGAGGAAGAAAGGAGGACAGGAAGGACGTTCAGGGTGGGGGAAGCGCATGTGCAAAGGCAGAAGCCGGCCCAAAAGGCAGGCTGGGCACCCCAGGTGGAGCTGGTCTCAGGCCTGGTGCTCCAGGCCCTTCAGCCCTGCTGTACCCGGGCTCTTGGCAGGAGGAGGCTGTGGAACGCTGCAGCTGCCCAGAGCCGCCCCGGGAGCACTTTGGACAGAGGATCCTGGTGAAGTGTCTGTCGCTCAAGTGAGTATGTGACCCCAGGGGTCCCAGTGCAGGTGTGTGCCTCAAGAGTGATGCCATGACTTGTGTGGCCCTGAAGCCCTTGGGGTCACCGCAGGCTTTCATTTATGTATTTATTTTTGGATTTTTGAGGCAGGGTCTCGCTATATAGTTCAGGCTGGCCTTGAACTCACTATGTAGCCCAAGGTGCCCTCAAATTTAGGGAGATCCTCCTGCCTCAGCCCCCTGACTCCTGGGATTAGGAACGTGTGGCCTGATGCTGGGCCCCATCTTTGTTATTTTAAGCTGCCAGCCCTTAAGCGCCCTCTGAGCCCCATTGTGTTCTCAGCCCTTCACCTATACAACTCATCTTCATCACGGCCTTGTAAAGTGGGTGCAGGTGGGGAGACTGAGGCACTGCACGGCAATGTCACTGTGGCCAAGATCACAAGACTGAGGAACCCAGAGCTGGGCACTCGCCTGCCCTCCTGCTGGGACCAGGATAAAGGGAGAGCTGATGATCCCGGCTCCCAGCCGCCTGAGGCCCCTTCCACATTGGCCTCCAGGAGCGGCAGAGGTGCGTGGGAACAGAGCTGAACAGGATGTGGACTTGGAAACCAGCCTGGCCCTGCTTCTCCCCACCCCCAGTTCCTGTCTGCATCACAGCAGGAAAGGGAGGTTCCATTCTGGCCTGAGGCCTGGATGGGCCTCCCACCCTTAAGCCAGTGGGTTAAAAACCAGCTCTGTGAGCTCCTTTAGTCATTCAACGAATGCCTGGTAAATAGAACATATAACCAGGCTGTGACCATATAGATCCTTGATGAGAGATGCATAGAGGATCTTGGGGCCCAGATTGAGGGATAGAGGAGCAGGAGGACCAGGGTAGTGTCCCTGGGGAGAAGACATCTAAGTTTAAGGGTGCATTTCTTCCTTGGGGGTGGGAAACGGTTAAACTTTAGGGCTCAAAAAAAAAACCTCTAGGGCTGGGGATTTAGCTCAGTGGTTCCGCCACCCACCTTGCAAGCACAAGGTCCTGAGTTCGATCCCCGGTACCAAAAAAAACCAACAACAACAACAACAACAAAAAAAAACCCTCTAGTGCCTCAGTTTCCCCTTTTGCCAAATGAGATGCACCTTTCCTTCAGTGGTGGTTTCCTTAAATGAGTTCTGTGTGACCCAGGGGCACCCAGAGACTTCCCATACACACTTCTCTTGGGCCGGGGAGAGTGTGGTATGGACGGTTGTGGTGTCAGGGAGAGGCCCCCATTTGTCTGCAGGTTTGAGATAGAAATCGAACCCATCTTTGGGATCCTGGCCCTGTATGATGTGCGGGAGAAAAAAAAGGTAGGAGCCCTCATTCTCTCCCTTCTTCCTCCTCATCCTCCCGGGACGGCTGTGGGCTTCCTGGAGGCAGTGACCCACTGCCCCTGTGTCTGCAGATTTCAGAGAATTTCTACTTTGACCTCAACTCGGACTCCATGAAGGGGCTACTTCGGGCGTATGGCACCCACCCTGCCATCTCCACCCTGGCCCGCTCCGCCATCTTCTCCGTGACCTACCCCTCACCTGACATCTTCCTGGTCATCAAGGTGCCCCCTGGGGACAGGCAGGGAGGTGATAACAGTGAATGCCAGGCGTGTCACCCAGCAGAGGATCCCAGAGGATCACCAGGGAAGCCCTGAGCCAGCCTGAGCGGGGAGAAATCCTGGAGGGCTTCCGTGGGGGAGGCAACACATGAGCTGTGACACCCCACCCCACCCCACCCCCGAGTAGGCAGCCTGGGACAAATGGCATCCCAGACACACACAGTAGCCCAGGGGTCCCCTGGGAGGCTCTCTGGTGGGTGCCACAGTCCCTCCTACCCTGCAGCTGGAGAAGGTGCTTCAGCAAGGGGACATCAGCGAGTGCTGTGAGCCCTACATGGTAATGAAGGAGGTGGACACGGCCAAGGTATGCGAGGAAGGTGGATCAGGCTGGAGGGGCAGGTGCCTGGCAGATTCTGTACTCTAGGGTTGCTGAGCTGGTGGGGACGGGGATCTCCCCCAGAACAAAGAGAAGCTGGAGAAGCTGCGTCTGGCAGCCGAGCAGTTCTGCACCCGTCTGGGCCGCTACCGCATGCCCTTCGCCTGGACAGCCGTGCACTTGGCCAACATCGTGAGCAGCGCGGGACAGTCAGACCGAGACTCGGACTCTGAGGGTGGTGAGTGGGCCGGGCTGCCCAGAGAAGGCGGGGCAAGGGCGAGGCTGCTGGGGAGAAGAGGTGGGGATAAGGTGGAGCTACCAGGGGCGGAGCTACCTAGAGGTGGGCGGGGTGGAGTTACTCTGGAGGGGAGTTGTGATTGGGCAGGGCTCCCGGGGAGATGAGTGGGCGGGGCTACCTAGTGGGAGACGGGGCCTGGAGGGGAGCGGGCCCTCTGCTGGCGGATCGCCTTACCGCGCAGGAGTCTGGCGTCCCTTTTGTCCCTCCCTGTTTTGTCTCATCACCTCCCTCCCTGACCATGGTCTCCAGAGCGCCGACCGGCCTGGAGTGAGCGTCGCCGTCGGGGGCCCCAGGACCGATCCAGTGGTGGGGACGATGCCTGCAGCTTCTCTGGCTTCCGCCCGGCCACACTGACTGTGACCAACTTCTTCAAGCAGGTGTGAGGCCAGTGGGGAGTGGTGCTTGATCCGTCCCCACCCCTTGTGGCTGCATTGATCCCGGGGACTTTTAACCCCCTTGGCTGGCCCTGGTTCACGGGGACCTGTCCTCTACAGGAGGCTGAACGACTCAGCGACGAGGACCTCTTCAAATTCCTGGCGGACATGCGGCGCCCATCATCCTTGCTGCGGCGCCTGCGACCTGTGACCGGTGTGTGGCGCACCCCATAAACAAGTGTTGTTCTCAGGCAGTCACACAACAAACCTGCACCAAGTGCCTACTTTACAGGCGCTGGGGACCCAACTGACCGACAAACCCTAGCCTCAGGCTGGAATCTCCAGTGGGGTCTACAGAGGAGAAATAGAATAAATAAGACACATGATGGGGGGGGACCTGGTGACTGGGACATGCGAGGCCTGAGGGAAGAGCTGATCAGACGTGGGGTGACAAGACAGGAGTTGGGTGACTTGTAGCTTTTTTTCTCCTTTTGCAGTACTGGGCATTGAACCCAGGGCCTTTGCACTGAGCTGCCCATCATCATATCAAGCCTTACCCAGCTCTTTTTCTCTTTTCTCTGGTTTTTTAAGACAGGATCTCACTATGTAGCCCAGGCTGGCCTGGAACTCATAGCGATCCTCCTGCCTCAGCCTCCAAGTGCTGGGATGACAGGTGTGCACCACCACGCCAAACTCATTTTCTATTTTGAGACAAGGTCTCAAAGTTGCCCAAGGTGGGCTTGAACTTTTGATCTCCTGTCCCAGCCTTTTACAGTTCAAGGATGACAGGCACGTGCCACCATCCCCCGCTTGACTTGTGCCTTTTGACCCTGAAGGACGGAACCATAAGCGGGCATCAAGGGAGAGACAGAGCTGGGCTCTGTGCCCAGTGGGTGCCCCTGGCCAGGAGGCTGCTGGACAGGTGCCAGCTGGTTCTCTCCTTCCCAGCTCAGCTCAAGATCGACATTTCCCCGGCCCCCGAGAACCCCCACTTCTGCCTGAGCCCTGAGCTGCTTCACGTCAAGCCCTACCCAGATCCCAGGGCCCGGCCTACCAAGGAGATCCTGGAGTTCCCCGCCCGCGAGGTCTACGCCCCGCACACCTGCTACAGGTACAGCCCTGGGCAAGGTCCCCCTTGGGCACACACATGTGAGAGGCACCCGGTGAAATGCACTGCTCTGCTTTAATGAGGCGAGAAGGAATATACATCCTTCCTCCTCCCTGCTCTCGGGGCTGCATCCTTTGCCTGTGCCCCGCCGGCTGCCGCCTCTGCCCTGTGCCCGGAACCAGAGCGCCCTGGCCGACCCCAGCAGACAGGCAGCTCCACCTTCGCAGGGCCGCATGGCACGTGGAGATGTCCCTTGGACACATCTCTTGCTGCACGACTGGTCCTCTGGTCCACGTAGACGTGCTCAGGCTGGGAGTGCCGCTGTGTGCAGCCTGGGGAGGAACACTCAACTCTGTCAGTCCATGCAAAGGGGTCCCTTGCAGTTGCCCTGTACACTGCCCATCCAGCTGCCCCTCGTGCCCTGTCCCGCCCCCCACTCACCGCTCCTCAATCTGCTGCAGCCATTGCTGCTGCTCTGCCATCTCTCGCCTCTGTCGCTGCATGTGGCCCGTGAGGACCCACATGAGGTGGCTCTGCTTGTCAGCATGAACCTGCAGGACAAGAGGAGAAGTTTAGCAGGGACCCTGTCACCTCCCGTGCCTAGGCCCTGCCCAGGCCCCCTGCTGTTCCTTGCTGCATCTATGTGATTTTGCAAGTCACTGATGCTTTCTGGCCTCAGTTTCCACACATGTAAAATGGGTCTCAGATAGGACTTGCTCTGTGGTGTTATGAACATCGTATGTTTTATTCAAGGGCTTCCAACAGTGCTGGGTAATTGTTGGGTGGTCAAGACAAGTCTCTGGATACTCTAATAATAAGCATTGACTTATTTTTTTACATTTGTTTTTTGTTTTTTTGAGACAGGATCTCACTATGTAGTACAGGCCGGCCTTGAACTCACTGTGTAACCCAGGCTAGCCTTGGACTCACAGTGATCCTCCTGCCTCAGCCTCCTGAGTACAGGGATGACAGGCGTGTGCCACTATGCCAAGCTATAAGCTTTTTTTTTTTTTTTTTTTGGTAATGGGAATTGAACCTGGGACCTTGCGCTGATGAGGCAGGTGGTGGCACCACTGAGCTAAATGCCCAGCCCAAAATTTGGATGCTTTTTTTTTGGTACCCGGGATCGAACTTGGGTCCTTGCGCTTGCACAGCAGGCAGCAAAACCGCTGAGTGAAATCCCCGGCCCTATAAGCATTTATTGAAGCCAGGTATAGCACACACCTGTCATCCTAGCACTCTGGGAGGATGAGCCAGGAGGATCACAAGTTCAAGCCCAACCTGGTTTGATCCTAGGTTCAAACCTAGGCCCTAGGTTTGATCTCCAGTTTCACCTCAAAAATTATTTAGAAGTATTTATTGACCATCTGCTGTGTGCCCCCCTCTACATAGAGTCCTTGGCTTTGCTGTGAAATATCAGCTGTTGCCCTTATTTGCAAATGGGCAAACTAAGGCTCGGAACAGGACATGAGTTGTGCCCAGGGTCATGCAGAATAGAGCTCGTAGAGCTGTCCCCTGGGCTCGAGGTTCAGAAGTGACCTGTGTCTGACCAGGAATCGGGAACCTCAACCCTCCCAGGGCTGGGCGTCCCTTACCTTTAAGGTCTCAAGTTCATGGTGGGCACGGCCCAGCCAGGCACCCCTCAGCTGGCCGTCCAGGCGCTGCACACTGTCCTGAAGCACCTGCTGGGCCTGGGCCACCTCCGCCAACTCCTGGGCCGTGGCCTTCGCTTGCAGCTGCAGAGTGTCTTCATCCATCTGCTCGGTAGATAGGAGGCCATTAGGAGGGCAATAAGCTCATCTTTGCCTGGTTTTAGCACTGAAAGCCTTGCATCTTGGGAACTTCTTCTATTCTGGGCAACCCAAGGCATCTGGACACCCTAGCCATTAACTACTCTTTAGACGCCTATCCACCCACAGCATCCCAGCTGCAGTGCCCACCTGTATTCCCAACAAGTTCGTGCGGAGTTCCTGAGTTGCATCCTGGCCTTGGCTGACTTGTAATCCCAGGAGCTGTAGTGCGTGGCCATAGAGGCCCAGGCTATGCCTGGCCTCCATCAGCCGTGCCTCGGTGGCCTTGTATACACTGTTGAGGGCCTGAGCCAACTGTAGGGCTCCGTGGAAGAGCAAGGTCAGCTCTTCATGCTGTGCCGGCTCTGGGTCACCAATGGGGGCCACTGGGGCAGGCCAGGCTGTTGTGCTCAGGACCCACAGGAGGCACAGAGTGAGCATAGGCATGGCTGAAGATCTGGAGCTGTGGCCCTACAGTGCTGCCTCTACCGCCTTTTATGTCCCCACGCTGCCATTTACCCTGGTCAATCGTTAACTGGCCACGCAGCTGCCCTATGTTGTGCAAGGCCTGGCTGGGGTGTCATGGTTGCATCAGGCAGATGTCTGGCCAGGCCACGATAGGATCACGCTGGCTAGGGCACAGGGCCAGCTGTGGGTGGGGGCCAGTGGGAGGGGACAGGCCCAGGCCACTGCTGGGACATCCTGGGGTCACCATGCTGAGTTTCAGTTCCCTCACCTGTACACAGGCAGAAAAAGTGATGGTAATAATAACAGTGGAAGCTGTGTAGAGTGGTGCAGGCCTGTAATCCAAGCACTTGGGAGGCCGAGGCAGGGGGATCTCAAGTTTGAGACCAGCGTGGGCTACATAGCAAGACCCTGTGACAAATAATGACTATAGGGACAAGGATTTAGCTCAGTGGTTATGGCGCCTGCCTTACAAGTGCAAGGTTCCGAGTTTGATCCCTAGTTCCAAACAATAATAATAATAATGACTATGATGTTGATGGTGTTGCATGAGCACCAGAGGTTCATGCAGAGCTGTTCCAGATGTGTATCTGCTGTCAAGGGGTACAAGTACCAGCTCCACAAAACTGCATGTGACGCAGAGGTCTTTATTGGCCTGCATGGTGGCTGGGAGACAAGGGATAGGTTAGAGTCCTCCATGAGGCCACACAGCCTGACTCCAGGAGGCAGAGAAATCTCATTCCATGCTAACTGCCACTTAACTCCCTGGATGACCAGGGCCTCAGTTTCCCTTCCTGTACAGTGGGGCTGCTGTGAGTCCCCCACCCAGCCTGCTCGAGAGGAGTAAATGAATGATTTCAAGCTGAGTGCTTGGAGCCTGGCACATGCTAGGTGCCACTCAAGTGTTTGATGTGGTGATTGTCACTGTGGTCATTTACCATCCTTCTGTTGTTGAGCCGGAAGGCCCCATGCCCCCATTGTACAGACAGGGAAACTGAGGTCCAGAGGGAGGTTGGGGCTTGTACAGAGGAAGGAGGCAGGACTCTGCACTTGGTCACTGGCTCTGGCCTCAGTTTCCCCACCGGGGAGGGCATTTGGGCCCAAGGTGCAGGTCAGCGTGGTGGGGATCAGGTGGCTGGCTGGCTGGGCACCACCCTGGGGCTTCAGCTCTTGAGTGCCCATCTGAACGCCCATCTGTGCTTCGGGGTGTCCACCTGTCCTCCCACGCCCTCTGCCAGTCTGACCTCCCGCATGGTTCCTGGGAGGGCATCACCCTGCCCTCAATACCTTGGGCTGTGACTCTGTGTCCCCAGCCTGGCTTGTCCCGGCTGCCTGGCCTCCGGTGCCCCCTTGGGGGTCCTGTCCCTGACCTGCCGCCCCTGCCCCGTAGGAATCTGCTCTATGTGTACCCGCACAGCCTCAACTTCAGCAGCCGCCAGGGCTCCGTGCGCAACCTCGCCGTGCGGGTCCAGTACATGGCGGGCGAGGACCCCAGCCAGGCCCTGCCGGTCAGTGGCTGAGCCCTGCAGGGGAGGAGCCGGGAGCGGACGTCCGATGGCAGATCCTTCACGTCCCCACTCCCGCAGGTGATCTTTGGCAAGTCCAGCTGCAGCGAATTCACCCGCGAGGCCTTCACACCAGTTGTCTACCATAACAAGTAGGTGGGGAGGGGACAGGGACACCGATGTCCACAGAGAAGGGGGTGGATAGGGTTCTGGACACACTGATCGGTCAGGGTGCTGAGCACAGGGGGAGGACCACGCCCAGGACACGGTTCCTGGGACCCACGGAGACAGGAAGAAGGGCGGTGGGAAAGCTAACAGAGAAGCTGAGGCACAGACAAGCACGTACGGGGCCGCCAATGTGGATCCCAGATTCCCAGCCCCATCCCCACCCGGGTCCCGCCAGGTCCCCCGAATTCTACGAGGAGTTCAAGCTGCGGCTCCCGGCGTGTGTGACGGAGAACCATCACCTGCTTTTCACCATCTATCATGTCAGCTGCCAGCCCCGGCCCGGCACGGCTCTGGAGACGCCCGTGGGCTTCACCGTGAGCTGCGCCCCTCCCCCCCCCGCCCCCTTCCTCTGTGCGCAGCCTCAGACCTGACCCTGGCCTCTCCCCAGTGGATCCCACTGCTGCAACACGGCCACCTGAGGACCGGGCCCTTCTGCCTCCCCGTCTCCGTGGACCCGCCCCCGCCCAGCTACTCCGTGCTCACGCCCGATGTACGTGCACGACCCGCCTCCGGTGCTGACCTGCTTCCTGCCTCCCTGTCCCGTCAGCTTGCAGCTGTGCCCCTGGGAGACTCGAGATCCTCCAGGTCCCTCCAGTGCCCTGCACGCCCATCACCCCTGCACGGATGGCTCTGTGTCTTACTGTCCCCTGTGTCCCTGCCTGCCCCTATCTGGCCCTACCCTCTGGGCTCCTGTCTCTCGCTAAGGTCCCCTCCTTCCTGCCTCTCTGCTCTGTTCCCCCCATTAACAGCCCTCCTCAGCTATTGTCCCCCAAGAGTACTCCAAGAACCGGGTGCAGTGGCACACACTTGTACCGCAACACTTTGGGAGGCTGAGGCAGGAGAATCAAAAGTTCAAGTCCCACTTGGGCAACTTAGCATGACCTTGTTTCAAAATAATTTTTTTTCTTGATATTTTGAGACAGGGTCTCACTGTGTAGTTCAGGCTGCCCTTGAATTCACTATGTAGCCCAGACTGGCCTCAAAGTTGAGGTGAACCTCCAGCCTCAGCCTCCCAAGTGCTGCTCAAAAGAAATATTGGAAAGGGCCGTGGAGGTAGGTCAGTGCAAAGGCTCTGGGTTCCGTCTCCAGTACTACACACTCACAAATGTATTTTCAGGGCTCTCACTGGCCTCATGTTCTTTTGCCCTGTCTCTTCCATTCCAGCCATCGTCAGCGCCCTCGGGGTCTCGAGTCTCCCCATTATGATTGTCCCGGCTCCTCTCTCTCTCCAGTGAACATTCACCCCATCTCCATCCTCCGTGCCCCCATGAACATGTGCTTTGTAGCCTGCCCTGAAGTTCCCCTTAGTCCGCTGGGCCTGAGCTGGTGGCAGGAGTTTGGCTGCTCCGCTGAGCTGGGCCATGCTCCAGCCACGGTGTCGCAATGGCAGGGTCCGCCCGGTGGCCTGACCATGGGGGAGGGTCGGCCAGTGCCCACCCCGCTCCTCCTCCCCCAGGTGGCGTTGCCGGGCATGCGCTGGGTGGACGGCCACAAGGGCGTGTTCAGCGTGGAGCTCATAGCCACATCCTCTGTGCACCCCCAGGTACAGGTGGGGTGAACCCCGCGATTGGGCAACAGTGGCCACCAGCCAGGGAGGTCTCGGCTTGGATCGGTGGATGTGACTTTGGTTAGCTGGGCTGGAAGCTGCTGACTTGGGCTGCCTGCACCAGGAGCTCTGCCTGATGCCCCGGGTCCCCCTCTCCACCAGGACCCCCACCTGGACAAGTTCTTCACTCTGGTGCATGTCCTGGAGGAGGGAGCCTTCCCATTCCGGCTCAAGGACACTGTGGTGAACGAGGGCACCGTGGAGCAGGAGCTCCGTGCCAGCCTTGCGGCCCTGCGCCTGGCCAGCCCTGAGCCCCTGGTGGCCTTTTCCCACCATGTTCTGGACAAGCTCGTGCATCTGGTTGTGCGGCCCCCAATCATCAGTGGCCAGATGGGTGAGCAAGCAGGGCTCAGTCTCTGGTGTCCCCATCTGGAAAGTGATCTTGAGTTTCCTCCAGTATTTATTTTTCTGGCCTCAGTTTCCCCATGTGAACAATGCCCCCCCCCCGCCAGTTCCTGTCCCCAGAGCATCCTCCAAGATCCCCTGCATGGTCACACGGTCCTTGGACATTAATGTCTTCCTCTGGAGGGTGAACGGGAGGGTGAGAGCCCTTGAGCCCTGAAACTTGACCTGTGCTCTGCCTGACAGTGAACTTAGGCCGTGGGGCCTTTGAGGCAATGGCCCACGTAGTCAGCCTTGTCCACCGGAGCCTAGAGGTGGTCCAGGACACCCGTGGTCACTGCCCAGTGCTGGCTGCCTATGTCCACTATGCCTTTCGCCTCCCTGGGGCTGAGCCCAGCCTCGCAGGTGGTGAGTATTGGTGAGAATCCTTGGGATACAGGAAAAAACAGAGAGAAAACAGCAGGTGCAAGGGCCCTGAGGCTGCACAGAGTTAAGTGATTGGCAGCTTGCTGAAGAGATAACATCTCACGCTCTTTTCCCCCAGTCATGTGGTCTCTACAGCTGACTGGCAGCTGATTAGCACCTTGTTTGGTGGCTTGGAGCAGGGACTCGAGGGGCATTATTCTGTGACTTTCTGAGCGCCCCAAATAGCTATGAAACAGTAGCTCTCTGTGCCCACTTTACAATGGGGAACCTAGAAGTGCAGAGGAGCACAGTGACTTCAAGGACAGCCAACTGGGAAGAGGCGGGGTTCAGAGGGCAGGCAGGCTATGGCTGACACTTCCCCTCTGTCCTCAGGGGCCCCTCCAGTGATGGTGCAGGCTACCACACTGTCCCATGGCTCTGGCCGCCCCAACAGCCTCTATCTGACCCGTTCTAAGAGCATCAGCAGCAGCAACCCCGACCTGGCAATGGCCCCCGGCTCGGTGGATGATGAGGTTTCCCGCATCCTAGCCAGCAAGGTAGGGCGAGGGCCCTGGGATCTGCAGCCTTGGTGTCCTTGGCTACCAGTTGGGCAGGTGGAGGTGCTCGCTGGTGGAAGGCGAGAAACAACGGAGCCCTCAGAAGGAGGCTGAGTCCCAGCAGCGGACCCGGCTATGGCGGCAGGGTGGAGGGCTGGAGCTCCGACTCAGTGCCGGGTGCTGCACTCCGTGACTGATGCAAGGATGGGCGGCATGATCAGGTGGAAAAGGTAGTGTGTATGTGATGTAGGAGGTCATACACACATGGCACCATGCACACGTGTGCACAGGGCATATACACTCATACCCCATGCCCCTGCGTGCGTGAGCTTGTATGTGTGTGTTCCCCATGCACACGTGTGTTCAGGTGCATCTACAGGTGTACGGACATATGTGTGTTCTCCGTGCACATAGGTACACGGGCTCATAGACTCCTGTGCACACATGTGTACATGTACTCAGGTGTGTAGACTATACACACGAGCCCCATGCACATAAGTACATGGATGCATACACACTGGCTCACATGCCATGCATACATGCTCAGGTATGTACACATGTGTATTTCACTCAGAAATACACACATGGGTACATGTGCATATGTGCTGCATGCATATACATACTGAGGTACACATACACATTCACCCTTGCACATAGGCACACAGACACATGTGTACCCCATGCACGTAGATTCTCAGCATATGCACAAGCATCCCATGTGTTCATAAGTCCCGTGCCCCATGTGGACTCCTTATGCATGTACATGGTGCACATGTATCTCATGCTCATGTGTGCATCAGTGAGTATCCACATGCACCCCACGTGCATGTACGCAGGTAGCATACCCCCACATCTCACACACTCACATATACAGGTGCACAGACCTATACACGCCACATTTGTGTGTACATGGCTTCTGTGGACACAGGTGTGTGAGGTGTATTCACAAATGCATATCACATTCTGTGCTCACAGAGATGGCCATGTACGCACGTTCACAGCATGCGCATACGTACACACACGCAGGCACATTTTCCAGGGTTGTGTGTGGCTGCCTCTGTCTGGGCACACGTCTGCCCCGGGGCAGTGTCCGCGCTTGGGGTTTCCTGCTGCTTTCCTCACCCTGCACCCGGACGCCACCTCCTCTCTGTGTCTCCAGGGCGTCGATCGCTCACACTCCTGGGTGAACTCTGCTTATGCTCCCGGAGGCACCAAGGCTGTGCTGCGGCGGGCGCCCCCTCATTGCAGGGCCGACCCCAGACAGGTGCCCGCCTTCCCTGGCCCTGCACCCATGTGACACTGCCTCAGCATGGGCTCCTCAAATGCACCTTCCTGCCTGTGGCCGACTAACCCATGGGCCTGCCCAGAGCGGGCCGCGGACCCTCCTGCCTTTGTCTGGGGCTGTAGAGGCTCTGTCACAGGCCAGCCTTTTGCTGCCAGACAGCCTCAGCCTCAACACAGACAGGAAGCACGGGGCGGTATACAAATAACATGTGACTCCCACGCACATCAGCCACCTGTAACCTCACCGCCCTGCACGGCCTATTTCACTCCCTTTAATCCACCTGTGTTCCGGGCCTCTCAGCTGTCTCTTTGGTATAGGCAACCCGTGTGGTGTCCAGGGCATAGCACTGGGCCTCTGGGATCTCCCAGCCCTTTTCAGACAAAGGTTCCCCCATTCTGTCCCTTCCCGGGTGTGGGAGGGGCTTTGCCTCCAGCAGACCTAGGCTCAAGTCCCACTGGCTGCTACGAAGGCCTCCCCCTGGGCCCCACGCGATTGCCTCTCTCTGAGTCTCCATTTCCTGTTTAGAAAATGAAGATTGCACTCTGCATTCTCAAGTGTGGGGAAGACACTGTCAGGTGCGCAGCACCAAGGTCCTGAGCTGGGCCCAATATGGCTGAGGCGCCCCAGGCTGGGTTTTACTGTGAGGAATAGTTCTGTGGCCCAGCCTTGCCCCGAGCTGCCAGCTCCCTGGGGAAATAGACACCCATCAGGCTACCCGTTGGGTGAATTGAACGGTGTCCAAATGCCTGGAAGGGGCTGGCCATGTGGCTCAGTACTGAGCGCTTGCCGGGTACACACAAGGCCCTGGGTTCCATCCCCAGCACTGCAAAAAAAAAAAAAAAAGACTGAAAGGAAGCAAACAGGAAAAGTGCACATACAGATTGGCACCAATCTTAGAGGACACCAGGTAGCAAGAGGAGGCCACAGGGCTCAGCTGCCCTGCACACCTGACCCCAGTCCTGTCCCAGGTCAGCAACCAGTATGAAGGCCACCTGCACTCACAACAGCCTGCTGCTGTGGGAGTGCTTTCCTGGATTGCAGGAATGTGGAAATCTGTGTTCACTCTACTGTTCTCCCCCAGCATTTTGGGGGGCATTGGAGATTGAACCTTGGCCTCTTGCATGCTTAGCATGTGCTCTGCCACTGAGCTGTACCCCCAGGCCCTCAGCCAGCATTGTTTTTCTCAGTACCAGGAATCAAACTGAGGACCTTGTGCTTGCCATGCAGGTGTGGTGCCACTGAGCAAAATCCCTGGCCCCTCAGCCAGTATTTTTAATAGGGCTGACCTCAGCATCCCCAGTTCCCCAGGGGCAGCTGGGCCCTGGAGAGCAGGAGGGCGTGACAAGTGGCACCTTTATCCGGGCACACCTCAGACCATAGGAGCTGGCAGACCCTGGAGAGCCAGGGGCCAGGCCACCTCCACCACGGCACTGCTTTCCTGGCCAGTGGCCTCCCTGCCTGGCCAGCAAAGGAGGAAGGGACAGTGGAGCTCAAGCCCTGGTACCCATTTCACAGTTGGGGTCAGAAGCCTGGCAAGGCCCGAGGCGAGGCTGGAGCAGGACTAGAGCCTCATCACCATCTCATCTCCTGTCTTTATCACTTTCCTCTTCCATCTCCTCCAGTGTCTGCACCTGTCCCCTTGCACCTCCACACCCCCAGCCTCCGACCACACACACTCTTCAGGATGGATGGTGATTGTTTTTTTTGTTTTGACTTTTTTTTTTTTTTTAAATTGAGACAAGGCCTTACTATGTAGTCCAGGCTGGCCTCAGACTCAAAGTGATCCTCCTGCCTCAGCCTGCCGAGTGCTGGGATGACAGGCACATGCAACCATGCCTGGCTTTCTACACTGATCTCATCTACTCTAGCCATGCTCTCTGCCACTCATCCCTGGGCCAGCCTTTGTCCACACCCGCCCCTGGCTGTCTCCACGCCCCTCACCGGTGGGCTCCTTGTCTCCATTCTCATCTTTTGGGCACACTCCCCTTCACTGGGACTTCATCCTTGTCCGCTCTCCTCCTTCTCATCCTTTGTTTCCCCGCCACAGACACAGCCCTTTCTCTTCATGAATGCGTCTGAGGCCGGTTTTCTCATCCGACCCATTGTCTCTGCCCTGTGTACTCCCAGCCACCCTGGCCACTCCGTGTGGTCTCTTCTCTCCCGTCCGCAGAGCCCCACGTCCCTTCCTGTCTGCCTTCGCTGCCTGTTCACAGCCGCTGTGCATCACCTCAATCCATTTCCTGTTGCTATCACAAAATACCCAAGAAGGGGTCCTTTATAAACACTGGAAGTTAGCCGGGTGTGATGGTGCACGCATCATCCCAGCACTGAGACAGGAGGATCTCAAGCTCAAACCCAGCCTGGGCAACTCAGCAAAACCCTGTCTGAAAATAAAAAATAAAAATAACAAAGCTGGGGACGTAGCTCAGTACAAAGGCCCTGGGTTCAATCTCCAGTACCACAAAAAACAAACAGAATAATAGTTTATTTGATTCATGGTCTGGAGGCTGGAAAGCCAAGGGCGTGGCACCAGCATGTGGTGAGAGCTTTCTTGTTCCCTTATGACAGTGACATGTTGAGTCTTAGTGGGGTGCCACCAGCGCCACACGGGAGCCCTCATAACTTGTAATCCTGGTCACCCAGAGGCCCCATCCACACACTGTCAGCGTGTGGCCTTGGGGTCAAGTTGGCAGCACAGGGAGGCCAGGGATACAGACCGCAGTGCACATCCACTTGGAAACGCTTCTCTCCCTGGTCGGATCCCCCCTCGCTCTTCCCCCCACATCCATGCGGCCGCATCTCCATCCATCCATCCATCCATGCAGACTCATCCCGCACCACCTGGCCCTGGTCAACTCCCCGGCCACCCTGTCCTCTTCATCCCATCCCGTCCACCCTAGGCCTTGGACCGCAGCTCTAGCCGAGCCTCTTCCTACCTCGAGGGCTCCTCCTCCACCCCACCAGCCACCCAGCCGAGACCCACTGTGCAGAAGGTAGTGAGGGGGACAGGTGGGGACTCTGTTTTTGCCCTGGACCCACCAAAGGGATGCAGAGCTCCTGCCCCATCCAGAGCCCCGGCAGGGAATGGGAGACTGACTCATGCTGTCCCTGTCCTTCTGCATGGCCTCTTGCTGCTCCACACCCTGAGCTGTGTCATCCCCTACCGTGGCCTCCCAAGTGGGGTGGATTGGGAGGGGTGGCACTTTGCTCTCCATGACCCCTGGCCCTGCCTGCAGCTGCTGCACGAGGAGCTGGCACTGCAGTGGGTGGTCAGCGGCAGCACCGTGCGTGAGGCCGTCCTGCAGCACGCCTGGTTCTTCTTCCAGCTCATGGTGAGACTCTTCTCCCTGCCTAGCAGCAAGGGACCCCCCAGGGTAGACCCTCCGGAAAAGCCTCAAGATTACACCCAAGACCCTTACCTAGAGATGAGGGGCAGCCTTCTGTGGTGGCACATACCCGTGATCCCAAAACTTGGGAGGCTGAAGCAGGAAGATCGCCATGAGTTTGAGGCTAGCCTGGGCTACATAGTGAGACCCTGTCTCAAAATAAATAGAATGAGGGGCACTTAAGAAAGTGTCACCCTAAAAAGGCCCCTTGAAACTCCCTGGAGAGGACCCCTCCCATCCTTGAGAGACTGGGGAGAGACCTCTGCCCAGAAAAGGGACCTCCTGTCTCCAAAAGATATCCCCACACAAGATCATCAGCCTTGAGACCAGTCAGGGATCCTTCAAACTCAAGGCCACAGGGCTGGGGATTTAGCTCAGTGGTTTCTCCACCTGCTGCGCAAGCGGAAGGACCCCAGTTCGATCCGGTAACAAAAAAACTCAAGGCCGCAGGCCCCATCCTCTGCCCTGCCCGGAGATTGCATAAGCCCCTCCCTCAGCCCCTCTGCTTTCCATCACTCCCACTGACAAGGACCCTGGAAGTCTCAGCTGTCGGCTTCCTCAAGCTCCGCCCATAGGCAAAAGCCCCACCCACACTTCCAACTCCATCCTCAATCTGCAGCTACAGGCTCAGGAACTTACACCCTTAGTCCTTAAGCCCCGCCCCTTGTGTCAAATTCCCTCCACCCACAGTCCTTCAAGTCCCACCCATCATCTCAAGCCCCGCCCCCGGTCCATTTGCCCCACCCCTAGGTGAAGAGCATGGCACTGCACCTGCTGCTGAGCCAGCGGCTGGATACACCCCGAAAGCTACGCTTTCCTGGGCGCTTCCTGGATGACATCTTGGCCCTCGTGGGATCTGTGGGCCTGGAGGTCATGACCCGAGTCTACAAGGTGAGGGATTTGGGGCCTCAATGGAGTGGCCGAGGGAGGATATGGAGTCGGCCATGTGTGTGCGCCGAACTTGCCCAGCGCCTCCCCACAGCCAGGCCGGAAATCTGGTTTACTAATCTGTTTCTTGAGTACCTGCGGTCCACACAGCTCCCTGCTGGGTGTAGAGATAACAGTAAACACAACAGACCAAAACTTGTCCTCTTGGAGCTGAGTTTGAGACTTGAATGGGGTGGGGTGGGGGGGGTGGGGGTACAGTGTGAGCAGTGTCTGGGGAAAGAGCTTTCCAGGAAAGAGGAGCCGAAAGTGCGAAGGCCCTGAGGCAGGATGGCCTGGCCGGTGGGGAGCTGCTTGTGTGGCAGGAGTGGGGTGGACAAGGGGGAGAGCTGAAGTGGAGAACAGGGAAGTCACTGGGCAGATCCATCCGCCCTTAGCATATCAGTATACAGTAAGTGCCTAGTACATGCATGATGCTATAATAATGATTATCTAGGGCCAGGATCACCAACCTCTGGACTCCCCCCCCCCCGTACCAGAGATCGAACTCAGGACCTTGTGCTTGCAAGGCAGGCAGAGGAACCACTGAGCTAAATCCCCAGCCCAGGATCACCAATATCAGTTCACACAGTGGTTAGGGGGACAAATTATCATTGTAATCATATATGCCAGGCATGGTGATACACTCCTGTAATTGCAGCAACTCTGGGAGGCTGAGGCAGGAAGATTACAAGTCCAAGCCCAGCCTGGGTAATTTAGCAGCCTAATGAGTCCCTGTCTCAAAATGAAAGAAAAGGGGACCTGGGGGGTGTAATTCAGGGCAAAAGTCTCCAGTACTGCCAAAAAAAAAATACAGAACAGTTACTGAGCACTTCCTATCTGACACTTCAGATGGATTGTATTCTTAAATTCTCATGGTCACCCGTAAGTTAGTGATAGTAACCTTTCACTGATAGGGAAACTGAGGCAGAGAATGAATGGCCAAATGGATGGAGCTTTGTTCTCTGCACCTTTGGTTGGGAGAAGTGGCTTCTGCATCTAGACAGGGGCAACCGTTGCTCCACTCCAGCTCGCAAAATCCTGCAGGAATGTGTCCATGCCGAATCCAAATTGTCTGGTTTTTAAGAAGTGGGACTTCAGTGTTTGGTGGAAATTTTCCAGATTTTTGAAATGCCATCCTGGCCCCAGCCAACCCTTGCACAATCCCGTGTGACTGAGGGCTCCTGGCTGGTCTCAAACAGCTTTGTGCACTGGAGATTTCCCGAGCACTGTGAGCAGCATCAGACAGGCTGCAGGGGGCACAGTGCACCTGAGACACTGTGGTGTCACCACCGGTGACCATAGCAGCCCCCGCACACAAACAGACCCAGCCTCCGGCCCCCTGTGAACTTAGTGTTCAGTCAGGTTCTGTGTTTTGTTTCTTTGGAGGCTCAGGGAATTGAAGGCCAGGGAAGCTCACTTGTGAGCATGAGGGTTGGACACGGCCCCCAGCCAGGCCTCAGGGACATAGCCTCCTTTCTGTCGCTCATATCTTCCTGGAACAGCCTGCTTCTGGGCCTTCACACTGACTGTTCCCTCTGCTCAGAATGCCTTTCCCTGGTTAACTTTCTCATGCTTTGGGGGGTCTCTTGAAACATTTCCACCCCACCCCTTCCCTGTCATCCTATTGTCTTTGAAACACACAGTATTCGCTGTCTTTTTCCTTTTTTTTTTTTGTACCAGGAACCAAATGCAGGGCCTCGCGGTTGCCAGGCAGGTACTGTGCCACTGAGCTACATCCCCGGCTGAAACAGTATTATCTAGAACTCTCTTTTTCTTTTTTAAGTACTAGAGTTTGATCCCAGGGCCTTCACACTGATCTACATCCCCACCCTTTTAATTATTTATTTATTTATTTATTTGGGGGTTTTTTTTGAGACAGGGACTCACTATGCAGTTCAGGCTGCCCTTGAACTCACTGTGTGCCCAGGCAGGCCTCAAACTTGCAGCAATCCTCCTGCCTCACTTCCCAAGTGCTGGGATTACAGGGATGCGCTACCACTCCTTGCTTATTTTTTAATTTTCAGACCTCATTTTGCTAAGTTGCCCTGGCAGGACTTGAAGTTGCAATCCTTCTGCCTCAGCCTTCCTGAGTGTTGGAATCCAGGCATGCTCTACCATGTCTAGCTATCTAGAATTCTTTAGTTAGGGCCAGAGATTTAGCTCAGTGGCAACGCGCCAGCGCAAGGTCCTGAGTTCAATCCCCAGTACCAGAAAAAAAGTAGTAGCAAATAGAATTCTTTTGTTTATTGACTATCTTCCCCACAAGAAACTCTGATGGGATTGTCTCCCTTATTCACAGGGCTTGGTATACCGTCACTGCTCAATAGATGCTTATTTCATGATTGTTGAAGGTGTATCAAGGCAGAGATTAATTTATTTCAACACAATCACAAGTGCATTAAACAGAACCAAAGTTTATTTCTGGGCATATTTCATAGGCTACAAGGGGCACCAAAATATGGGCCTAACCCTGGCTGTCATCCTGGCAGTTCACAATGGTGCCCCTATATCAGGCATTGGAAACAGTAAGAAAAGGAAAACATCCCCCTTCCATTTAAGCAGCCATCCCACTTCCTGTGAAATCCTATTGGCTAGGATATGGTCACATGGTTACATTCAGCTGCAAAGGAGGCTGGGAATTGTAGTTTCTATTCAGCTCTGAACTCGGCACTGAGAGGGAGAGAAGATCTTGAGTTGGTAGCTAGTTTCTGCCGTGGGTGTGTTACTCAGATCCAGGTGAGAGAGGAAAGGAGAGTATTCAGAATGGAAGGTGAGGAAGGGAGAGAAGTCAGGGAAGAGAACCAAAGAGGCCCTGGGTCTCTGGAGCTCAAGGATAAGGTTGTCAAGAAACCTAGGGCTGCCAGGAGTGGTGGTGCACCCCTGTCATCCCAGCACTTGGGAGGCTGAGGCAGGAGGATCGCTGAGAATTCAATGCTAGCCTGGACTACATAGTAAGACCTTGTCTCAAGAAAGAAAAAGAAACCTAGGGATCTGGGACCATTGTGCATCTCATGGAGGTCACTGGTGGCCTTGGTGAGAGCCTGGTGAAGCCATCTGGATGGACTTGATAGGTCCCTGTGTCCCCAGGACCTGGAACTAGCTGAGCGCCTCAATGCCAGCCTGGCCTTCTTTCTCAGCGACCTCTTGTCCTTAGTGGACCGTGGCTTTGTCTTCAGCCTGGTCCGAGCTCACTACAAACAGGTGAGTGGATGTGGCCAGTGGTGGTGGGCGTGGCATGTGCCTTGGGGTGGGTGAGGTGGGCAGTGTGGGGGCGTGGCCTATGACTTCACCACTTGGGCTGTGAGTGGAGTGATATTGGCATCCCCATCGACCCCCTCTCCCCCGAAAGGTGGCCACGCGACTGCAGTCAGCTCCCAACCCCGCAGCACTGCTGACCCTACGCATGGACTTCACCCGGATCCTGTGCAGCCACGAGCACTATGTGACCCTCAACCTCCCCTGCTGCCCCTTGTCACCCCCGGCCTCGCCCTCCCCCTCTGTATCCTCCACCACCTCCCAGGTGAGCTGGCCTCCACTTCTGCTGCCTCTCCTTGACCTCAGACTTTCACCTCCAACCCATCTCTTTAGATTTTGACCCCATGTCCTATGACCTTACTGATAGGTCAACCCTGACCTCTCACCTCTGGCCATTTTCCCCATGCCTGCTGTCTTCAGTGACTTCCAAGATGACTTTAATGGTGACTTCTCACCTCTGCCCCTTGCCCGTGGTTTCCTTTCCATTCCTGATTTCTCTCCCTACTCTGCAGAGCTCTACCTTCTCCAGCCAGGCCCCAGATCCCAAGGTGACCAGCATGTTCGAGCTCAGTGGGCCGTTCCGGCAACAGCACTTTCTGGCTGGGCTCCTGCTAACGGAGCTGGCTCTGGCTCTCGAACCTGAGGCTGAGGGGTGAGCATGGGTCCTGTCCAGCCCCAGAGCAAGTGAGACAGGGCGGGAGCCATGTCTGCCCACACTGAGCACACCATCATCCCACAGGGCATCCCTCTTGCACAAGAAGGCCATCAGCACCGTGCACAGCCTGCTTTGTAGCCACGACACTGACCCCCGCTACACTGAGGCCACTGTGAAGGCCCGAGTGGCCGAGCTGTACCTGCCACTGCTGTCACTTGCCCGGGACACCCTGCCACGGCTGCACGACTTTGCTGGTCAGTAGAACAGGGAGGGATAGGGTCATATGATCCAGGGGGTGGATCAGAAAGGAATAGGAAACACCAGGTGTGATGGCACACACCTGTCATCCCGGTCAGTACCTGAGAGCCTGAAGCAGGAATATCACCATGAGTTTGAGGTCAGCCTGGCCTACATAGTGAGTTCAAGACTACCCTGACCTATGTAGGGAAACCCTGTCTCAAATAAACTGGAATAAATATAATAAATAAGTAAAAAAGAAAAGCACAGACATTAGGATCAGCAGAGCAGGTTCAAGTTCTACCCAGGGGCCCTAGAAAGCCAGTAAGCACCCTTAGGTTTCTCACCTATAAAACAGGGACAGGAATGGTTTCAGGTATGTCACAGAGTTACCTAAAAATTTGAGCTGTAATACCAGCATATTGACAGCCCACAATAAATGACAGATATTATGATATTTAGGGTCTTCTGGGAGAGGACCTGAGGAGGGGAGGGGAAACATCATGAGAGAGGAAAGTTGGAGTCCTGCGTTCACTCATTCATTTATTCACCAAATATTCCTGGGTGTGACTGAGGCACAATAAAAAATGATGGTAGAAGCAAATTTGGGATTTGTGGGTTGATCTCTTTCATCAGTATTGGGAAATTTTCAAGTTATCTCTTGAATTATTTTTTCTACCTCGTTTTTTCCTCTTCTCTCCTGGGACTCCAATAACACGTACGTTAGACCTTTTGACCATGTCACATACCTGCTGTTTGTTTTTCCCCCTGTTCTTTGTGCTTTCTGTGCTGCAGTTGTGAAATTTTCTGTTGTGTTGTCTTTAGGGTCACTAATGATGTCTTCTTTTAAATCCATCCATTGTGTTCTTAATTTCAGATATTATATTTTTCACTTGTAAAATTCCTAATTTGATTTTTGTGTAGATTCTTTTTGGGGGGGCAGGTACTAGAGATTGAACTCAGGTCCTTGCGCTTGCAGGACAGGCGGCAGAACAACTGAGCTAAATCTCCAGCCGTGTAGATTCTATTTTTATGTTGAAATTCTCTACCTTTTGACCCCCCTTGGTTTTTGCCCATCTTTTCCTGATTTTTATTTTAAAGTCCTTGTTTGCTGACTTCAGTATTTGGTCATCAGTGTATCTGTTTCTATTGTCTCTTCCTCTCTCTTATCTGTCATATTTTCCTGCCTTGTAATTTCTTACCGTGTATAAAAGAACCACAGGGTGGAAGCAATATTTTCTCAGTGAGGGTTCTAATGTTCTCTGAGGCAGATTGGATGAGGGACCAACCACCTCAGTCCAGTCTGACATTGAGTTCAGCTGGGCTTTAGTTAGATTCAGATTACCTCTTGTTTCAAAAATCTCTAGGGCAAGTTAGACATGGAGGCACCACACCTATAGTCCTACCTGCACAGGAAGGTAAAGCGGGAAGATCATTTGAGTTCAGGAGTTCAAAGCCAGCCTGGTCTACATAGTGAGACCCTGTGTCAAAAAACAAAAACAAACAACCAAACAAAAGCACAAGTAGAGAGTTCTGGAAGTAGACAGTCAGAGACCCCAAACTGGCCTGGGGAGGGGGGTTGATGTCATGCTGGCCTTCTGAATGTTGAGACCCAGGGCCTCATTCACTCCCCCCACTCCCCACAGAGGGCCCAGGCCAGCGGTCAAGACTGGCCTCCATGCTGGACTCAGACACAGACGGTGAAGGGGATGGGGGGGGAACCATCAACCCCTCTGTGGCCATGGCCATCGCAGGGGGGCCCCTGCCCACGGGTTCCAGGACCAGCATCTCCCATGCCCCACCCACTGTGAGTACCAAGCTTCTCCCCTCAGACCCTGTCACGTGAGAGACCTCACGCCCTGAGGTTTGAGTTGGCCAGTGTTCATCTCATGTAGGGAGATGAAAATCGGCTGTTTTTTCTCTGAACCAGGCATCTCGGCCAGGCTGTCCCCTCTCTGCAGAATCAAGCCGGACCTTACTGGTGTGTGTGCTATGGGTCCTAAAAAATGCAGAGCCGGCCCTCCTGCAGCGCTGGGCTGCTGACCTGGCCCTGCCTCAGCTAGGACGTCTCTTGGACTTGCTGTACCTCTGCTTGGCTGGTTTCGAGTACAAGGTTCAAAGAGGTGGCCGGGGAGCTGTGGTGGAGGAAGAAGGCTTAGTATATATCCAGGGCTCTGGGGCATCACAAGCTGGCTGTAAAGGGGTGGACTGCTGGTGCACAGGCCCTGGATAAAGGGGTGGAGTGAGCCAGGCATGGTGGTGCACTCTGTAACCCCAGGACTTTAGGAAGCTGAGGCAAGAGGATCACAAGTTCAAGCCCAGCCCGGGCAACTTAGTGACTTAGTGAGAGCTTGTCTCAAAATAAAAAAGGGCTGGGGATGGAGCTCAGTCTGAAGGTCATCGGTTGAATCCCCAGTACAGCAAAAAAAGAAAAAAGAGGACAGGGTGGCGTTTCTGTGCTGAGGTGTTTTCCTTGAACCCCATCTCTCTGCCCTCCCAGGGGAAAAAGGCCTTTGAGCGCATCAACAGCCTCACATTCAAGAAGTCTCTGGACATGAAGGCCCGGCTAGAGGAGGCCATTCTGGGCACCATCGGGGCGAGGCAAGAGATGGTGCGGCGGAGCCGTGGTGAGAGAACGGGGCCCACCCTCCCCAGTCAGCCACTCCGTTCCTCTGCCAGCTCACGTGTCCCAGGAAGAGGTCCATGTGTTGCCAGGCAGTGGCATGTGCCTGTTTTCCCAGACTCCTGGGAGGCGGAGGCAGGAAATTGAGCACATTTGAGCCTCAGCCCGGGCAACTTAACAAGATTCTCTCATGGTAAAAAGTAAAAAGCGCTGTGGGTATAGCTCAGTGGTAGAGTGCTTGCCTAGGCTGAGCAAGATTCTGGGTTCCACAGCACTCCAAAACAGAAAAAGGAAAATGCTGAGTGTGCTGATGCATGGCCTGTGATCCCAGCACTCTGAGAGGCTGAGGCAGGAGGATCACAAGTTCAAGCTCAGCCTGGGCAACTTAGCGACTTAGTGAGACTCTGACTCAAAAGATAAACCTAATAGTTGTAAAAGGGGCTGGGCTGTAGCTCAGTGGCAGAGCACTGGTTCCATCTCCAGCATCACAAAAATTTAAAAAAAAGAAGTTCATATGTCACTGCCACACACATGAGTGTATCTAAGAGTGTGCATTTCTTGGCCGGTGTCGGCTTCCCCGTGGCCCACTGTTTTGTCCCATATGAGGATTTTCCTACTCGGGGGTTCTCCTCCTGCTCTCATGTCCAGTTCTTGCACATGTATGAACACCTTCTCACACATCCCAGAGAGGAGCCCGTTCGGGACCCAGGATAACGTCCGCTGGCGCAAGAGCATCACACACTGGAGACAAACTTCGGACCGTGTGGACAAGTAGGTGTGGGTGGCAATCAGTGTGTTTCCTGTTACTGTCACAGACTGCCTGAGGCAGGCGGCCTCATAATGATAAGATGTTTCTGAGGGGTAGAGCACTCACTTAGCAGGAGGCCCTAGATTTGATCCGCAGCACTCCAGAGAAAGAGAAAAAAAAATCAGGAAAAAGAAAGGAGGTTTATTTAGCTCTCAGGTTTGGAGGCTAAAAATCCAGGGTCAGGTGGCCCCATCAGTTTGTCCCTGGTTGAGGACTTGGCAGAAGGTATCATGGCAGAGGGAATGTGTCAGAGAAGAGTCACAGGACAGGAGCTAGAGTGCTGGGTGGAACCAGGTTTGCAGTTTTTCTTCTTGTTGCTGTTGTTTTGGGTTAGGTTTTTGTTTTTGTTTTTTTGGTACTGGGGATCGAACTCAGGACCTTGCACTTGCGAGGCAGGCGCTGGAACCACTAAACTAAATCCCTGGCCCCTGTTTTGGGATTTTTATTAACTGATTGATTGATTGTTTTTTGAGTCAGAGTCTCACTATATAGTTCAGGCTGGCCTCAAATTCTCGGCGATCCTCCTACCTTAGCCTCCTGAACACTGGCATAAGAGGCGTGTGCCACCATGCCTGACTATTACTATTTTGGTTTTTTTGAGACAGGGTCTCACTGTGTATTCTAGGCTGGCCTTGAACTCCAAAGTCTCCTGCCTCAGCCTTGTGGGTGCTCAAATTTGATCTTTTTATAACAACCTGCTCTCAAGAACTAAAAGGTCAATAAAAAATAAAAAATTTAAAAATTTTTTTAAAAATGAACTAAGAGGTCAAGGCTGGTGTTATGATGCACACCTGTAATCCCAGCACTCAGGAAGCTGAAGCAGGAGGATCGCTCTGAGTTCAAGGCCAGACTGAACTACATAGTGAGACCCTATTTCACAAAACAAAACAAAAGAACTAAAGGGTCCCTTGGGCACTGCCTTAATTCCTCACAGCTCATGCCCCAGTGACCTAAGGACCTTCCGAAAGTCCCCACCTCTTAACACCACACTAAGGACCGAGCCTCCAGCACATGAGCCCTGGGAGCCCACCCACACCACAGCCAAAGCTTAAAGGCATTTTCTGGGTTCAGACCTGCTCCCCCACCCTGACAGCCAGGGGAGAGAGGGAGTTTGGACATGCCATGGGATCTGGCCCCGAGCAGCTTCACAGACCCTCACCTCCCCTCCAGGAGCAAGGATGAAATGGAGCATGAGGCCTTGGTGGACGGGAACCTGGCCACAGAAGCCAGCCTGGTGGTTCTGGACACACTGGAAATCATTGTGCAGGTAGGGCTCAGTCCAGCGGCTCCCTAACCTCTGACCCCACCTGTGTCCTAAAATCTCTGGCTCCATGTTCCTTGTCCCTTTCTGTCCCCATCACCAACACCTGGCTTTCTTACACCCTCCCCCAAAGACAGTGCTGCTCTCGGAGGCGCGGGAGAGTGTGCTGGGTGCAGTGCTGAAGGTGGTGTTGTACAGTCTGGGGAGTGCTCAGAGTGCACTCTTCCTGCAGCATGGCCTGGCCACCCAGCGGGCCCTGGTGTCCAAGGTGAGCACAGGGCCATACTTACAGCAGCAACTACTATGTGCTCAGCACTGTTGGGAAACAGAGGCTCCTTGGCTGCAGCTCACACAAGAGGGAACTAAGGATCAGAGTGGCCAAGTCACCTGCCCAGGTCACACGCCAAGGGGGTCAGGACTCAGCTCAGTGGTAGAGGGCCTGCCCGTGATGCATGAGGCAAGCCCTGGCTTCACTCTCTAGTACTGCAAAAATGAACAAAAAACTCCAGCCAGGCAGGGTGGTGCACACCTGTAACCCCAGCACTCTGGGAGGCTGAGGCAGGAGGATCACAAGTTCAGGTCCCACCTGGGAGACTTAGAGAGACCCTATCTCAAAATTAAAAGAAGAAAATGGCTGGGGATGTAGCTCAGTGCCAAGGTTCTTGGTTCAATCCCCAGCTCCCAGTACCAAAAATAAAGAAAGAAAAATAAAAATCTGGATCTACTGTTGGCCCAAAAGGGCAGAACACAGATTCTTCTGCCCAGTCGCCATGTGGGAGCCTCTGAGCCTGAGTGGGGGGACTGAGCAGCTTCCGTCTGTCCTGGGGGCAGTTTCCAGAGCTGCTATTCGAAGAAGACACAGAGCTGTGTGCCGACCTCTGCCTGCGGCTCCTGCGACACTGCGGCAGCCGAATCAGCACCATCCGCACACAGGCCAGCGCCTCACTCTACCTCCTCATGCGCCAGAACTTTGAGATAGGCCATGTGGGTGGGGCAGGGGCGTGGGCTGTGGGTGGGTGTGGTTTATTGCAAGGGGTGTGGCCTGCATGGGGCAGGGTGTGTCCTGTGTGGAAATAGGAGGCGTGGTCCCCGCAGGGCTATTGGTCGGGTGGGCGTGGTCTATATGGCGAGGGCGTGGCCTACACAAGGCTTCAGGGTGGCTCCCTCCTGGGCCAGGCAGGGCCTGGAAGGGAGAGAGGGAGAGAAGGAGCAGCCTCCAAGTGCTAGGCAGGAAGAGGGGTCAGAGTGGGTGCAGGAGAGTGGACAGGTGGAGGATGGGTGAAGAAAGGGGTACAGGTGACAGATGGGGGGGCTCGTGGGGCAGAACGGGGTAAGGGCCAGGCAGGTTGAGCAGACGTGGGCTCTGGGGAGCCAGGCTCCCAGGACTGAGCCGTCCCTGCCCCTGCAGAACTTTGCCCGTGTGAAGATGCAGGTGACCATGTCTCTGTCATCCCTCGTGGGGACGACACAGAACTTTAGCGAAGAGCACCTGCGACGGTCCCTCAAGACCATCCTCACCTACGCCGAGGAGGATGTGGGGCTGCGGGACAGCACCTTTTCGGAGCAGGTGACACCGGTCCCCCTTTCCCCACCTAGGGCGCGCTGAGGTGTGCCCGGCCCTTCTTAGCCCTGATGCCATACCCACCCCTCACTGATCCCTCATTGTCCCCGGCTGCAGGTCCAGGATCTGATGTTCAACCTGCATATGATCCTGACCGATACTGTGAAGATGAAGGAGCACCAGGAGGACCCGGAAATGCTCATCGACCTCATGTACAGGTGAGCGGTCCAGCACCAGGTAAGAGCAGAGGGGCTGAGGGACAGAAGAGGAAGGGGACAGAAGATAAGAGCAGGTGCAGAGTGGCAGGAGCCAGGCCTAGTGGTGCACGCCTGTAACCCCAGGACTCTGGGAGGCTGAGGCAGGAGGACCGCAATTTCTACTCAGCAAGAACCTGTCTCAAAAAAAGTTTTTAAAGGGGCCAGGGATTTAGCTCAGTGGTTATACTGCCTGTCTTGAAAGCTCAAGGACCCGAGTTCAATCCCTGGTACCAAAAAAAAAAAAAAAAAAAATGAAACTATATTACATATCGTTTCCGAGTTAGGTCGCCGGTACCAAAAAAAAGAGTTTTTAAAAAGGGCTGCAGGTGTAGCTTAGTGGTAGAGTGTCCCTGGGACAGATAAAAGGCCAGACAGGTAGGGGACTGGGTGAGAGGGACAGGTGAGAAGGTGGCTGGTGCCTGGGGCAGCAGGAGGGTTAACCCTTGAAGGGCCTGACAGGCAGAGGCAGGCGAGGCCCTACTCACTGACGCCCGCCTATCTGCGCCAGGATTGCCCGGGGCTACCAGGGCTCCCCCGATCTTCGGCTGACCTGGCTGCAGAACATGGCCGGGAAGCACGCCGAGCTGGGCAACCATGCAGAGGCTGCACAGTGCATGGTACACGCAGCCGCCCTGGTGGCTGAGTACCTGGCACTGCTCGAGGACAGCCGCCACCTGCCAGTGGGCTGTGTGTCCTTCCAGGTGAGTGCAGCGGGTGGCAGGCTGGGAGGGGAAGGCCCGGGTAGGGTAGAGACGGGCTCTGATGCCGCCTCCCACCCCAGAACATCTCTTCCAATGTGCTGGAGGAGTCTGCCATCTCCGACGACATCCTATCGCCGGATGAGGAGGGCTTCTGCTCTGGGAAGCACTTCACGGAGCTAGGGCTTGTGGGCCTGCTCGAGCAAGCAGCCACCTACTTCACCATGGTGAGATTTGGGGACAAAGGACACTGGCTTAGCTCTGGTGGTGTCCTTTCTGGGCTGCGTGTTTAGAAACAAGGAGAAGCAGTCAGGCGTGATAGCATATACTTGTAATCCTAGCATCTAGGAGGCTGAGGCAGGAGGATCTCCATGAATCTGAGGCTAACTGGACTACATAATGTGTTGAAAGACAGCCTCAACTATATACTAAGACCCTGTCTCCAAAAAAAAAAAAAGACAGAAAAAGAGACAAGGAGAATTGGCCCCCTCAGGAGCCCAGTTACTGTCTTCTCCCAAGACTTGCATACATTTAGCTACAACTTAACTGGGTGTATGGGGCTTGATAGAGGCTCTCCCTGTGTAGCCTAGGCTAGCTTCTTTTTTTTTTTTTTTGTACTGGGGATCGAACTCAGGATCTTGCGCTTGCCAGGCAGACACGGCGCGTTAGCTTCTAACTTTGTGATCCTCCTGGCTCAGCCTCTCAGAGTACGGGGATCTAAATTTTAATTCTAGAAACTTTAAAGTATACGTAAAAAGAAGAAAGGGAGTTTTTGTCTTTGGTTTCTCTAGCTATGTTCTGTCTATAAAACCAGCCTCCTCTGCCCAGTTTTGAAGCTCTTCCTTTATTTTCTGGGATACAATATATTTATGGAGATAGGTAGCTTTTTTTGTGGGACAGGATCTCACTATGTAGCCCAACCTGGCCTTGACCTTGTGGTGACCCTCCTGCCTCAGCCTCCTGAGTGCTGGGATGACAGGCGTGCGCCCCCACGCTGGGCTGTGGTTGCCTACTTTGAATCAGGATTCATAAAGGGACGACCACAGCTATGGCTGACATGGGTCCTTCTTTTCTTTTGGTGCTGGGGATGAAACCCAAGGGCTCACACATACTAGTCAAGTAATCTACCACTGAGCTACCCTCAGTCCCTCTTCTTAAACATTTTTTCCAGTACTCAGGATTGAACCCAGGGTGATCTAGCGCTGAGCTACATCCCCTGTGTGTGTGTGTGTGATTGTCCTTTGCACTGAGCTACATTCCTTTTCTAAAATGTTTTATTTTGAGACAGAGTCATGCTAAGTCATCCATCTGGGTTGAACTTGCGACCCTCCCTCCTTAACCTCCCACAGTGCTGGGGTTACAGGTGCACACCACAGCATCCAGTTCCTTTTTCTGTTTGTTTTTTGTTTTGTTTTGAGACAGGGTCTTGCTGTGTAGTCTAGGCTGGCCTTAAACTCACGGCAATCCTCCTGCCTCAGCCTCCAGAGTACTGGGATTACAGGCATGTGCCACCACACACCTGGCTCTTCTAGCTGTTTTGAAATGTATGATAACTTTATTGTTAACTGTAGTCATTCCCAGGCAATGGTGACTTGTGTCTTAAATCTCTTTGGTTTTCTCTTTTTCTTTTTCTTTTTTTCAGTTAAAAGACTATTTTTTAGCGGGGCATGGTGGCACGCACCTGTGATTCGAATACTCTGGGAGGTCGAGGCAGGAGGATCACAAGTTGGAACCCAGCCTGGGCAACCTAACAATTTAGCAAAACCCTTTTTCAAAGTAAAACAAATTTTAAAGAGGTTGGATTGCATCTCAGTACAAAGGCCCTAGGCTTAATCCCCAGTAAACACAAAACAACAAAAGGCTATTTTTTAAAGCACTTTTTAGTTCACAGCACAATGAAGGGCAATTTCCCCTCTTCCTGCCAGCACACCCAGCCTCCCCCACGATCAGCACTCCTCACTGAGGTGGGACGTGTGTCACAATCAATGAAGCTACATTGCCACATCTGTCTCCCAAAGTCCATGGTTCACACTGGGGCTCACTCCTGGGCTGGGATGTCTGTGGGCTTGTGACACATGTGTCCTTATGTCCTTACCATTCTAGGATCATACAGAGGAATTTCGCTGCCCTGAGTCTTTGTCTCTTTTAATCTAAAAAGAACAAAATGAGGACTCGGTTTCCAGTTTTGTTTGTTTGTTTTTTGAGACAAGGTCTCGCTATGTAGCCCAGGCTGGTCCCAAACTCATAGGGATCCTCCTGCCTCAGCCTCCCGAGTGCTGGGATGACAGGCGTGGGCCACCATGCTCTGCTTTCCTAAGCCTCTTATTCTCACTGCTGTAATGGGATTTCCTCCTCAAACTTGCCCGTTGGTATGAAAGCAGCTCATGCCTTCTGCCTCTGACCTGTTGGAGAACGGGACTCCCAGGGGTCTCCAGCTTTTGCGTGGCTGCTTGTGCCCCTCAAGTATCCCTTTACCTGTCTCTCAGTTCCTCACATCTTTGGGAGATGGTAGTTGGATCTGGGCCCCAGTGAGATTCAAGGTCAGGGTTTCCGGCAATATTTTGTTTTAGGTTTTTGCGCTGCTGGGATGAACCCAGGGCCCCGCACCTGCTAGGTAAGCGCTCACCACTGAGCTGCACCCCCAGGCCCCTCGGCAATACTTGCTTTTCTGTGTTGCCAGCCCCCTCTAGTGATGCTGTATACTTTGCTGCGTCTCCCTCCCGAGACAGACGCCTCGGGGGTAGGGGGAGGAGGGACACAGACCTTCTGACAGTCAGCGAACACCAACACCGGAGAGCACGAGCTGGGCTAGGCTGGATGCTGGCGCTGGCTGTGGGCAGGGGGCAGCAGCAAGTGGCAGTAACCAAGCGCCACTGAGCATGGGGGTGAGAGGCGCCAGGCCAGATGGGCCGTTGTTAAGGTTGTGGCCTAGAGAAGCCCCTGCCCAAGAGGCTCCGTTTCCCCTCTGAGACATGGGAGAGAAAAAAGGAGTTCTTGGGCTGGGGAGGTAGCTCATTGTGACGCCCTGGGTTCAATCCCCAGTACCGCAAAGAAGAGAGAGAGCAGAGCTCTCTGTAGGGCCCAGCAGAAAGGCTGGGGCCCTTGGGGTGGGCTTGGTCGGGGAGGGCCTCCGGAGGCAGCGCTGGAGAGGGGCAGGGGGACACGGGGCAGCATAGAGGGAGTGGGAATCCTGACCCCCACGCCACCCCAGGGCGGGCTGTACGAGGCCGTGAACGAGGTCTGTAAGAACCTCATCCCCATCCTGGAAGCGCACCGGGACTACAAGAAGCTGGCGGCGGTGCACGGCAAGCTGCAGGAGGCCTTTACCAAGATCCTGCACCAGGTGGGCCCGGGTCCCCACGCCCCGCCCCTCCCGCCCCGCCCCCGCTGACCCGGAGTCTCCTCTCCCCGCAGAGCTCAGGCTGGGAGGTGAGTCCCCCTAGCTGCCTGCTGGACCCCAGGAGGCCTGGTCAGTGCGGTCGGCGACCACTAGGGGGGGCGCGAGGAGCACGGTCGCCCCCCCCCGGCCCCCCCCCCCCCCCCCCGCGTCCCCTCCGGCCCCGCCTTATCCAGGGCAGCCTGTGAGTCACCGTGCTGGGCGCCTCCGGGGACACCCTCCCCCTGCGGCGGCCGGCGTGGGGGTGCGGGGGGAAGTGGGGCTCCCAGCCGTACCCTAGCTGTCTCTCTGGGTCTCTTGTATCTCCCTCCATCTCTGGCTCTCCCCGCCTCTGTCCCTCTCTGAGATCTATGCATCTCTCATGGCCTTTGTCCCCCGCCTCCCCGACCCCCAGTTTCCCCCGGGATGTCTGCTCCCCATCTCTGGTTAATGCCCCCCCATGCCGCCTCTTCTCTTCTATTTTTAGGCAGCTCCTACTTTAGGGAGAATTTTCTGGCCAAAGATGGCAGGAACCCAGGGCCCTGGCAGGCAGGCTGGGTGGGGCGGTTGGAACCGGAGGGTGCCCTCCCTCCGGGATCCCTGGTGTCCCCGCCCATGGAAATTCTCCTAGGGCAGCAGAATCAGGAGGGGGGGTTGACCTCTGATTTCCCCCGTGACTGTGTCTCTGTCCACCCCTCCACCACCTCTGGCCCCACCGTGTCGGCCCCACCCTGCCGGGATCTGCCGTGGTGAGTGTACCTGAAGTCGCCCACTTCTCTGCCCATGTGGGGGTACCCTTGGGTGAAGGGGGGGACCCCTCCTTCCAAACATAGTGATCGGGAGGCTGGGAAGAGGAATGTCTAGGACAATGGAGCCAGAACCTCTGTCCAGCTAAGTGTGGTGGCACATGCCCGATATCCCAGCACTCGAGAGGCTGAGGCAGGAAGGTCACCACAAGTTTGAGGCCAGCCTCAGATACACAGCGAGACCTTGTCTCAGAAAAACAGCAAAAAACAACAGAACCTCTGTCCCAGGGCCAGAGACAGCCAGACCACCTCGTAGCCATTCAAGCATTTATAGAGTACCTGCTGTATGCCCAGTCCCCCAGACAGACACTGGAACACAGATGTGAGCCGGAGAGCCCTGTCCTAATTTGGTATTAGGACCCAGATGATGAAGAACAGTACAAAGTGTGGGCAAAACAAAAAGAAATTTAGGAGCTGGGCATGGTGCTACACGCCTGTCATCCTAGCACCCTGGGAGGCCGAGGCAGGAGGATCACAAGTTGGGGGCCAGCCTGGGCAATATAAGAAAACTTTATCTCAAAATTTTAAAAATGGGCTGAGGATGTAGCTCAGTGTGAAGGCCCTGGGTTCAATCCCCCTGTACCAAAAACAAAAAAAAAAAGAAAGAAAGTTTTAGCTCCGTGGTTTCACCGCCTGGTGCACAAGATAAAGGACTCGAGTTCGATCCCCAGTACCGAAAAGAAAAAGGAAAAGTGGAGATTTGTGTTCAACAGAGATAAATTTGGGGAAGGTAGGCTGGGAAGAAAGAGCAAAGGTACAAACGGTTGGCTGGGGGCCAGGTCCCCACTCCAGTATTTTCAGGGTCCCCCTGCTTTTGCAGATGCTTCGGCATTTCTGGGGTTTGGGGATTTTGTTTTGTTTCCTTTTGTTTTTGAACCAGTCTTGCTATGTAGCCCAGGCTGGCCTCAAACTCACTGCGACAGGCTGCACCACCACGCTAGCCTCCACCTTCCTGAGCGCCTCACACCACACCCCGTCCTGGCGATCGTGGGGTCCCCTTGTCCATACTCACTTCTTCCCAGCCTCCGTTGCTGCCCATGCGTCTTGCCCGTGGGGCGGCTGGGTACCTGCCTCCCAGCAAGGACTCCCGATCCTCACAGCCCCAGCGCGTGTTCGGGACCTATTTCCGCGTGGGCTTCTACGGTGCACGCTTCGGGGACCTGGACGAGCAGGAGTTCGTGTACAAGGAGCCTTCGATCACGAAGCTGGCTGAGATCTCGCACCGGCTGGAGGCACGGCCCGGCTGGGGGTGGGATGGGGCAGCAGCCGCCAGGGACTGGAATGAGGGCTGCACCCCTGTACCCTGAACAGACCCCGTGTCCCTAGGAGTTCTACATGGAGCGGTTCGGGGACGACATAGTGGAGATTATCAAAGACTCTAACCCCGTGGACAAGTCCAAGCTTGACCCACAGAAGGTGGGTCTCAGATCCTGTAATCAGTGAGATGCCAAGTACTGGTTCCCGCAGACCTTCCAATTCCATTTTAGAAGCTGGGTATAGTAGCACAAACCTGGGAGGCTGAGGCAGGAATATCTCAAGTCGGAGGCCAGCCTGGGCAATTTAGGGAGATTTTGTCTTAAACAGGCGCTGGGTGTGGTGAGGCACACCTGTCATGCACCACAACCTGAGAGGCTGAGCCAGGAGGACTGCCATGAGTTCAAGGCCAGCCCGGGCTACATAGCAAGACTAAAAAAAATTTTTTAGGGCTGGGGATTTAGGCTCAGTGGTTCCACTGCCTGCCTCACAGGTTCAAGGACCCGAGTTCAAACCCTGGTACCAAAAAAACATTTAAAAAAATTTTTTTTAAATTAATGCAATAAAAGTAAAAGAGCTGGGGATGGGGGATGTAGCTCAGTACAGAAGACCTAGGTTCAATCCCCAGTGCTAAAAAAATACTGTTTTTCTGCACAACTCCAAATCTTATTTTTGGGTCCCCAAATCCATTCCTCCGGGGACTCCGGGGAGTCCCAGCCCTCCAAACAGAGGGTCTCCGGAGAGCCCTCACATCAAAGGCCCGGGGCCCAGGACCTCCTTGACCCGACCCCTCGCCCCAGGCCTACATCCAGATCACCTACGTGGAGCCGCACTTCGATACATACGAGCTCAAGGACCGCGTGACCTACTTCGACCGCAACTACGGGCTGCGCACCTTCCTCTTCTGCACGCCCTTCACGCCCGACGGCCGTGCGCACGGCGAGCTGCACGAGCAGCACAAGCGCAAGACGCTGCTGAGCACGGAGCACGCCTTCCCCTACATCAAGACGCGCATCCGCGTGTGCCACCGCGAGGAGGTGGGGGTGGGGTGCAGGGACCCCAGAACCGGCCTGGGGGACTGTGGGGACCACACAGCTCCAAGGGTGAACCCCAACCCTGCCGAGGGCCCAGAGTTAGAGGCCCCCCCTCCCCGGGGTCATCCCAGCACTGAGGAGGCTAAGGCAGGAGGGTCGCTACAAGTTGGAGGCCTGCCTTCCCTACACGAGACCGTCTCAAAAAAAAAAAAAACCTGGGCCCCTCTCCTGCCCTCCCCGGGGATGCAGCGTCCTCCAGCTGGCTGGGTCGGGACACCTTGCTCCCTCCCGCCCCCTGCAGACGGTGCTGACCCCAGTGGAGGTGGCCATCGAGGACATGCAGAAGAAGACGCGGGAGCTGGCCTTTGCCACGGAGCAGGACCCGGCTGACTCCAAGATGCTGCAGATGGTGCTGCAGGGCTCCGTGGGGCCCACTGTGAACCAGGCACGGCCTCGGGGCGGGGCAGGCCGCCCTAGGGGCCCTCGAGGCACCATGCACAGGTCCTCACCAGGCCCCTCACCCCACAGGGGCCCTTGGAGGTGGCCCAGGTGTTCTTGGCAGAGATCCCGGAGGATCCCAAGCTCTTCCGGCATCACAACAAGCTGCGGCTTTGTTTCAAGGACTTCTGCAAAAAGTAGACCGGGTGCCCCTCGCTATGGCCCCTCTGCCTGCCTGACCCCAGTATTGCCCTCCCTTGCCCACCTGGCTCCCCAAAACACGGGCCCCCATGGTGGTACCCCATCAGTCAGGGGGACCCCGACCCTCCCATCTCGGTGTCCCTGCTGGGTGCCAGCCCCTGAGTGCCCCCTCGCCTGGCCCGTAGGTGTGAGGACGCCCTGCGGAAGAACAAGGCGCTGATCGGGCCGGACCAGAAGGAGTACCACCGCGAGCTGGAGCGCCACTACTGCCGCCTGCGAGAGGCCCTGCAGCCCCTGCTCACCCAGCGCCTGCCCCAGCTGCTGGCCCAAGTGCCAGCGGGCCTCAGGTGGCTGCCCCAGGCCCCCACCCTGGAGAGCACAAGGGGAGCCAGGCCAAGACTTCTTTTTTCTCTGGAGACAGGGTCTCAGTATGTAGTTCAGGCTGGCTTTGAACTCACTGTGTAGCCCAGGCTGGCCTCAAACTCATGGCAATCCTCCTGCCTCAGCCTTCTGAGTGCTGGGATGACAGGTGCCATCCTACCCGGCATTGCAGTGAATTTTGAGATAACCTGGGAATCCCACAGCCAGATAGGACGGATCTGAGGGGGGCAAGAGAGATCCTAGGACCCTTGGAGGAGGTGGGGGGGTGGGGGGGGCTGGTGGCCATGCTGAGGCTCCCCCTTCTACCCCAGGAACTCTCTGAACAGAGCAAGTCTCCGGAAGGCAGATCTCTGATCCCACAGTGACCAAAGCTATACCCAGGGACCAGCACCTGGTCTCGGCTGTCTGCCCTGACAGTCATTCCTGCCACCCTCGGCCAAGGGGTGACCACATTGTCTCCAGGGCAGGGCCCTCTGCCTCTCTGTCCCATCTGTGTGCACTGATACCTCTACCTTTTTTAATTTAAAAGTTTTTATATGCAGTCTGTGTGCTATGTGTGGTCCATCCCCCCTGCATCCACAAGTCTTCCCACATCCATTTACATGTGAGAACCTACCAGAGGGCCAAAAAAGCCAGGAATGGTGGTACACGCCTGTCACCCCAGCACTCGGAGGCTGAGGCAGGAGGATCACTGTGAGTTCAAGGCCAGCCTGGGCTACCCTGTCTCAAAATCCAAGAACCTACTGGGTACCAAGGACAGTTTGGTGACAACAGACACAAATCCCTACCTACTGCGGCTGACATTATAGTGGGGATGGTGATAGAAATAATATTAATATTAAGTCCCTGCTCAGTGCTTGGCCTGGACCAAATGGCTTCCAGAAAGTTCTTGGCAAATGTAGGCCACTCCCTGGGGTGGAGGTATAGCTCAGTGACAGAATGCACCCCAGGTTTGGTGTCTAGCGCCCTCCCCTTCCAAAATGTAGGACATCTAATTCTTTGGTTTTGTTTTTTGAAACAGGGCTGTGTTGTATAGTTTGAGCCGGCCTTAAACTCACTATGTATCCTACGCTGGCCTCAAACTTGCAGCGATCCTCCTGCCTGGGCCTCTGCAGTGCTAGACTGACAGAGGTGCACCACCACACCCAGCTCAAGCCACCCAATTTATGGGCCTTTCTACCTGAGGGCCCTCCATCAGGCCCCTGCTTAGTGGTCAGGGGATCTCCTCAGCACCTCTATCAAGTAGGCGACATGAATGGCCCCATACAGCAGATGGGGAAACTGAGGCAATAGCACAGTAAAAGCCCGACTGGTCTGGGATCGGAGTCCAAGTCAGCCTGACTCCTGCGGCCCAGGCCTCGGCAGCCGCCCGTGCAGCCTCGCGCCGAAGCTGCCCCCTCCCCGCCCCACAGCGGTCACTCCACCGCGTACCAGGCCGGCGCTGGGCGGCTTCCACCCTTGGCCTTGGGGGGGGGCGTGGCCTCCCGCTGCCGCGGCTGCGCGCCCTCCCCCCGCTGGACCCAGACCAGCCCCGCCTCCACGCAGCCCCGCCCTCGGAGGCCCAGCGGGGGAGGCCAGCGGAATGGGATCCCGCCCCTGTGACCTGAGGTGGCCACAGTGGGGAGGACAGGACGAGATCAGACCGACTCAGACGTGCACACACTCACTTGCCGTCCAGGTGAGCGCGTGTTCACCCAGGACTGCACTGCCCCGCCTCCCACCTCGCACGTGAACCCCAGGACGGCCCCCTCCAGCGGTGAGGGGGTGAGGCCGACACGAGGGGCGTGTTCATGTTGGGGCGTGGCCGGGGCGTGGCCACCGAGGCCCAGGCGGCTGGGCGGACGGCGGTGCGCGGAGGACGCAGGGGCGGCGGGACACAGTGACGGCGGCAGCCGGAGCGCGCCAGGCGAGTGGGACTCGGGGCTGGGTCGGGGTTCGAGGCCGGTTCACGGTTCCGGTGTAATCATCACCTACCCAACCCTGGGCAGGACCTCGCGGGTGCCCAGGAACCGCTCCCTGCAGCTCCACTCTGTGCACCAACTTTGGGAAGTTGGAGCGCCATGGCCCCCGCGCCATTGAGGGGTCCTCATGTTTGACCCCGGCCCTTTCCCCCTCCTCCCACACCCGTCCCTTCCTCAGCCCTGCAGATCTCGCTCATCCCTGCCCTCCTCTCCCCGCTCGCCTGTCTCTGTCCCTCTGCCCCGTCCCCCTCCCTCTGCCCTGTCCCCAGGCCCCAGGCAGCGGGGAGGTGTCCGGGACGGCGAGGGGAGCTGCAGCTGTTTGCCATTAGCAGGGGACCCCGCAGGCCCCGCCTCCTCCCTGCACCGGGTGGGGTCCTGGGGGGGCCAGGAGAGGGGCAAGAAAACCAACAGAAATGCCCGACCTGGTGGAACGGCGCCGTGGGGAGACCCCTACACCCCTTCCCTGAGCTCCCCTGCCTGTCCCCGGTCGGGAGTGTCCTGTCTGTCCTCTCTGTGCCCCGGGGAAGCCTATAGCAAAAGAGGGGCCTCAGCGCCCCCCCCCATATTCTCCCATCCCCTGAGACACAGGGCTACGTGAAGGGTGGTCAGTGACGAGAGACGCCCAAGCCTCAGTCTCCGCGTCTGAGAAATGGGTAGAGGTGGCCTGTGGGAATGGGGGCCGAGCTTGAGCTCAGTCAAATCCAGGGATAGCCATTTCTTCACTGCCCGAATGACCCTGGGCAAGCCGCTGAGCTTCCTGTGCCCCTTTTAGATTCTCCATATGTAAACTGAGCTGGGAACTACTCACCTCGTAGGTTGTCATGACAGTGTGCAGGGACACATGCCTGTAATCCCTGTACTCAGGGAGGCTGAGGCAGGAGGATAAGTTCGAGTCCAGCCTGAGCAACTAGGAAAGACCCTGTCTCAAAAAATGAAAAAGGGGGGCCGGGGATTTGGCTCAGTGGTTTCGCCGCCTGCTGCGCAAGCGCAAGGACCCAAGTTAGATCCCCGGTACCAAAAAAAAAAAAAAAAAATGAAAAAGGGGCTGGGTATGTACCTCAGTGGTACAGCATTCCTGGGTTCAATCCCCAGTACCGCCAAAAAAAGTCAAAACCGGTGTTATTATTGTTACAGTTATTAACATTATTTATTTCACCTCCAACACCACCACCACCACCCACCACCACCCCACCCCCCTGTTTTCCTCGCCTGCCACCTCTAGACCTCTCTTAGGTCCCCAGAAAACATTTTGGATCAATTTCCTGTTGCTCAGGGGGATGCAGCTCCCTGCAGATGGAAAAGTAAATTTCCTACAATCTGTGACCTGGTGACCTTGTGCTCCAGGTACTGACAGACAGTGAAGCGAGGACGGAGACGTGGAGAGACAGGGAGAGAGAAGTGGAGAGAGACACAGAGAGACAGAGGCGGAGCGACACAGAGGACAGAGGCGTGGAGAGACGGAAGAGAGACTGAGCAAGACAGGAGACAAGGACAGGACACTCAGCAGCTTCAGGCCCAGCCTTCATGCCCGCCAGGGACCCCACCTGCCCCATCGTCCCAGGTACTCGCTGCCTGCTGCCCGGGGCTGCTTTGGTGGTGGGGTGTGTGGAGGTCCCTCCAGCAGAGCGGCTGTGGGTCTGACAGCTGAAAGGACTGGCCAAGTTCAGGCAGGGTGTCAGGGACAAAAGGGCCCTGGCCGAACTCCAGGGCCGGGGAGGCCGTTAGTGAGAGTCCCTGATTGTTCCTCCCTCTTGGCACCTCTGGGCACCCCCTTTTACTTCCTCTCCTCCACCCCCATGACTTCCCGGGCCTGCAGCCCAGCCCCGTGTCCCTGCTGCACACCCAAGCCGGGACGCATCCTGGGGGGCAGGAAGTTCTGTGCAGCAGCAGCAAAACTGTTTATTTTTAGAGAAAATTGTTTCCATAAAGGGGAAAGGCTTCACAACTTGCCACCTCCCCCATTTTCCCTACCCGCCCCCATCGTTGGGCCTGGCTGGACCCGGCTTTCTGCTTTGGGGTCGCTTAGGGGTCCCTGCCCCCCATGCCTTGTCTCCTCCTTTTGTCCCCCATGTCTCCTTCCTGGATCCTTGCAGAAAGGCTGTCCCAGTTAGTGCCCAGCCCCCTCCCCGCGGGCCGACTTAGCCCCGATCTTTCCCTGTGGCCAACTCAGGCGGGCTGCGGGGAGGGGGTACAGGAAGGGTGGGGCTGTCGGGCTTGGGGCCCCCAGCCGGGGGCCATGTGGAGGCAGGGCTGCAGGAACAGCTGGAGCCTGTCCAGAGGCTGGACAGATGTGCACAAAGGCGGGGAGGCTTGGTTTCTTTGTTCCAGGCCTTTCGGCGGCCAGGCTGGATGCGCACCGAGGGGAGGGTCAGACAAGGCCTGACCCCGGCCCCAACACCCCCTGTCCCCAGGTCAGCCTTGGCCGGTGCTTCCTGAAGTCTGACTCAAGGGCCCCAGGAGACTCCTGCGGAGGGACGAGAGGATGGCCCAGGTCCTGCACGTGCCAGCCCCATTCCCAGGTCAGGGGTCTGAGGGAGGAGGAGAGGGCCCAGCCCAGCCCTGGGAGGACTCGGAGGACCGGAAGGTCTTGCTGGGAAGGAGAGGTGGCCTGAGGGGACACAGGCTGTCCTGGGAGAGGCCTGGGAAGTTGTGGCCCAGTGCTGAGGCCCGGAGGGGAGACATCTCAAGGGCAGAGAGAGGGCCCTGCTCTGAGTGTCCTGAGGGGAGACTCAGCTCTGCCCTGGAGGATCCCAGTGGGAAACCGAGTCCTGGGGAGGGGCCTCGGTTTGAGAGCTGAAGGGACCCCGGCCTTCGGGATGCGGGGAGGGACATGGCCCAGCACTGCGGGCCTGGGGAAAGACGGGCAGGGTGATCTAAGAGTGGAGACAGTTGTCCCTGGCTGTCCCCAGGGCCCCTCTGCACCCCAAGAAGGGGGACAGCAGTATTTAGAAGCCCTGGCCTTTCTCCCCCAACCCAGGGACCCCCGGCCCCACCTCACCGCCTGCCTTCCCACCCAAGGAGCCCGACCCTCCTTACTCTGTGGAGACACCCTACGGCTACCACCTGGACCTGGACTTCCTCAAGTATGTAGACGACATTGAGAAGGGCCACACACTGCGGCGGGTGGCCGTGCAGCGCCGTCCCCGCCTGGGCTCCCTGCCCCGAGGGCCAGGCTCCTGGTGGACGTCCACGGAGTCGCTGTGCTCCAATGCAAGCGGGGACAGCCGCCACTCGGCCTACTCCTACTGCGGCCGAGGCTTCTACCCGCAGTATGGCGCCCTGGAGACAGGCGGCACTGGTGGCTTCAACCCCCGAGTGGAGCGGACGCTGCTGGACGCCCGGCGCCGCCTCGAGGACCAGGCAGCCGCACCCTCGGGCCTGGGCTCCCTGACGCCCAGCGCCGCCGGCTCCACCAGCTCCCTGGTGGGTGTGGGGCTGCCGCCCCCTCTAACGCCACGTGGCTCGGGACTGTCCACGCCAGTGCCGCCCAGCGCCGGGCACCTGGCACATGTGCGGGAGCAGATGGCAGGCGCCCTGCGGAAGCTGCGGCAGCTGGAGGAGCAGGTGAAGCTGATCCCAGTGCTCCAGGTGAAGCTGTCCGTGCTCCAGGAGGAGAAGCGGCAGCTCGCCGTGCAGCTCAAGAGCCAGAAGTTCCTGGGCCACCCCGCCGGCGCGTGGGCCCGCAGCGAGCTCTGCCTGGACCTCCCTGAGCCCCTCGAAGACCCTTCGGCACTTGACGCCCGCAGTGTGGGCACCTGGGTTCGAGAACGGGACTTGGGCTTGCCTGACGGGGAGGCGGCGCTCGCTGCCAAGGTCGCCGTGTTGGAGACGCAGCTCAAGAAGGCACTGCAGGACCTGCAGGCGGCCCAGGCCCGGCAGGCCGAGCCCCAGCCCCAGGCCTGGCCGCCACCCGACACTCCGGTCCGCGTGGACACCATCCGAGTGGTGGAGGGGCCTCGGGAGGTGGAGGTGGCAGCCAGCACCACCACCGGGGCCCCTGCCCAGCGAGCCCAGAGCCTGGAGCCCTACGGGACAGGCCTGAGGGCCTTGGTGACATCGGGGGAGCCTGAGAGCCCCGCCATGTTCTGCAGCCACGAGGTAGTGGAGACCATGTGCCCAGTGCCCACTGTGCCCGCCAGCAACATCCACGTAGTCAAGAAAATCAGCATCACAGAGCGGAGCTGTGAGGTGGCCACAGGTGAGAGACCACAGGCGGGGAGGTCGGGTGTGGGGTCCCTCTTCTTATCATGACCCAGCCCCACCTTCTACCAGCCGGCCCACTGCGGCCCTCTGGACCTCTGTCTCTTCATCCGTGAAACTGGGAACCGGTGCAGGGGTGCACGCCTGTCATCCCAGCACCTGGGAGGCTGAGGCAGGAAGATTGCCATGAGTTCAAGGCCAGCCTGAACGACATATCGAGACCCTATCTCACAAAACAAACAACCCAAAAAAATGATTTTTCAGTAAATGGCAGGAATCTATCGCAGACCACTTTAAGCAATGGGAAGGAAATGAGTTGTTTGTATAATTTAAGTGACACCATCAGGCAAGGCTGGATCCAGGTGCTCAGATACCCAGGAATCTGTAACTTAACTGTCTACTCCTGTCTACCGTGAAGGTTTCTCTCTCAGGCAGGTACAGGAAGACAGCCCCGTTGTTCCAGGAATCTGGCCTGGTAGCTCAGCGCAAAGTGAGCCGCTTAGTTCAAAGAGCACCAGTAAAAGCCCCAGAGGAGGGTAAGGCAGGAGGATTGCCGTGAGTTTGAGGTTGGCCTGGGCTACATAGCAAGACCCTGTCTCAAAAATAACAGGAAAACCCCCAGAGGGCCCTCATGGGCAGCTGTCCCTGTGTCCTTCACTGCTTGGATCCTGAGGGTAGAGGAGCCTGACCTAAGAAAGGGGATTCCCCCAGGGGAAGTGCTGAATCCTCCTGCCAGGAAAGAGGATGCTGGGCATGCAGAATGCCAGCTGCCCTGCTCCTGCTGCCCTGGGAGAAGCTGCAGCATGATTCATCCTAACAAGGACAGCTGTCCCTTCTGGGGTGCTGGCCAGGGAGTGCTGAGTGCTGTGCCCAGGATTTCACCCAAGGAGAGGCTAAAGAGGATGAACCAGGGCTCCCAGGTTTCAATTCCACTTCCTCCTGTGCAACCAGACCCGGAGGAGTGACATTACCTCTCTCCCCTCTGCCCTCCTGCTGGCTCTAGAACCTTTATGAATCCTGGATACAGGAAGTGCTCAATCCATGCTTTGCTAACAATTTTCAGGACTGCCGGGTGTGGTGGTGCATGCCTGTCATCCCAGCACTGGGGAGGCTGAGGCAGGAGGATCACTGAAAGTTCCAGGCCAGCCTGGGCTACATAGTGAGTTCAAGGCCAGCCTGAACCACATAGCGAGATCCTCTCTCAAAAAATGACGGGGCCCTGTTTCTCATCCAGCTCCTAGTGTCAGGTGCCCAGATGCCTGCTGGTGTCCCCAGGGCATGGGCTGCAGGCGAGGCCCCAGATCCCATCCCCACCCTCTGTTCCCTGTGCATCCAGACACCCACCCTACAGTTCCAGCCTCTGCCAGAGGCCCTGCCTGGCCAGCCTGGGACGTGCTGTCCATGCCGTGCGTGCCACTGCCCGTTCTGTTACATTTCACCCCCTCACCCTGCTGTGGTGCTGTTCTCTGTGTTGCTTGGGCAGAACTGGAGTGGGTTTGTACCTTTCCGTGTCATCTCACGGGTTAAGTGTTTATGGAGCACCTATTGTGTGCTCTGCTCTTTTTTTTTTTTGCAGTGCTAGGGTTTGACCCTACAGCAGTGAGCATGCTGTACAAGTGCTCTCCCTCTGAGCCTCATCCTGGCCCTTTTGATTTTTTAATTTTGAGACAATGTCTGGCTAAAGTTGCCCAGTGTGGGCTCAGACTTGTAGTCCTGCCTCACCCTCCCATAGTACTGAGATTGCTGGTATGTGGCACCACGCCTGGCTGCACATATTTTTGTTTTCTTTTGAGACAGTCTTGCTGTGTAGCCCAGGTTGGCCTCGAACTCGTTGTGGTGATCCTCCAGCCTCAGCCTCCCAAGTGCTGGGATGACAGGCACCACCGAATGGCTTCTGCATTTGTTTAATGCATAAAATAATGATACATGTGGCCTGGTATTTAGCTCAGTGGTTCCAGCGCCTGCCTCACAAGTGCAAGGTCCCTGGGCGGGGGATTTAGCTCAGTGGTTGAGCCCAAGGACCCGAGTTCAATCCCCGGTACCAAAACAAAAAACAAAAAAACAAACCCAAGGTCCCAAGTTTGATCCCCAGTACCAAAATAATAACAATAATGATAATGATATATGTTTCTCATGGCTGACAACACAGCTGATGGAAATTGCTATCAGCGTTATTCTACTTACTATTTTTTGAGTAGTACTGAGGATGGAACACAGGGCCTTGTGCATTATAGACCACTGAGCTACAGTCCCAACACTATCTTAATTTTGTTTTTGTTGTGTTGCTTTGGTACCAGGGATTGAACTCAGGACCTTGCACTTTCGAGCCAGGCAGCGGCACCACTGAGCTAAATCCCTGGTGGGTCCCAACACTATCTTGGTTTTAAAAGCACATAGGAGCCAAGCGTGGTGGTGCAGGCCTGTAATCTCAGCACTCAAGAGGCTGAAGCAGGAGGATTTCTTGAGAGTTCCAGACCAACCTGGACTACATAGCAAGACCCTGTCTCAAACGGAAAAGCACATAGAGTATGCCAGGGCATTTATTTAATGCCTTTTTGAGGGGTATTTTAATTCATTTCAATCCCCAGCAACCCAATGAGGTGAGCAGCGTTTGGACCCACCCTGTACGAGTGAGGCAGTGGGGACACAGGGAGCCTCAGGGACTTGTGCGCCATCCTCTAAGCCAAGATTTCCACTCTCCCGTGGCCTAAGAGGTAGCTCAGTGTTGGAGCCCTCCCCAGGCCCTGGGTTCCATCCCAAACACCGGAAGAAATAAATTACAGATTAATTTTTTCTTCTACTTGACATCATCCCAGGGGCTGTTCTTCCTCTTAGTAAAAATTCTTCAGCAGTGCTACTTCTGTATTTATTTTTGTGGGATGGGGGTTGAACTCAGGACCTTCACAGTGAGCTCCATCCCCAGCACTTTTTTTTTTTTTTTTTTTTTTTTTTGGTACTGGGGATCAAACTTGGGACCTTGCGCTTTCGAGGTAGGCGGTGGAAACCACTGAGCTAAATCCCCAGCCCAGCACTTTTTATTTTTTAATTTTTGAGACAGGGTCTCACTAAGTCACTAAGTTGCCTGGGCTACATCAGCTCACCTCTAGCTGAGTTCTTTATTTCCCTCGCTTTTGAAGATGACTTAATACACAAGTACATATTTGATCTATATAGTTGATGCATTCAGTGCCTCATTATCTTCTTTTGTAACATAGAATCAGCCACAGACAATATGTTGAGCAGATAAGCAGGGTGTGGCGGTGCATACCTGTCATCCCAGCACTCTAGGGGGCTGTGGCAGGAGGATCGCAAGTTCCAGCCCAGCCTGGGCAATTTACCGAGGCCCTGCCTCAAAATTAAAAAAAAAAAAGAGAGGGCTGGGGTTGTAGCTCAGTGTGAAGGTGAACACTCGGGGTTCAATCACCAGTCCCCAGAAAAAGGAAGGGAGAAAAAATGTAAAAACCACCCACAGACATAATTTGCTAATCTCTGCCATGGGCCACTCACAGACCCCACCACCAATTCCACTCCTGCCCCATTTACTTTTTTTTTTTTTTTTGGTACAGGGGATCGAACTCAGGACCTTGTGCTTGCGAGGCAGGCGGTAGAACCAGTGGGCTAAATCCCCGGCCCCCAATTACTTTTTAATCTTTGTTTTTTCTTTGAGACAGGGTCTCTCTGTGTTGCCCATGCTGTCCTTGAACTCTTGGCCTCAGGCGATCCTCCTGCCTCAGCTTCCAAGGAGCTGGGATCACAGCCCTGTGCCACGGCCCCCGGCTTCCTACCCTGTGGAATATCATTCCCACACCCCACCTTCCAGAGGCTGCTTTAGTTATTTGGTGTCCTTGAAAAATATGCCCTGCGTGTTTAATTTCCTTAAATGGTGTTGTGTTTCAGAAAAACAAACCTCTTTCTGTTTCTCATTTTTTTCCTCTCCTCTCCCTCTTGTTTTTTGCGGTGCTGGGATGGAACCCAGGGATTAGCATTTCCTAGGCAAGCGCTCTACCACTGAGCTGCATCCTGGCCCTTGTTTCCTCTACGTACTTTTTTTTTTTTTTTTTTTTGGTATTGGGGATCGAACTTGGGTCCTTGCGCTTGCAGGGCAGGCGGCTGAACCACTGAGCTAAATCCCCAGCCCTTTGTACATTATTTTCCCTTTGTGTGTTTGTTTTAAGACAGGATCTCACTCTGTAGCCCAGGCTGTCCTCAAACTCACAGTAACCCTCCAGCCTCAGCCTCCCAAGTGCTGGGATGACAGGCGTGCACCACCACACTCTGATTATCCTACGGTTTTTTGCCCATCTGCCATTGGTACAGAGTCGTGTGTCTTTATTGTTTTAATCTGCATTTCTCTCCCTTCTGGTGGGATTGACCACCTCCTTGTATGCTTAATAAGATTCCACTGTGAGTCACTTCTTTATAGCCTTTGTTTTTCTGTGAGCAGTTTTCAGCCATTCCCAGCATATTCCTCACCAGGACTGGCAGTCTGTGGCCTCTAGCTGAAATTGGCCGGCTGCCTGTTTTGTATGGCCTGAGCCGAGAATGCTTTTTACTGTTTTTAAAATTTTTTGCTATGGGGGCTGGGGATTTGTGCTTCCACTGCCTGTCTTGCAAGCGGAAGGATCCGAGTTCAATCCCTGGTACCAAAAAAAAAAAAAAAAATTTTTTTTTGCTATGTAGCCCAGGCTGGCCTCAAACTCAAGGTCATCCTCCTGCCTCAGCCTCCCAAGTGGTTGGGAGTACAGGTATCTGCCACCCTGCCTGGCACTGACAGGGGATTTACTTCTGGAACAAGTATCTGTGAACTTTTCCTGTCAAGGGCCAGGGTGGTAAATATTTTTGGTTACGTGGGCCATCAGATGTCAGAAGAAACTTCCGGTTCTGCTATTTTAATGCCAGAGAACAAGGCCTTATGTAATCAATTTGAATTTCAGTGAATTTGAATTTTTCTTAAGTCACAAAATGGCTCTGTTCAAGTTTCTCAATTACTTCTTTATGTATTTTTGCAGTGCTGGGGATGGAACCCAGGGCCTTATGCATGCTAAGAGAGCACTCAACACAGAGCCACACACCCAACCCTGTTTAACCACTCAAAAAACGATAAAGCTGCTGGCCGTGGTGGCACCTGCAGGCTGGGTGCTTGCTCAGGCCCTGGGTTCCATGCTGGCACTTAAAAGTGGTTACAGAGTGGGATTTAGCTCACTGGTTCCGCCACTTGCCCCATAAGCACAAGGACCAGAGTTTGATCCCCGGTGTCCCCCCCCAAAAAAAGAAACGTTTATTTTGGGGCCAGGGATCTAGCTCAGTGGTTCCGCTGCCTGCCTTGCAAGCACAAGGACCCGAGTTCGATCCCTGGTACCAAAAAAATAAATAAAATAAATGGTTACAATGCCTGTCATCCCAGCGTCTGGGAGGCTGAGGCAGGAGAATTGCTGTGAGTTTAAGGCCAGCCCAGGCTACATAGTTCAAGGCCAGCCTGAGCTATATAGTGAGACCCTGTCTCAACAGCAACAACAACAAAAGGTCAGAATGATGAACTTCGTGTATTCTGACACAAAGAAAGGCTACCCAGGTTGGTGTGAGGACAAAGGTGACGGATGTCCTGGTCACAGTGCCCAAGGGCGTCCACTTCCCAAGCTGGGATGGGCCACAGGGGAAGCCTCAGATGGGCAGCCTGGAGCAGGGGATCAGTGGCCACTTCCCACCCCTGAGTGGGGATCCACTCAGGGCCCCTCTGCCCCCGGGCCATCTGTGGCTTCCGCATCACCCCTTCCTGCCACTGCCACTGAAGAACAAGTTTTGTGTTTGACACAGAGTCTCCCTGTGTAGCCCAGGCTGACAGTGAACTCATGGCGACCCTCCTGCCTCAGACTCCTGAAGAGCTGGGACTCCAGGCGTGCACCCACATGCCCAGCAAGACAGACGACAAATTCTTACCTCCTTTTCATGGCTAGCATTTTTTTGACATGTGCAGTTGCTACTTCAAATTCATGGGCCCACTCAAATTCAGCAGCAAGGGGCGGAGAGTCCAGGCAGAGATCACAGATGGGCAGGGTGGTGACAGAGCGGAGTGCATCCCAGAGCAGGGTGCGGCTGGGCTCTGGAGAGCCGGCCTTGAACCCACCCTGGGAGTCAAGAGCAAATGCCTGGCGAGGCAATCTCCTGATTTTTTTTTATTCTTTTGTCGGTGCTGAGGCTGGGCCTCCGGGCCTTGCGCATGCTGACCAAGTGCTCACCACTGAGTTAACCACAGCCCTTCCGAAAATTGTTTTATTTTGTGACAGAGCCTTGGTAAATTGCCCAGACTGGGCTCGAACTGGGATCCTCCTGCCTCAGCCTCCCAGCCTGATGGGATGACAGGTGTGCACCACCACACCCAGCTATAATTTTTTAAATAGTGCACAGAAAAAAAACTGAGCAGCACCAAGTTTTATTCCACCCCAAAAGAAAAACAGGCCCACCTTCCAAAGCTTACATGGCACTTTCTAATCTGAGTTCAGATATGAACACCAAATACAGAAGGACCCAAGTCCAACTTTGATCCCTGGTACCAAAAGAACAACAACAACAAAAAATAACACCAACTAGTACAAAACAGGTAATACAGCCAACCCTCCAAGTCTGTGGGTTGTGGGTCTCTAGATTGAACCAACACAAGATCAAAAATACACAGGAAAAAAGCTAAGCGTGGTATCTAATGCCCACAATTCCAGTTACTCAGGAGGCTGAGGAGGGTGGGTTGCTTGAGGCCAGTCTGGGCAACATAGTGAGACTTCACCTACCTACAGAAAAGACCGAGGGCCGGGGATTTAGCTCAGTGGTTTTGCCACTAGCGCAAGGACCCGAGTTAGATCCCCAGTACCAAAAACAAACAAAAAAGACAGAGTTTACAGTCATCTTTCATGAAGAGATACTTGGTCTTGATATTTGATTTTGACGTGGTGGTGTTTCCTAAGCCCTGTATTTTGTCATCTGCTTCGTGATGACAGTGCTGTGGGATGGCTCTTGGCTGTGATCAAACCTTTTTTCAATTCTAGGAGTTGAACCCAGGGCCTTTACACTGAGCTGCATTCTCAGACTGTTTTTTAAGTTATGGGACAGGGTCCCACTAAGTAGCTAAGTTGTCCAGGATGGCCTCAAACTCCCAGTGATCTTCCTGCCTCAGCCTCCTGAGAGGATGACAAGCATGCGCCACCACTCCCAGCTCAGCTCTTCATCCCTAATAACTCCCGAGCCTCAGTTTCCTCTTCTGTAATCATCTGAGTCCTCAGAGACGGGAGATTTGATGTCTGTGAGACAGTGCCTGCTCAGTGAACATGACCCTGGGCTTGGCTCTTACGAGGCTGTCGTTGGCTTGTGGCACCTGTGACGCCTCATTTCTGGTGTCCCGTCGGGTCCTCCACAGGCACCCTTAGAGTCGCCCTCCTTCCCCTCAGGGTCGGCATCAGAGGAGAACACAGGCCGGGTGGCTGCCGCTGACCCTGCCCACGGGGAGCCCCCCAGCCAGGTGTCGTGGGCGTCGGGGGACCCGGGGGGAGCAGGTGAGTGGCCATGGCTACCAAGGGGGCCAGGACACCGGGCGCCCAGCATGGCGGCGTGTCCAAGAACCCTCCTGTCACTGCCCCTCCAGGAGGGCCCCAGGTGGGAATGCGGTCCATCATGAAGAGGAAGGAGGAGCCCGCAGACCCGGCAGCGCAGGGGAGGAGCCTGCAGTTCGTGGGAGTCAATGGCGGGTGAGGAGCTCCCTACCTTGCAGCCCGTCTGTCCCTCAGGTCCTGCATGCGCGGGAAAGAGGGGACCCAACACCCTGTTCCGCATCCTTCATTATGGTTAATTCAGTGAATCACACCATCAGAGCTGGGCGTGGTGGCGCACACCTGTCATCCCAGCACTCGGGAGGCTGAGACAAGAAGATCAGTGTGAGTTTGAGGCCAGCCTGGGCCACATAGTGAGACCCTGTCTCAAAAAATAAAAATAGAAAAGAGCTGAGGATGTAGCTCAGTATGAAGACTCTGGGTTCAATCTCGGTACTTCAAAAACTTTTTTTAAAAAAAAGAGGGTCCCAGGCCAGGCATTTAGCTCAGTTGTTTCGCTGCCTGCTGTGCAAGTGCAAGGACCTGAGTTCAATCCTCAGTACCAAAAAAAAAAAAAAAAAAAAGAGGGTCCTGTGGAAGGCAGGCCGTCCGTAAGAGTAGGGAGCCCTGCATGAGGGACGGGGGCAGGGGGTCCTGAGGGCCAGAAGGGGAAGCAACCCCCCACCGCATGATCACTGTCACGGCTAATGTTTATTTTTTGTTCTTTGAGACAGGGTCTCACCATGTAGCCCCGGTTGGCCTCGACCTCACAGACACCCTCCTGCCTCAGCCTCCTGAGTGCTGGGATTACAGGCGTGGGCCACAGTGCCTGGCAGTTAATGCTTACTGAGCAATAACTGTGTACCTGATGCCACAGGCACATCTGCAGCCCCCGTGGATCATGTCACCATCATCCCCATCTAACATATGGGGACGCTGAGCCCCAGGGAGGGCAGACCTGCAGATGCCTCTGTTCCTGCCCTGCTGTGTCCCCTCCTACCTACAGCGTGTCCCCCACCTCTGTCCTCCCCAGGTACGAGTCCTCCTCCGAAGGCTCCAGCACAGCCGAGAACTTCTCCGACAATGACAGCACAGAGAATGAGGCTCCGGAGCCGGAAGAGAGGCTTCCAAGTGTGGCCGGAGCCCCACAGTGCAGGCCCCCAGGGACCACTGCAGTGGCGCCCCAGACCAGCCTGCCGGGGTGCCAGCTATCTCGGGAGGCTCAGCATGCGCCCCTGGCTGAGGAGGCAGCGGGCACCAACTCTGAGGACGAGATCCGGTCAGTTTTCTGGGTGGAAGGGATTCGGACATGGCCAAGGGTGGGTGAACCTCTGCTTTACATCCCACCATTCAGGCCCCGGAGGAAACTTCCTATCATTCATGCACACCATAGTCTGAATTAGTAAACAATGCAAGATTTCCTCTTCCACCGCTGACCATTTGGAATAAATTAGCCTGTGCATCCACTTCCTGTTAGTCTTTGTGCTCCCCATGTCTGAGCCTTGGGGTATAGTGTAAAAGCCTGGCCCTGGAGTAGGGCGTCTGTGATGCCACCATTCACTTAGCCTCTGGTGGGGTCACATGAGCATCGATGAGAAGAGCACTGAGCCCCATAAACTTGCTAGGTGTGGTGGTGGACACCTATAACCTCAGCTACTGGGGAGGCCGAGGCAGCAGGATCTCTGTGAGTTTGAGGCCAGTTCAGGCTACATAGTGAGTTCAAGGCCAACCTGAACTACATACTGAGACCCTGTCTCAAAAACTAAAGTAAATAGATGAGGAAAAAATAAAAAGATACATATCAAGGACTGGGGGTGTATCTCAGTGGTGAGTACTTCCCCAGCAGGCGTGAGGCCCTGGGTTCCATTCCCAGCCCTAAATGAACACCTTCTTGTGCGCCCCCTGCAGGATGGAGCTGAGCCCTGACCTCATCTCGGCCTGCCTGGCGCTGGAGAAATACCTGGGCAACGCCAACGCGCTTACCGAGCGGGAGCTGGTATGGCCAGGCCTCCCCCGCTGCTGCCTCACCTTCGGTGCCCCCACCCCCAGGGAGGACCAGAGACCCGGGTGGGTAGTGTCACAGCTCTGGGGCAGGACCTGGGAACTGCTTTGCGATGTCTGTGGTTCCCTTCAGTACTCTTTCGCATTCTTTATTTTTGGTAGTACTGGGATTGAACCCAGAGCTTTTGCACTGAGTTCCATCCTCAGCCCTTTTTATGTTTTTATTCTGAGACAAGGTCTCACCAAATTGCTACATTCCCCAGGCTGGGCTGGAATATGAGATCCTCCTGCCTCAGCCTCCTGGCCCAGCATCAAGGGTCTTACTGAAATGGGGCATTCATTCACACTTCCCTCCAGGACCTTTTCAAGACAAGATCGCCCCAGTTTGCTCCCAGGGGTCTCTGTGGGGTGGGGTGTCCACCCTGCATCCTGCCCCCTCACACCTCTCTCCCACCGACCCGCCCAGAAAGTGGCCTACACCACCGTGCTGCAGGAGTGGTTGCGCCTGGCCTGCCGCAGCGACGCCCACCCTGAGCTGGTGCGGCGCCACCTGGTCACCTTCCGGGCCATGTCAGCCCGGCTGCTGGACTATGTGGTCAACATCGCCGACAGCAACGGCAACACCGCGCTACACTACTCTGTGTCCCATGCCAACTTCCCCGTGGTACGACAGCTGCTGGACAGCGGTGAGCCTGTGGCCCGGGTCAGACAGGGAAACAGAGCCTGGGCAATCCTCCTGCTTCAGCCTCTGCTCCTAGTCCTGGCCCTGAACGTGGATGCCACTGTGGGCCCCAGGTCCGGTGGATGAACAGGGTGGAGGTGCAGACTCCCAGGAAGGAAGGGGGAACCAGGCCAGGCCTGGACGGGGAGGAGGAGGACTGGCCTCACGGGGAGCGTGACACAAGGCGGCCGGTTGACAGGCGCTGTATCCCCACGCAGGCCTCTGCCAGGTGGACAAACAGAACCGTGCCGGCTACAGCCCCATCATGCTCACCGCCCTGGCCACCCTGAAGACCCAGGACGACATCAAGACTGTCGTTCAGCTCTTCCGCCTTGGAGATGTCAATGCCAAAGCCAGCCAGGTAGGTGGCCCTGGCCACGTCAGACCCACGCTGCACTTCCCCCTTTCCGAAGTCCCAGCCGTCTGCCAGCCCCTCACTCCACCCTGCTGCGTCGACAGGGAAACTGAGGCTCAGACAAGCAGTGTCATTTCCTCGGGTTCAAAGTCGGAAGCAGGATTTGAGCAGCCCTGGGTGGTGCACACCTGTCATCTCAGCACTCGGAGGCTGAGGCAGGAGGATTGCTGCAAGTTCAAGGCTGGCCTGGGCTACATAGTGAGACCCCATCTCAAAACACCAAACAGAAAAGTGGGGTTTGAACCCAGGAACTTGGTGCCCTGTGCTGGGGACTCAGGTGTAGTCAAGGAGGTTCAGTCTCCACTGTCCCAAGGCTCCTGCACTGGCCAGGGGCTCCTGGAGCCACAAGCTCTTCAGGCAGTGGCAGGGCTGGGATTCGGTCTGGGAGGACCCAAGGGAGTTTACTGGCATTGCCCGTGCCTGAGAGCTTGCTGGGGTCCTACACCGAGGAGCAGAAGCCAGCAGACGAGTTGAGTGGGGGGTGTCAGGTGTCTGCATATAGAAGAAGGCACCCAGGACCCAGTGGATGGTGAGTAGGGAGGACTGGTCCACAGCCTGGACACAGGAGGGAGCAACCCAGGTGCTATGATGGGTGTTAATGGGCGGACCCTGCCTCAAACTCCCTGTCCCACCTGCCTCGGATTGAACCTAAGGCCTTCACACTGAGCTATGCCGCCAGCCCCTTTTATGTTGAGTCACCATCTTCCTAAGGTACTAAATTGCCCAGAGTGAGCTGGAACTTGGGATCCTCCTGCCTCAGCCTCCCAAGTAACAACTTACTTTCTTTTTTTTTCTCCAATGCCGGGATAGAACCTGGGCCTCTTGCATATAGGCAAGCACTTTACCACTGAGCAAAATCCCCAGCCCAGAATCTCACTGTGAAGCCCAGGCAGACCTTGAACTTGCTATGTATCACAGGCTGGCTTCCAATTCACAATCCTCCTGCCTCAGCCTCCCATGTGAGGGAATTATAGAAATGTACCACTGCACCTGGTTGCAAGTTTCATTCATTCATTCATTCATTCATGTATTTATTTTAGTTTTCTTGAGACAGGAACTTGCTATGTAGCCTAGGCTGTCTGTGCTCGGCTTCCTGAGTGCTGGGATTACAGACATGAAACACCACACCCCACCATTTTTTATTATGTAATTAAAAATGTTTAATGGCTTCCTGTTTTTCCTTTCACTGGAGGTGAAATTTACAGTGACATGAGATTAATCTTGTAAACATACATCATTAGGTGCCATTTAGTGGCTTTGTAATGTTGTACAGCCACTATTTCCAGAATGTTTGCATCACCTGCAGAATTTCCGTCCTGTGGATTCACTCAGGACATTTCATATAAGTGGAATTATGGTCAGCACTCCAGATTTTTTTTTTAATTTTTTGAGACAAGATCTCGCTGTGTAGTCCAGGCTGGCCTTGAACTCACTGTGTAGCCCAAGTTGACCTCAAACTCATGGGGACCCTCCTGCCTCAGCCTCCTGAGGATTAGTCATACACCACCACACCTGGCTTGTCTCGGTGTTCTAAGTAATCTAGAGATCAATTAAAGCCTACAGGAGGATGTGCTCAGGTTCCATGAAAAAACATACTGTGATATACCAGGGACTTGAATGTCCAAGAATTTTAGTATCTACCAGGTATCCTGGAACCAGTCATCTGCAGGCACCAAGGGACAGCCAGATACAATATGTGACCTTTTGTGTCTGGCTTCTTTCACTCAGTGTAATGGTTTTAAAGCCTATCTGTCAGAATGATGAATGATATTCCTTTTTAAGGCTGAATAATACTCCATTGTGTGGCTAGGCCACACTTTTTTTTATTCATTTATCCCCCCCATGGACATTGATTTAACTTTTTATTGAGGTACAACTGATGAATACAAAGTCATGCAGATCTTAGTTGGGTAAGTTTTTAGACAGCTGTATACCAGGGAGTGAAGAACCTGCTGTAGATGACTAGGGGTGAAGGGAGGGTATCGGCAGGGCAGAGCCCCTCTGAGAATAGAACATTTAAGCCTCAACCTTGGTGATAAGAAGGAGCCAGTGAGCCAGGCATGGTGGTACATGCCTGTTACTCCCAGCATTCTGGGAGGCTGAGGCAGGAGGATCAGAAGTTTAAGGCCAGCCTGGGCAACTTATCTACCTAGTGAGTCCTATCTCAAAAAATACAAAAAGGCTGAGGGTGTAGCTCAATGTGATGGCCCTGGGTTCAGTCCCCAGTATTGCAAAAGAAAGGAAAGAAGAGGAGAGGAGAAAAACAAATTTAAACAAACAGTTAAAACTGTATATGGGTGTGGGTACACACCTGTAATTCTTGCACTCAGGAGGCTGAAGCAGGAGGTTCACAGTGAGTTTCAGGCCAGCCTGGGCTACAGGGCCAGCTTGAACTATATAGCGAGACCCAGTCTCAAAAAACAAAATAAAACCAAAAGAAAGAAAGAAAGATGAAGGGAAGGAAGGAAAGAGGAAGGAAGCCAAGGGAAGAGGAAGGAGCAGCAAGTGCAAAGGCCCAGAGGTAGGGAGGTTATTTACCCTACAGCGGTGGGGTGCATGCCAGTGTCCAGGTACTTGGGAACCATGGACGGCTGAGGAGCAGGGATGTCACACCCAGGTCCCTGTGTGGGTGGTAACCGTGTTCCTCGCCCTGCCCAGGCGGGGCAGACGGCCCTGATGCTGGCGGTCAGCCACGGCCGGGTGGACGTGGTCAAAGCCCTGCTGGCCTGCGAGGCGGACGTCAACATCCAAGACGACGACGGCTCCACAGCCCTCATGTGCGCCTGCGAGCACGGCCACAAGGAGATTGCGGGGCTGCTGCTGGCCGTGCCCAGCTGCGACATCTCGCTCACGGACCGTGTGAGTCCCCACACCCACCCCAGGGAGGGCGGGACTCAGCCGGGCAGGCAGGCGCATAGCAACAGCTGTTCTGCAGGACGGGAGCACCGCACTCATGGTGGCACTGGACGTGGGGCAGAGCGAGATCGCGTCCATGCTGTACTCGCGGATGAACATCAAGTGCTCGGTGAGCCCGGGGCAGCCGGGCTGGGAGGGCTGGTGCCTGCCTGGGCGTCCTGGGGCTGTGGGAAGAGGTTCAGCCACAGGGTCGCAGTATTCGCACCCAGGTCTATGTGGCTGCAAACGTGTGCTCCGAGTCACGGTTCACTGGTGCTGGAAATGCGGAAGTTACTGCACATGCAGAGGGGTCCCATCCTGCTAAAGCCCGCGTAAGGTGAGAGATGCATTGGATGCAGCTGACCTGCAGGACTTCCTTGCTGAGCAGCACAGTGCACCGTGGCCTGTTGGTTGTTCCCCCTCCTGAAACACGGCTGACTGGGGGCTACAGCTGCTGCTGCTCCTGCTGGCCATCATCACAAGAGGGGATCGTGCCACGCATCACCAGCCTGGGAAGAGATCAAACTTCATCCTTCTGTTTGGCTTTTTTTTATTTTCCTACCAGAGATCAAAATCTGGACCTTGCGCTTGCCAGGCAGGTGCAACACCACTGAGCTAAATCCCTGGTCCTGTTTTGTTTTGTTTTGTTTTCAGGCCACCGCAAGCCTTTATTAGGATAACAGAGCTGCCGGGCTGTCTCTGACCAAAGGAGAGACAAAGGCCCTGGTTTTGTTTTTTTGAGACACATTTCATTTTAAGTTGGATGTAGTGGTACAGTCCTGTCCTCCCAGCACTCTGAGGCTGAGGCAGGAGGATCACCAGTTTGAGCCCAGCCTGGGCAATTTAGTAACTGAGCCAGACCCTGTCTCAACATAAAAGACAAAGATAGAACGGGGAGGTCGCTCAGGGTGAAGGCCCTTGGTTCCATCCTCAGTGATGCACAGACTTGAGAGAGAAAGGGCTTCATTCCTGCCCTGAGGGTCACCGTGGGGCCGTGTCTCCTCCCCTGCACCCTGAGACTCCTCAGGGCCAAACCCTAAGCCGTCAGTACCCACTTGGCTCCTCAGAGCTGTTCCTGTCACACTATACCCTGGCTCCAGTCCTCCACTCCCCCTCAGTCTGTCCTCCCCACAGAGCCAGGGCCCGGCACCTCCCTCCCCTTACAACCTTCCATGGCTCCCACTCCTGTGAAGAGAAGGCCACCATTCTCCCCAAGCCCCACCAGTCCCTGCGTGACCACCCCCACCTCCTCCGAGTCCTCTTCTCCCCCCTCCAGCCACACCACTTCCGTGCTCCTCTCCTCCTCCCCCAGGGCCTGTGTTGGTTTGAATTTACAATTTTTTTATTAGTACATATTTGCAGTGCATCATGATTACATTCCTCATGGGCAGTTGGTGCATGTATATAACACATCTCTTTTCTTTTGTTTTGTTTTGTTTTTTTGAGACAGGCTCTCGCCATGTAGCCCAGGCTGCCCTTGAACTCAAAGCAAGCTTCATGCTTCAGCCTCCTGAGTGCTGGGATGACCGGCATATGCCACCACATCCAGCTCATCTTTTATTTTGAGACAAGCTCTTGCTGAGTTGCCCAAGATGGGCTCTAACTTGCAATCCTCCTGCCTCAGCCTCCTGAGAGCTGGGATGACAGGTGTGCGCCACTACGTCCAACTATTGCTTTTGTTTATTCACCCCCTGGAGGCACCACCTCTTTGAGGCCAGGGATTTTGCCTCTTGCTGGCTCACGACATCCCCGGCACCAGGCCCCAAAGTCTTCCAGGGATTGGAAAGGATGCCAGACAAACAGGGTTGTGCCTGTCATTTCAGTTCGCCCCGATGTCAGATGATGAGAGTCCCGCGTCGTCCTCGGTCGAAGAATGAGGAGGGAGCCCTGAGCATCTCCCCAGGACCCAGCCCCAGAGAGAACCATCCTGGTCCCTGCCACCTCCCACCCTCTCCACTCCCGCCCCCCACCCAGCTGCTGCTCCCCGAGGCCCCGCTGTCGCCTCTGCTGCTTTGAACCTTGACACCAGGGAGCCCCAGCGCCGCACCGAGCCAGTTTCTTTTCCCAGGACCTCAATTCAAAGCTGCAGCTGCCCAGACCAAAGCTAAATCCCGGTCTGCAGCGGCACCAGGGTGTGGGCTGGAGAAAGAACAGAGAACAGCACAATCCTCGGCAGTTAGGGGTGGGGGAGGCGAGCGGAAAAGGTCACGTTTTTGAGTCATTGGCGGGGGAGGGCAGGGTCCCAGTCCCTGTGGCCAGATTTGAAATTCACTGGTGTTGCATCTCTGCCTTTGCATCCTGAATGGGAGTGCTCACGAGTCGCATCTTAAGTGGCCTGGCCCCCTCTGCCCCCCGCATTTCACGGTCTGATTTATAATACCCTCCCCGCACACAGCCCAGATGGCTCCTGGGGGCGTCTCTTCTGGTCATTTCACAAAACAGATTCTCTCCCTGTCATGTTCTCACCAGGGCGGAAAGCTCAGTTCTTCCTTCTGTCTTGGTTTTTTGAGACAGGGTCTCACTGTGTAGCCCAGGATGGCCTCCAACTCTAGGAGATCCTCCTGCCTCCGCCTCCCTCCGCAGTGCTGGGATGACCAGCATGCACCACCACACCCAGCTGTCTTCTGTCTTGCCCTTACTGCCAGCGTCAACCCCTCCGAGTTTGGGGAGGGGAGAGCTCAGGGTCCTGCTGCCCATGTCTCAGTAGCTCTGTGACTGGGAAGTCACCAATTCACAAGGAGAAATGACTCAGAAATCCATCCCCTCCCCTCACAGAGCCCCTGGCAAATGTCGGTTTTCCTAGAAAATCCTTCCAGCCCAGAGACCAAAGAAAAAGATCCAGTTTTCAGAGTAGCTGCTGCCTCTGGAGTCCGGAACTGCAGTAACGGCTGCCTTTTTTCTTCCCAGGGCTGCAGAATCTTTCTCCTCCAAGGAAGAGAACAGGGTGTGTGCTCATTGGCAAAGCACAGGGCCAGCTCCACAAACCCCATGTGTGCACAATTAAATATTGGCCGCCCTGGGCCTCCCAGCACAAACGTAAAGAGACAGTGGTTGGAAATGGGCTTGTCAGTTTTCTTCTTGCCCTCAGAGGCTAAACATGGTTTTCTTTCCAGTTCCTTTTCTTGGTAAGGAGGCAAAAACAAAAGGGCTCCAGGCCTTGAGGTGTCCCTTGTGATAAGGGAAGAAATTCCCTTCCAAACACGTGGCCCGCCCTTTCTCCTCTCAGAGTCTTAGTCCCTACAGGACTTTCAAGCCAAACCTTGGTAGAACAGGGTTAAACCCCAGGAGGTCACAGGCCCATTAAAGCAGAGCGCTGGCTTCTGTCCTAGGAAAGTAGGCTTCTTGGCTGGATATAGTGTGGCTTGCTTTTTTTTTTTTTTGAGACATCCTGGCTTTGAATTCAAAGATCCTCCTGCCTCAGCCTCCTAAGTGCCATAATTACAGCTCAGTTTTTTATTGAAGGGATATACCAAAGAGAAAAACACTTGAAAACCCAACAGGACAATCAGGATGGACGTATACAGTGTGTATGTTTGTGTGAATTAGAAAACAAACCCCTCAGGAGGCTGAGGCAGGAGGATCTCCAGGAATTCGAAGCCAGCCTGGGCTGCATAGTGAGACCCTATGTCACACATACACACAAAAGACGGGATTGCTGCTGGTGTATGATGGAAGGGTGCAACTTTGAAAAGTGGTACAACAACTGTACCTTCAGGTCTAGCCCTGAAGGCAGCAAGTGCATTTATTGTAAGCCCCCAAAGCAGCTCTGCCCCAGGCCTCCGATAACTCCACATCTGTCTCCACTGTTCCTGTTCTGTCCAGACCCGTGGGGGCCAACTTCTGTGCCCGCCTTCTCTTCCATGTATCACAGGCTTTAATGTCACCTCTGACCACGGTACATCCATAGACAGTATTACACATAACTGAAATACTCTTTTTTATAATCTTTTCTAGAAGCTAAAAGAATTTAATAAAGCCGCAGAGAATGCTGGCACTACTGTGTGTGGTCTGTGTGTCATTGCACTGTTACATTTTTATTGGCAGAGCTAAGGGTGGAACCCAGGCCCCTGCACATGCTAGACAAGAGCCCTACCATGGAGCTATATCCCTAGCTCACCAGTGGGATATTCATCACGATTTTTATGTTTTTTGGGGGTTTTTTTGGTACCAGGGATCGAACTCAGGACCTTGTGCTTGTGAGATGGGTGTGGTGCCACTGAGCTAAATCCCCAGCTCATCATAATTTTTAAAAGTAGATCTAGGTCTGGAGTTCGATCCCCGGTACCAAAAAAAAAAAAGTAGATCTTGGCCAGGGATTTAGCTCAGTGGTTCCACTGCCTGCCTCGCAGGTGCAAGGACCCGAGTTTGATCCCCGGTACCAAAAAAAAAAAAGTAGATCTTGGCCAGGGATTTAGCTCAGTGGTTCCACTGCCTGCCTCGCAGGTGCAAGGACCCGAGTTTGATCCCCGGTACCAAAAAAAAAAAAGTAGATCTTGGCCAGGGATTTAGCTCAGTGGTTCCACTGCCTGCCTCGCAGGTGCAAGGACCCGAGTTTGATCCCCGGTACCAAAAAAAGTAGATCTCTTTTTTGGCTGGGGATGCAGCTCAGTGGCAAGGTTTATTTTGAAAAACATGCTTATTTTGAAAAATGTTCAAAGCTACAAGAAAGCTGCAAGAATATTACAATAAATAATAAGCTACCGGGCCGGCGATTTAGCTCAGTGGTTTCGCCGCCTGCTGCACAAGCGCAAGGACCCGAGTTTGATCCCCGGTACCAAAAAAAAAAATAATAATAATAATAATAAGCTACCAGAGCCAGGCATGGTGGCGAATGCCTCTAATACCACTCAAGAGGCTGAGGCAGGAGTATCTCAGTGAGTTTGAGGCCAGCCTGAGCTACTTAGTTCAAGGCCAGTCTGAATTACATAGGGAGACCCTGTCTCAAAAAAAAAAAAAAAAAAAAAGGCTAAATGAAGGCTGCTCCTAGTCCCCCTTGGTAAAAATGGCACTTTGTGTACTTTGGCAAATCTCCTGCCAAAACTTTTCCTAATATATTTAGCCTTCGCTTTGTTTACTTTTTTTTTCTTTGCAGGACTAAAGGAGGATAAAACCCGGGACCTCATGCATGCTGGGCAAGTGCTCTACCACCGAGCTACACCCTTAGCTTTATTTATTTATTTATTTTTTGTATCAGGGATCGAACTCAGGACCTTCCACTTTTGAGGCAGGTGCGGTGCCACTGAACTAAATCCCCAGCCCTCCCTAGCTTTATTATTTTTTTTCCCCTAGCTTTATTTTTGATTGACTGCTTGATTACAGTACTAGAAATTGAACTTAGGGCTGTCACATTGAGCTACCGGACATCTCTGGCTCTTTTTTTGAAACAGGGTCTCGCTAAATTGCCCAAGCTAGGCTCGAACTTGAAATCCTCCCAGAGGCTGTACAGGCGTGCATCACCACATCTGGCTCTTTTTAAATTTAGTTTTTATTTTTCTTAGTCCGTGTTTGCAGTAGATACTGATTTCATTCATCATGGAACCTCTGAATTCTTGTTGCTGTTTTATTTTTTATTATTATTTTATTTTATTTTTGGTACCGGGGATCAAACTCAGGTCCTTGCTCTTGCGCAGCAGGCGACGAAACCACTGAGCTAAATCCCTGGCCCTCTTGTTACTGTTTTAAATGCCTGCCTTCTGGGCACACATTTATATAGATAGGCCAGCCCCCGGGGTGGCGAACGGGTCTCCAGGGCGAGGTCGGGGGTCCTCGCCGGCCTCTCTCCCTGCCGCCGCCGCCGCAGCTCTGATCCGTGTCCTCCCGGACTTCTCCTTAGTTCCTCCCGGGCTGCTCAGGCTGCTTGGCGGGAGAGTTTGCAAAGGCGTCCGGATGTTAAGGCCAGGGAGTGCATTGCTCAGCGGAAGGGCCTTGGCGCTCATCAGCTTCCCAGGAGTTTGTGAGCCAAGAAGGGTCCTTTAGGAAATAAAAAGTGGTTTCTCATAGAGTAATTGCCAGGGCCATTCGGTCATCTTTGTTTTCTTCTTTAGTTCATGCTAAAATCAAACCCATTCTCCCACAATCACCTCATTCTTTTTTTGTTGTTTTTTGTTTGTTTGTTTGGGTTTTTCTGGTACCTGGGATCGAACTCAGGTCCTTATACTTTCAAGGCAGGCGGTGGAACCACTGAGCTAAATCCCCGGCCATTTTTTTGTTTTTAATAAGGTGTGATCAAAATATACAGTGGATGTTTAATTTTCTGTTTGTTTGTTTGAGAAAAGATCCTACTATGTAGCAGCCCAGGCTGGCCTTGAACTCACAGCAATCCTCCTGCCTCAGCCTCCATCGTACTGAGAGATTACAGCCATGTGCCACCACTCCCAGCTATAACTTAAAAAAAAAAAAAATTACAGTAAAAGACACATTGTCCTGAATCCCCGTCAAAATTCTCCTCTTGCTTCAGACACACTTTTTTTTTTTTTTTTCAGTACTGGGGATTGAACTCAGGACCTTGTACTTGCGAGGCAGGTGCGGTGCCACTGAACTAAATCCCCAGCCCTCACAGTTTTTCTTTTTCTTTTTCTTTTTCTTTTTGAGACAGGGTCTCACTGTGTAGTTCAGGCTGGCCTTGAACTTACTATGTAGCCCAGGCTGGCCTCAAACTCACAGTGATCCTCCTGCCTCAGCCTCCCGAGTGCTTCAGACACACTCATCCCATTACTTGGCTTTCTAAAGCAGCCTGGAAGTCTCTTTCATTGCTGTCTTTACAAGTTGTGATAAAAAATACAGTGAATGCTGCTGCTGAGTGCCATCCAAAGGCAAGATTGTAAAAGCCTCACAGTGCATCCTCATCCACCTCATTCACTGGATCTGGTACCGTGTGACTTCCGGCTCTTCCCAAAGTCAAAGTGAGCAGGAAAGGAAAATGTTTCAAATCAATTCAGGACATCGAGGCAGCCACAACAGGGCAACTAAATACAAGCCTACTGACACATTCCTGTAATCTCAGCACTTGGGAGGCTGAGGCAGGAGGATTGTCCTGAGTTTGAGACCAGCCTGGGCTGCATAGTGAGGTCAAGGCCAGCCTGGACTAAATAATGAGACCCTATCCCCCCCTTAAAATAAATAAAAATATTTTTCCATATAACTTAAAAAAGCATCTCAAGCACCAACAAGATACCAGAGGATGTGATTTGTTTCAGAAAGATCCCCAAAACCAACATTGAACAAATAATGATCTGGAAAAAGACTCCAGTTAGTTAGCCAACTCCACATAATCCAAACTTCTCCCTAATTTAAATTTCGATACAGTCATAGGACACGTGATGGAAACACAATCCGAGAAATATGTTGTTAGGCCATTTCATCCATGTATATCCTTATTTACACTTTCAGTTTCTCACACTAGAGAAACTATTCGGTATTTACGCATGTGTGTCCTATGTATTTCATTTAAGAGGATGGCCTCAATATGCATCCATTTAGCTATAAATGACTCTAGTTTCTCATTCTTTATGGCTGAGTAGTACCCCGTTTTATAAAAAAGAAAAAATTAAAAATGTTTAAACTAAAATAAAGACATTCAGAAAGAGGTCTTCCAACACTGGTGCCAAAAGTGGCCAGAATGATGGCATAAGTGCATCTGAAACATGGTGAAGGCTTTCAAGGGAGATGGATGGCAGTGCATCTTTTATTGTAATAATAATTATTATTATTATTTGAGACAGGGTCTTGCTATGTAGTTCAGGCTGGCCTTGAACTTCCAGCAATTCTCCTGAGTGCTGGGACAGGCATGCACCACCATGCCTGGCTGTAATTATTATTTTTTTGGTACTGGGGGTCGAACTCAGGACCTTGTACTTTCGAGGCAGGCGGCTGAACCACTGAGCTAAATCCCCTGCCCTGTAATAATTTGGTTTTGTGGGGTTTTTTTCGAATAATTTGTTTTTAAGTTAAACACTCACCATATTTCTCATCACATCTCATATTTTAAATTGTAGAAATAGGGCTGGGGTTCTAGCTCAGTGGTTCCAGCGCCTGTCTTGCAAGCACAAGGTCCCAAATTCGATCCCTGGTACCAAAAAAAAAAAACAACATGGCAGTAAACTGTGGAAATATGGGTGTGGAAAATCCACATTACCATGAAGTTCACCATCTTAATGATTTATTACTTCTTTCTGGTGCAGGGATCTAATCCAGGCCCCGCCCCAGGCTCCACCCCCAGGTCCCCTGGCCGCTTTTCAGCGGCGATTTGTTGCAGCTTCTGCCAGAACTCTTTTCACCCTGCAAAACTGAAACTCTGGCCCAACTGAACACGAACCCCGTCCTCCAGCCCTAGCCCCTGGCGCTGGCCACTCCACTTCCTGTCTCTGAATCCGATGATGGTGCGGCCTCAGCACCCTTACCCCGAGCTATAACCCCAGCCCTTTTTCTTTTTTTTTTCCCCAGCCTTTTTTTATTTTTCAGACAATCTGGCTAAGTTGCCTAGGCTGGTCTCCAGCATTCAATCCTCTTGCCTCAGCCTCCCAAGTGCTGGTATTACAGGTGTGAACCACTGCACCCAAATTCTAATTGTTTTTTATAATTTGCAGCTGTTCATTTTCCCCAAGGGGTGCAGTGTTCCCCTCAACTACAGGTCCATGTGTGGAGCGAACAGAACAAGCTCTTATTCCATTCCTTTGCCCCTAAAACTCTCTGTAACATACGGTCCTGCGAGGGAGGACCCTGCAGCTACTAAACAAAAGGGAAGGGTACTCGGCTGGGTGTGGTGATGCACGCTTCTGACCCCAGCACTGGGAGGCTGAGGCAGGAGGATTGCCACAAGTTTGAGGCCAGCCTGGACTACATAGCGAGACCCTGTCTCAAAAAAATAAAAAGAAATAAAAGAAAAGGGACGAAGAGATGGAGGGAGGGAAGAGGAAGGGGAAGAGAAGGAGATGAAAAAGAATTAAGAGCTGTAGTATCCGCGAATCAAGCCTCCCCCCCCCCCGAATGTGATCACTATGTACTGCAAAGGCAAACTAATAAAAATAACAGTTAAAAAATGAAGAAACAAATAAAACGAACTGATAAGAACAGATTTTCCAGAGCAGCAGAAACCACTTTATACCCCATCGACATTACACAAGGGCTTTGATTTCCCCACACCCTGCTCGGCACTTTATTTTCTAGGTTTGGGGGTGGTTAACTTGTTTGTGTTGAGCGGTCGCCATCCCAATGACTGTGCCGTGCACGTCTCGCTGCTTGGGGGGGGGGGCTTTTTCAACAGGAGCGTGGATGTCTGCCAGTCTCTAGTTGCACAATTCCAGGGCTTATCTTCTGGGTACGCAGCCCCACTGATAAGGGGCTATCTTTAGCCCCAGGCCTGAGAAAGAAAGGGTAAGAGCCTGCCAAGGTCAAAGGTAAGCTGCACAGCCAGAAACAGAATCCACTTTTTTTTTTTTTTTTTTGAGAAAGGGTCTCACTTGTAGTTGGGGCTGGTTTTGAACTCACTATGTAGCCAAGGCTGGCCTCAAACTCACAGCCATCCTCCTGCTTCAGCCTCCCGAGTGATGGGATGACAGCCTGCACCACCACGCCCGAGTTATGTGCGTGGGTTTTTGGTGGGGTTTTTTTGGTACCAGGGATCGAACTCGGGTCCTTGCGCTTGCAAGGCAGGCGACAGAACCACTGAGCTAAATTCCTGGCCCAATGCGCGTGTTTTAACTGACACTCGTATAACGCTTAACTGAATACCAGGCACCATTTAATCTGTACGCCAACCCTGAGGTCGACAGTATTCTGGCCCTTATTTCACTGAAGAAGAAAGCAAGACACAGAGAGGTGAAGTAACTAACCCAAAGTAACACAGGTAGTAAATGGTATAGCAGGCATTGAAATCCAATATATCTGACTGCAGATTTCATTTTGCTAATAGGATGTACTTATGTTTGTTGTGTGTATCCCATGTAAAACGTCAGCTCCATAAGAAGCAGTTCCCTACACCGCCTCTATAACCGCACCCTTCACGAATCCCACACTAGACCCAGGAATAAAAGAACAGCCTCCCGGTCGCACAGCAGCTGTCCAACCTTCGCAGGCGTATTAGGCCCCCCTCCCGGACACACCCCTCTCTCCACTAATTGGTCATGACTGATGACTGACAGATGACTGACGCAGGCGCACCAGGCTAGACCCAGACTCCTCTGTTCTGAGACACACCCTTCTCTGTACTTATTGGCCACCTCTAGTGACTGACGGAGATAGAACCCAATAAAAGCTAGGTTCTCCGGGTAGGGGCGGGCCCTACGGGTAGACAAATTTGCGCGGGTTTGGCGTAGTCATGGCGGCTTTCCGTGATATTGAGGAAGTGAGCCAGGGGCTGCTGAGTCTGCTGGGCACCAACCATGCCCAGGCGCAGCAGCGACGGCTCCTGGGGCGCCACGAGCAGATCCTGGAGCGGCTGCTGGAGATGCAGGATGACGCCGAGCAGCGGCTGCGAGGTGAGAGGGAGGGAGCGAGGGCGCGAGGCCACCTCCCATCCGGCTGATGTATGGAGGAGGTGTACGTAGGAGTTCGCACGGTCCAACTCCCGATGCGTGCTCTGGGAGCAAGAGCTGGACGATGGAGATTGAACTGAGAATCAGCGCCCCCACTGGTGGACCTTCTGTGCCTCAGTTTCCTTAGGTGTCATAAGTCTGGGCCTCCCTCCTGAGGTTGTAGAGGGGATGTGAGCCTGGCCCTGGGTGGCATCAGGGGACAAACCAGACAGGGTCCCTGTCCTTAGAGAGCTGACATGCTAGTGGGGGACAGAGGGGACAGAAACAAAAACTCCTGTGTCCTAAGCCCAAGGGGACAAATTGGGTTGTGTAACTAGGATCGGGGGAAGCAGGGTCTGCCAGGGAGTTCTGCAAAGACTGTTGAAGCAAAAACCCGAGGAGAGCCGAGTATGGTGGTGCAGGCCTGTCATCCCAGCACTGGAGAGGCTGAGGCAGGAGGATCCCTTCGAGCTCAAGGCCAGCCTGAGCTCCATAGTGAGTTCAAAGCCAGCCTGGACTACATAACGAGACCCTGTCTCAAAAAACCGAACCAAACCAAACCAGAACAAAACAAAAAACCCTGGAGGAGATAAGGGAGGCAAGGCTATGATGAGGATTTTTAAAACTGGTGTGGGTAAAGGGCCTTGCACTTTAGATAGAAAATATGGGATAAATAATTCCATTTTCATTGGATCCAAGATGCCATTGAATGTAAAATTTTCTGAAAGGTAAGAAGGAAAGGGCTAATATCTTTACCTGAGCTGGGGGTGCCGCTCAGTGGTGAGCACTTGCCTAGCATGCACAAGGCCCTAGGTTTCATTTTCAGCACTGGGAGAAAAAAAAAGACTGAAATTATTATTATTATTGTTATTGTTATTATTATTGTTATTATTGTCATTGGTGGTGGAGCTGAAACCCAGAGCCTTGCCCATGCTAGGGACCTGCTCTAGGACTGAGTCTCCCCAGACCTTTTCTTAACATTTTGAAACAGGGCTCACTAAATTGCCCAGGGTGGCCTCACACCTGTGATCCTCCAGCCTCACCCTCCTGAGTAGCTGTGATTACAGGCATGTGTCACCTCGCCTGGCTTTTAGCCATTTGCAAACCTGCAGTTCGTTCAGTGGCATTAAGCACAATCATAGGGTTGTGCAGCTGTCACTCTAGAACTTTTGCATCTACCCAAACTAAACCTCGGTCCCAATTAAACACCAACATTTCCCCAAAGCCTGGCACCCACCATTCTACTTTGTTTTGTTGTTTTTTTGAGACAGGGTCTCACTATGTAACCCAGGCTGGCCTTGAACTCTTGGCGACTCTCCTGCCTCAGCCTTCCAAGTGCTGGGATGACAGGTGTGGGCCAGCATACCCGGCCTTGTTCTTTGCTTCTTGGGGGTGTAGGTCTGTGGAAGAGCAAGTGCTTAGCAGGTGCTGTGCCCAGGGCTCAACCCCCAGCACCAAAAACAAGAGCAAAACTCCACTGTGCAGGGGGTTTGACAATGTGTGGAGGGTAAAGTGGGCGCTCAGGTAAACAGTGGCACTTAATGATGAGAGACTGCTCCCCAGGGAGGAAGCCATCGGCTCCTGCTTGCCCCCCCAGGAGGGTAGAAGTCCTTGCCTGACCCTTAGCCATCAGAATGGGAAGTCACACAAATAAGAAATCGAAGCCTAAGCGAATTACTTGGAACTGTGGGCCCCTGGCCAGACCAAACAGCTGAAGCTGAAAGCAGCTGCTTCAGAGGAGGGGAGAAGCTGAGAGAGGGGTGTGTTCAAGTGCATGTTTAAGTGCAGGATCGTATATGGAAGACTCTGATGAAACATTAGCGTGCGTCTAAGCACATCAGCGCGGGGAGCATTTCAATCCAAGCCATCTTGGAGTCGGCAGGTTTCTCTGGGTCTCTGTAAGGAACACAGTAGCTTTCATAAGATGTTTTTTGATCTTTTTGGATGTTTTGTTCAATATGTGTCTGTTCCAAGTAGTTGGTGGAAAATCAAAAAAAGATGTAGTCTCTGATTTTTTTGTTTTGTGAGATTTTTTTGTTTTGTTTTTTTAGACTGTCTTTGTAGCCCAGAGTGATCTCAAACTCACGATGATCCTCCTCCCTCAGCCTCCTCAGTGCTAGGATTACAAGCCCACCACATAATGGCTTTTTATTTTTTATTTTGAGACAAGGTCTCACTAGGTAGCTCAACGGGCCTCAAACTCAAGATCCTCCTGCCTCAGCCTCCCAAGTAGATGGATTATAAGTGCACTGTTGCACCCAGCCTACCCAGGGGATCTTGAAGGCGGGGTTCGGGGGTGTCTGGTGGGAGGAACACGGGGCCATGTCCTGGCAGACAGGAAGAGGCAGGCCCCGGACTGTGCGCACCATGGTGCCTCTCAGGACTGACGGGGAGAAAGCATGTAGTTGGGCAGTGATTCTGAAGGGACAGCCAGGTATGGTGGGCTGAGGCAGGAGGATCACTTGAGCCCAGGAGTTTGAAACCAGCCTGAGCACACAGTGAGACCCTGTCCCCTTTCCCCTCTAAAATATTCAAGGGTGCTAGCGAGGGGCACCGGGGAGCCTGGGCAGCTGAGCAGGGTGTGACTTTGCCTTGGCGGTTAACACTGCTAGTCAGGGCAGAGAGCTGAACAGATTAGCACATGTGGGAACCGAACCCTGGGCTTCCCGGTGTCGCTTTTGGGGTCCATACTGGGATCCATCCCGGGGCCTCTGGCATTTGAGGCCAGTGTTCTACCACTGAGCTACATCCCCAGCCTTTTAAATTTTATTTTGAGTCAGGGTCTCACTAAGTCCCCCAGGCTAGCCTCGATCTTGAGATCCTCCTGCCTCAGCCTCCCAGAGTGCTGGGATTCCAGGTGTGCAACACACATCCAGTTTGTAACCTATGCTTGTTAGTAGTTAAGATGAGGTGCTCGTGGAGGCCTGATTTTATTCTTTTGGGTACATTTAAATGTGTCTTGGCAACTCTAGCTCCGAGTGTGTTCCAGTACCTTCTGGTCGGAGCTGGAACTGGGGCTGCAGATCAGAGGCTCTGATGTTGCCGGGGCTGGTGCCCCCCACACACACACTCTGAACCCTGTGGGGAACAGGGACCGAGGGAGCCTCCTTCTTTCCCCTGCAGAGACGCTGGCTGTGGAGGAGAAGGTGGCCCAGAGCCTCCTGGACACCAAGGAGTGCATGCGCCAGGGCGGGGCCAAGCTGCAGCAGCTGGAAGCCGAGCTCCAGAAGGCGGGTGAGGAGGATGCCATCCTCCGGGCCCGGCTGCGATATCCTTCCGGGCCAGCGCTGGGCTAGCATACAAGGAGGAAAGGGAGGAAAGAGGCCGGGCTGGTGGTGCACTCGGGAGGCTGAGGCAGGAGGATTGCTGGGAGGCTGAGGCCAGCCTGGGCTCAGCGAGCCCCTGCCTCAAACAACAGAAAAGGTGCTTGAGCCTGACGCCCTGGGCCCAGAGTGTGGGACACTGTCACGCCCTCCGTTTCAAAGCTGGGGTCCTTAACGGCTGTGCACCCAGCTCAGCCAGGAGCTGCAGGAGCTCAGGGAGCTGGAGGCTGAACTGGACAGACAGGAGAGAGAGGTGGACGAGGACACCACAGTCACCATCCCCGCTGCTGTGTGGGTTCCTGAGCGCACAAATGCGGGGGCCGGGGCTGGGGTTCAGGTTGGTGCCCAGGCGACGGGCTTTTCCCTTTGTCCTGTCTCCCGTCCAGGTACGTGGCCCAGCTCTATCGTCGGATTAGTAAAATAGAGTGGGATTATGAGTGCGAGCCCGGGGCGATCCGCGGCAGTATCCTTTTCTGGAGAAATGTTTGAAGAGGAAAATGAACGGCCACTGGGTCAGACGGCCAGAGAGTCCCGGATTCCATCTAGGCCTCTCAAAAGAACAAGGAGGGAGCTCGGGGTGCTTTTTGCAAGGTGGAGTACAAGGCCTTGAACCTGCTGAGCAAGTGCTCTACCACTGAGCTTTACCCCCAGCCCTTTTTATTTTATCTCCAGACAGGGTCTAAGCAAGTTTCTCAGGCTGACCTCAAACTTGCAATCCTCCTGCCTCAGCTTCCTGAGTAGCTGAGATTACAGAAAGGACCTAAATGTCTTAAATTGAAAGGGAGGGGCTTGGTTTGTGACTGAGTTGCAAAGCACAATTCTAGCATGCACAAAGCCATGGTTTCAACTGCCAGCACCAAAGATAAATCAGTAAGCCAGGTGTGATGGTGCTCACTTGTCATCCCAGCACTCTGGGAGGCTGAGGCAGGAGGATCCCTTAAACAATTTAGCGGCTTAGTGAGACCCAAATAAAAAAGACTAGGGGTAGAGTTCATTGCAAGGGCCCTCGGGTTAAACTCCAGTGCAGTACCGTAATAGATGGATGGGGGGGACACACGCACACACGCACACACCCTCCCCCTGGGCCGCAGGAAAGGCCGGGCACTGTTTGTTCTCCTTGCCTCCGTGCCAGTCCATCACGGCCCCAGTGTGGCCCAGCCCGTCCACCTGGACAGCGCCCAGCTCTCCAAGCAGTTCGTCAGCGACTACCTCTGGAGCCTGCTGGATACCGCGTGGTAGCTGGGAGCTTCAGGGGCCGTCCTCATGTCCGGGTCGTGGGGTCAGGTTAAGGGTAGACGTTTGTGCCAGTTTTGGTGGTGCACACCTGTCATCCTAGCAGTCAGGAGGCTGAGGCAGGAGGATCACCTCAAGTTCGAGGCCAGCCTGGGCTACGTAGCGAGACCCTGTCTCAAAAGGCAAAAAAAAGATACTAATAAATGTTTGTGCATAAATGGGCCTCTTAGTGTCTTTTCCTCCCTGCTTTGGCTTCAGATCCTGGACTGACTGTAGGGAGCTGTAGAGGACTGATGTGACCACGCTGAGTGCTCTTCCACATCCGTGACCTTGCCTCACAAATGACTCTAAAGTGCTGGCTGTGTTGGCCCAGGCCTGTGATCCCAACACTGGGGAGGCTGAGCTAGGAGGATTGCGAGTTCAAGGTCAGTCAGGACTACATAGTGAGTGCCTGTCTCAAACAACAACAAAAAAATTGACATTGTAGTATGGGGTGATAGATTCTCGATTTTTGTTGGATTGTTTTTATTTAGTGCTGAGGATGGAACACAGGGCCTCCTCCTACATGGCAGGCAAGCGCTCGGACTGACCTACACCACCACTGGGTTCTTTTTTCAGGGTCTCTCTATGCAGCTTAGGGAGGCCTCCAACTCGGTGAACCTCCTGCCTCAGCCTCCCCGGTGCTGGGATTACAGGTGAGCACTACCACGCTCGGCTTCCATAGGATGCTTTTGTTTTTGTTACCGGGGATCGAACTCAGGTCCTTGCGCTTGCTTGCGAGTCAGGAGGCGGAACGACTGAGCGAAATCCCCAGCCCTCTATCCGACGCTTTTATGTGGCCCCCATCTGTCCCATCGGCCTCCCAAGAGCAAGTCTTGAGCCAGAGCAGCCCGTGTCCCAGCCCTAGTGACACGGGGCCAGACAACCCCCTGTCCTGTGACCTCCTCTGGACACCATAGAACACTTGGCGCCCTCCCTGGCTTCCACCCCCAGATGCCAGTGGCACCCGCCCCTCCCTGTGTCCACAGGAAATGCCTCAGCCATTGCCGGTGCTGGAGACAAAGCCTCATGCGAGGCCAGCGTGGCATTGGGCCCATGGCCAGGGGCTGAGTTGCTGCTGTCACCTTGGTGGCCGTTCCCACCAAGATGGGGCCAGAAGCTCACTCCTGTGACGGAGGTGCCAGGCACTGGAGGAGGACAGACGGGTCCCTGCACCTGGCAAACCCGAGTGCCAGGGAGAGGAAGCAGGCAGCGGTGGCCCTGGTCACCTCCCTGCTGCAGGACCCCACTGGCCATGCCCCCAGCGCCATGGCCTCAGTTTCCCGAGGAGAGATGAGGGAATGTCTGTGCCCTGCCCCCGCCCCCTGCCCACCAGGGCTGCCCAAGGGAGGAATGTGGCTGCCGGGCTGATCTCACTGCGGGAGAGGCCGGGCTCTGCGCGCCTGCCTGGGCTGTGACTCACTGCTCAGCCTGGCCGGCAGCCCAGACAACCTCAGGCCACAGCCTCCAGCTGGGGCCGCCCCTGCCCCGCTGTCCTCTTCCAGAGGGGCTGGCCCCAGCTGGCTCTCCCATCTGGAGGCCGACTGGGTGCCCATGACAGCCCTGTGGCCACGGGAAGAGGGTTCAAGTCCCACACCTGTCATCTCAGCACTTGGGAGGCTGAGGCAGGAGGATCGCTGCAAGTTTGAGGCCAGCCTGGCCTATAAGGGTGAGATCCTGTCTCAAAAAAAAAATTCTCCCAGTATGCCATCGCAGACCTTTAAAGCCATTGCTGTGGGAGTTACCTGGCCCTGCCGATGGCTTCCTAGATCCTAAGGCCAGGAGTCCCCTGTCAGTGGGACTCGAATGGCCCCTCTGGTGGCCTCCCAGGTCCCCCTGGGGTGAAGGTGCAGCCGGGGTGGCCATGCCCTCCTCTCAAGCTGTCCTCTGGCCTGGCACCTGATGCCCCCACCTTGCACCTCTCTGCAGGCCGGAGAAAAATCCCATCTCAATGTTCTCAGGCACAGAGACCGAATTGGTCAGGGGCGCAGGTGTCTGCCTGAGCAGGGAGCAAGGGCAGAGGCTAGGTGCGAGCCCAGCACCCACATCTGGAGCTTGTCAAGCTGGGGAGAGGCTGGGGACCCAGTGTGGGTTTGTTTGTTTGATTTGGTTTTTTGTGACAGGGTCTGGCCGTGTAGCCCAGGCTGGCCTTGAACTCACAGCGATCCTCCTGCCTCAGCCTCCTGAGTGCTGGGATGACAGGTGTGTGTCACCACACCCAGCTTCTCCTGTTCACTTGGAAGTGTGACTGGTGTCTGTGTCCCGCCTGGCCCTCCTGTAGGAGCCACACTCTTGTGAAGGCCACCAGGAGGTCAGAGAGAGCCGTGTGCCTGGCTGTGGGTTTTCTGGTGGATGGGGAAACTGAGTCCCAGTGCGGGGCGGGGGGGGGGTCAGGCTATTTGTCTCAGTTTTCACATCCAGGAGGTAGCAGAGCTGGGGATTTTCACCTGAGCCATCCAGATCTAGACCTTAAGCTCTTAATCTTCACAAATGAGATCATTTATTTCAGTTGGTGATAACTGAGCCAGAGAAAATAAAACCCCATGGGAGGGGAGCTCTGCAGGTCCCCAAAAACGAGGTGTCGCTACCCAGATCCTTCCCATGGAGCTACCTCTCTCCCCCCTTTTTATTTTTTAGTTGGAGACAGGGTTTTGCCAAATTCCCCTGGCTGGGTTGAACTTGTGATCCTCCTGCCTCAGCCTCCCAGAGTGCTGGAACTACCGGTGTGCACCGCTGTGCCCCGCTGCCATTGACCTCTTCACGGGTCACTGTGCAGCAGCCTGGCCCACCTCCAACTGGTGACCCCTCTCAGGAGGGGTGCAGGGGAGGGGCCCGCCCGGGGGCAGGAAGTGTGTGGGAGATAAGGGGCCGATCAGGCTGCACAGTCATCACCGTGGTAAATCACCGTCCTGCCCCACCCCACCCCCTGCCGTGGGGACATCCGGGACAGCTGCAGGGCAGAGCGGCAGCCCCGCCTTCCTTCCTCCGCAGCCTAGGGTCAGGCTGACTCTTGACAGCTGTAGCAGGGCAGCAAGGATACTTTTTTATTTTGAGACAGGGTTTCGCTGTATAGCTCAGGCTGGCTTTGAACTCATGGCAATCCTCCTGCCTCAGCCTCCCAAGTGCTGGAACTACCGGTGTGCACCGCGCCAGAACCACTGAGCTAAATCCCTGCCCCAGTGAGCAGTGTTTTAGTAACTCCTTTAACAGAGAACAGCCCAAGCCGGACACCAGACGCTTCCAGCACCTCCGACCTTCCCCACCCTTCAGCTCCAAGGCTCCCCCTAGCTCCCGGCCACCCCGCCTGCTTGGCCCGTTTAACCTGTTTGCAGACCGGCTGAGCTTGCGTTCGTCCAATTGAGCAATTATTGGCGGGAGATCCCGGGCGGGCTGCTCAATTTTTGCTCCCGGAGGCGTTTTGGATGGTGCCCAGAACTGAAGGCGGAAGGAGGAAGGACGAGCCACCGTGTGGACACAGGGGACATGACAGGCGAGCAGCAGATCTGTTTTCAGGGGGGGAAACTGAGGCTCCCAGGTGCCCAAGAGGTTCAGGGCGGAGCCAGGATCCAAACTCATGGTCTAGTGGGTCCCCGGGTCGCTTGTCCCCAGGCGCCTGCAGCGGTGGGTTCTTGCTGGGCTCAGCGGAGTGGGGCCAGGGGGCGGGTCCCATCCACCCTGCGGGTCCCCAGCAGCGTCCCCAGAAGCCCCCACTTGGAAACAGCCCAAATGCCCATCAACTGGAGACTGGATAAAGAAAATGTGGTGTTTTAATAAAATGGAGTACTACTCAGCCATAAAAAACGAGAAATTAGAGACATTTATAGCTAAGTGGATGCACATTGAGGCGATACTCTTAAGTGAAATAAATAGGACACGTGTAAATACCGAATAGTTTCTCTGGTGTGAGAAACTGAAAGTGTAAATAAGGACTAAATGTATAATAGGTAATGTGAAATAGGAAGAAAAGGGGCAAAGGGGAAGGAAGTGGGAGGGCTGGGGAAAGGATAGAAGGGAATGGGATTAATATGAGAAAATGGGAAAACAGGAACAAAATCTTTGTAAATAGGGAGGACTGGAGGGGTTGAAGGGAGGGCTGGGCAAGGGTGAAAAATAAGAACCAAGAGAGACTAGGTAAAGGTGCAAATTTCCAATGATGAATATCATTGTATTATATACCTAAAATGTACCAATGATTAGAATGAATAATCGATAATGCAAAATAGGAAGAAAAGGTCCAAAGGGGCAGGGGAAAGGAAAGAAGGGAAAGGAAAAAATGAGAAATGGAAAAAATGGAAATAAAGTCTTTGTAAATAGGGAAGGGTGGAGGGCGTGAAGGGAGGGCTAGGAATGGGGAAAAATTAAGAACCAAGATGCATCATGTAAAGGTACAGTTCCCAATGAGAAATGTTAACTGTGTTGTATGCCTACAATGTACCCATAAAAGAATTTAATACAGAAAAGGAATCCTTGGTATGTGTCCTTTTGGAACTGGCTCCTTTCCCCACTCTGTGTCCTTGCAGTGCCGCCCAGCAGAACTTCCTGTCAGGGCGCAATGAGACCCCTTTGTTAGTGGGAACCCCCCTGTGGATCCCATTTGCTCACACGTGGACACGGGGGTTCTTGCTGCTTTGGGCTGTTGTGGATGATGCTCCTGTGAACACGGGTTTGCAAAGATCTGTTCAGGATTGGGCTTTTTGCTGAGTGTGGTCACACACACCTGTAATCTAAGTTACTCCGAAGGCTGAGGCAGGAAGATTGCAAGTTCGAGCCCAGCCTGGGGAACTTAGTGAGATCCTGGCTCAAAATAAGAAATAAAAAAGGGCTGGGGATGTAGTTCAGTTCTCCCTGGGTTCAATCTCCAGTACTATCCCTACAAACCAAAAAACCAGGCATGGTCATCCCAGTAGTCAGGAGGCTGAGGCAGGAGGATATGCATGAGTTTGAGGCCAGCCTGGATTACATAGCAAGACCTTGTCTCAAAAAAAAAAAAAAAAGAGAGAGAGAAAGGAAAAAAAATCCTGCTTTCAGCTCTTTTGTGTGTTTACCCAAAAGTGGAATTTCTAGATCATATGGTAACTTGATGATTTTTTTTTTTTTTTGAGGAATCACCAACTATTTTCCACATTGGCTGCAACACTTCATAGTCTCACCAACAGAGCACAAAGTGTCCCAGTTTCTCTACATCTTTTTTTTTTTTTTTTGGTACTGGGAATCAAACATGGTTCTTGTGCTTCTACATCTTTTTTTTTTAATGAAAAAATAAAACAGGGCCGGGTATTTAGCTTAGTGGTTCTGCCACCTGCCTCACAAGCACAAGGGCCGGAGTTCTATCCCCGGTACCCCCCCCAAAAAAGAAAAAAGAAAACAAGATTTCATAACAATAATAAGACAATAGCAATAGTGAATACACCGTGTATTGTTATCTTCAAAGTAGTTACTCAAAGGGCTGGGGATTTAGCTCAGTGGTTTCACTGCCTGCTGCACAAGCGCAAGGACCCGAGTTTGATCCCCAGTACCAAAAAAACAACAAAAAACAAAACAAAGTAATTACTCAGAGAAGACATGGAAAACAAAGCTTTATAAAGAAGAAACAAAGGGGTGGGATGAAGTGGGGGTTGTGCTGTACACACCTGTCATCTGGTGTAACAACTTTTTTTTTTTTGGTACCGGGATCGAACTCGGGTCCTTGCGCTTGTGCAGCAGGCGGCAAAAACACTGAGCTAAATCCCCGGCCCCCTCTATTTATTTTTTAAAACACAGGGTCTTTCGTGGTTGCCCAGGCTGTCGCTGAGCTCGTGGCCTCAAGAGATCCTCTTGCCTCAGCCTCCTGAGGATATGGGACCTTGTGGACCCACCGAATGCCTGACTGTGCCCCAGTTGATAGGAGTCTCTGTCCTTTGCTTTATAGTGTCTTAGGGGCCTTAAATGCCCACAAAGGCCACGCCGGCAGAGCTGAGGCACGTGTGTGAGAGAATTGCCTGCAGGCTGTCGGGGTGGGCAGCAGTGCCTGGGCCTGGGTGCCCCTGGCTGCTGCCCAGCAGCATAGCACCTGCATCGAATTCGAGACCCCTTCTGGCAGATCTTCTGAGTCCTGGGACTGCTGTTGTGAAATCTCTTCATCTCTCCATCTGAGCAGTGGATCTGATAGCTTGTTCATCCTGCCTCTGCCCCTCATCTTTGGTGTGTGTTTGAGACAGGGTCTTGCTATGTAGCCCAAGCTGGCCTCCCAACTCACAGCAATCCTCCTGCCTCAGCCTCCCGAGTGCAGGGATGACAGGCGAGTGGCACCATTCTGGGGAGCCCAGCCTCATACGGTGCCAGCCAGTGTGGGACAAAGGCAGAGGGCAGAGCTCTTCAGAAAATGCTAGGCGGGGCTGGGGTGCTACAGCTCAGGCTGGGCGCTTGCCCAGCAGAAGGCACCGGGGTCCAGCCCAGCACTGGGGGGAATGGAGGTAAAAAGGGTAAATGCAGGGTCACTGCTGATGGAGCTGAGGGCAGGCTTGTCCTGCAGCCCCACAGATCCCCCTCACAGCGACTCCTCTGTCACCTCCTAGCGCCAATGTCGCCTCAGCAATGCCCTTCCTCACCCCTCCTAGGGAATAGAGCCTCCCCCATGCCTGTCATGACTTTGTCTAGTTGTTCCTTTTCATATTCTCCTAAAATAAAGCAATTAGAAAATCGGGAGTAGTGCAGGCCTATCATCCCAGGACTCGGGAGGCTAAGGCAGGAGGATCACCGTGAGTTTGAGGCCAGCCTGGGCCACATAGTGAGATCCTGGGAAGAAAATGTTCCTTTCCTGTCTTCCTCTGAGGATATCCAACCTTTCACAGATGGTGGAAGTGAGGAACCGAATTCAAAACACACGAGATTTAGCCAAAGGGCTCACTGTGGAAATTTACTCGATCACTGTGCGACATTCAGGCTATAAAAACATTCTATACAGTGGTTTAAAAAGCGGACCCATCCCCACAGCATCCAGCCCACCAGGCGGCGCTGTTCTTCCCAGAAGCCGCCATGCGCATCACCTTGTACAGAAAGCCAAGGCGGCTGGGAGCCATCCCACAGGGCCCCGGCAGGTTCACCATCGCAGCAAGGAGGGTTTGCAAAAATAAATAGAACACACACATACACACGCACACAACTGTCTCAACAAATACACAAAGTGCAAACATAAGGCCCGGCGCAGCTCCCTGCAGGTGGCGGTGCTACACTCGTGGGCTGAAGGCGCCCTTGGGAACGGGGTTTTAGCATCACTGTCGTGACTATCCAGGGATCCCTGGGGACTTCTCAATCCCGGACTCCAGGGGAGGCAGCCTCCACGGGACATCTGTGGTGATTTCAGACAGGATTCCTGCTTCCCAGATCCCCTGGCATGTGCAGGACTGGAGGGATTCTGGGGGACCTCGGCTTCCAGGGGAGGTTAAGGGCTTGACGGTATTTGCATAGAAGCAGAAATGGGACTGGGATGAGTGGTTGGAGAAAGAAAGGGGGCTGGGGTTGGCTCAGTGGTACAGCGTGTCCCGGTGCTCTGGGAGGCTGAGGCGGGTGGATCGCAAGTTTCAAGCCCAGCCTGGACAACTTAGTGAGACTCTGTCTCAAAATAAAAACTTTAGAAAGGGCCAAGGATGTAGCTTATTGTGAAGGCCCTGGGTTCAATCTCCAACACAAAGGAAAGAAAGCAGGGAAGGAGGGAGGGCAAATGGCTCTTCCAGAGCAGCAGCACCAGAGCTTTGAAGTCCCAATCAATCTGACCTTCCCTATGCTCCGAGTACTGAGCACTGTAGCTCTGCATTCAAAGCTGGCCACCTCCAGAGCTGGGCGTGGTGACGCACACCTATGACTCCCAGCACTTGGGAGGCTGAGGCAGGAGGATCACTGCGAGTTGGAGGCCAGCCTGGGCTACTACCTAGTGAGACCCCCCCCACCTCAAAAAGAATGAAAAAACAAAAAGCTGGCCACTTTCAGCCAGCAATCTGTCCCAAGGCAAGCAGCAGCAAACAGAATAACAATGCAAGTGCTCAACTGACACCGCATGCCACCATGACCTGCCAAAGTGCAAGGAGGTAAAGGAGGAGCACCAGTCAGTGTGGGAAGGCCAGGGCTGGGGTCTGTGGGGTGGCTGGTCTCAGGGCGCAGAGGCTGCGTGCATCCCTGAGAGCCCAGGCACTTCTTAATGTTAAAGGCTATGGTGACGCAGGCTTTTCCTTGACAACTGGCAGAGCTTTGGCGAATGAATGAGTGAATGGACTGCGGCCATCAGTGGTGCCCTGAAAGTTCCTAGGATCCAAGCGTATAGAAGGCAAGGGGCCCTGAGCCACTGTCCGCACTCCCCGGGGCAGGCCTGGCATGAAGGCCCTGATCTGGGTGGTGGGGTGAGGGTGACAGCGTGGAGGTAAACATGCTCTCCTGAGTTGAGGGGCTGGGGTAGGGGGACCCTGTGGCTAATACATGCTGTCCCTTGTCCAAAGCCATGGCTCCCCTCCGCCCATGTGCCTGTCCTTTGGTCCTTTACGCTGCCAAGGGGGGAAAGGCAAAACAAGCCAGGCCTGGTGGTGCACACTGGTCAGCCCAGTACTTGGGAGGGTGAGGCAAGAGGATCGCTGTGAGTTCGAGGCCAGCCTGGGCTACATAGCAAGACCTTGTCTCAAAAAAAGAAAAAAGAGAAAGAAAAATGGAGGGCAATGTCCACAGGGAGGAACCAGCTCCTTTTTGTCTTTTCCTGTTCTTCGTAGGGAAAGAAGGAAGACAGCCCGATCTGATCCTATTCTGTGGGCGCCGTCCCGAGCCTGGTTCTGCCTCCCGGACAATAAATATATAAAACAAAGCCCGGGCAGACGGCTGCTGGGCTCGGCTGCCACGGTGCCTTTGGTCTCTTCTTGCTCGGAATGGAGCGGGAAGCCTTGGAGGCGGCTCAGGGTCTCAGGCAGCAAGGTAACAGTCAGGGGCCAGGAGAAAGTGTCCTTCCTGTCTCCAAGGCGGCACGGGTTCAGCTCACACCACGTCATCCTCCAGGCTGACCCTCTGCCTCTGGACAGAAGAATGCAGGAAGCAATCAGCTCAGCTGCAGTAAACATGGCCCAGGTCCCCATGCTCACCCAGCCCCTGCCAGGCTCCTCCCATGGCTGCTACCTTCACAGCCACCAGAGGGCACTGTGCACGCCTGAGCATTGCTTCTCCTAGGACACCTACAGCTCTACCCCAGGGCCTTTGCACACCACACTTCCCACTTGGAGACGCCTACCCTGGACCTCCTTTCTAAAATGGCACCTCCTCCTCCGCTGAGATCGGGCTGGGGCCAACAGGGCACTCACCGAGGGGTAGATGTAGCCGTCCTGGCTGCGGCAGATGTGCACCTCGTCTTCTGTGGTCTTCTGGTATACGGGGTTGTCAAAGTTGATGCTGTTGATGTTCTTGAGCCGCCAGTTCTTCCACAGCAGAAAGGCACCAAGGCAGAGGAGAGCGACCAGCCCTGCGCAGAGAGGCGGCCGTCGCGTGCACAGCTCAGACCACGGCCTGGCCAGGCTGCCGGCGTCAGACCCCAACCCTGGTCTCCCATTCTTTTCCCTTTGCTTTTTTTAAAACTCAGTTTATTCTTTGAGACCAGGTTTTGCTGCCTTGCCCGGGCCGGGCTCCAAGCTGCCATCCTCTGCTTCGCCTCAGCCTCCCAGAGCACTGCAATGACGGATGGGCTGCACCACCACTCCTGGGTGTTTCTGTTTGTTTCTTTGTGATACCAGGGGTTGAACCCAGGGCCTTCACACTGAGTTGCATCTCCAGCCCTTTTAAAATTTTGAGACAGGGTCTCACTAAGTAGCTAAATTGCAGACCACAGGTGGAACTTGCAATCCTCCTGCCTCAGCCTCCCAGAGTGCTGAGATCACAGGTGTGGACTACCACACCTGGCTTCCCTTGGGTCCGTCTCTCTCTCTCTCTTTCTCTCTCTCCCTCCTCCCCCCTCCTCACTGTGTAGCCCAGGCTAGCCTCAAACTTGCAGTGATCCTCCTGCCTCAGCCTCCCGAGTGCTGGGATGACAGGTGTGCACTGGGGCTGCCTCTTTCTTGGGAGTGAAGGTAACCCGGTGAGATCTGCTTACCGATGGGAAGGACGATGGTCAGAGCCCCCACGCTGTGAGGCTTTTCCCCTCTGCCAGCGGCGTTGCCCACGACTGCAGGAGGGAAGGGGTAACAGTGAGGCCAAGGTACAAATGGGGGACACAGAAAGCAGAGCAGGAGAGTGACAGTCACACAAGGAAAATGCCTGACACACCTCACTACCCTGCTTCCAGGCTGGCCTGGAACTCGCAGCTATCCTCCTGCCTCTGCCTCCCAAGTGCTGGGATGCCTGGCCTGGAGTGATAATTCAGCAGCATGGGCTGCTCTGGAAATTGTTCTCCTTCAAGGGCTCCTTCGCCACCTCTGGGAAGCCCCACACAGGCCAGTCGGTGAAGTGGTTTTTCTAGAAATCCCGTCTCCAGGATGAGGCTACCAGTCGCCCGCAAGCCCAACGCTTCCGGTTTTATCTCCCTCACACCTGACAAAGGCTTCAGCTAATGGAGGCGGGGCGGGGGGGGGTCTGAAACTTGCTGATCTTCCTACTTCCTCCTAGAAGTCAGAGCGGTTTCCCAGGCTGCTCACGGCTCATGGAGGGCGGGTGCCCCCTGGTGGTCAAGATCGCAAACTACTGGTGAATTCTCAGACAAGCCGGGCTCAGCCAACTTCTCAAACAGCCAGCATTGATGGCCCTCCATATTTAAGACGCCCAAAGATGCTCAAGTCCCTTATATAAAATGACATCATCTTTGCATAGAACCCGCGCATACCCGCTGGGGTAGGTGGCACACACTTGTCATCCCAGCACTTGGGAGGGTGAGGCAGGAGGATCACCATGAGTTCAAAGCACCCTGGACTACATAGAGACACCTTGACTCACAAAACAAAACAAAGAAACAAACAAACAAACAAAAAACCCAAAGAAAGAAGATTTAAGGGCTGGCATATAGCCTTATGCATGCTAGGTAAGCACTCTACCACTCACTAAATTCCCAATCATTTAAAAAAAATTATTTACTGGGCCGGGGATTTAGCTCAGTGGTTCTGCCACCTGCCTCACAAGTGCAAGGATCAGAGTACCAAAAAAACCCAAAAAACCTACTTAGCTGTTTAAGATTTCTGTTGTGGTATTGGGGATCAAACCCAGGGGCATTCTACCACTGAGCTCCATCCCCAGCCCATTGTATGATTTTATTTTGAGACAGGGTCTTGCTAAGTTGCCCAGGCTGCCCTCAAACTTGTGATTCTCCTGCCTCAGCCTCCCAAGCAGCTGGAATCAGAGGCATGTGCCACTGTGCCCAGCTAACATTCGACCCATTTTACAGGAAGAGAAACTGTGTGCTGATACACACAGTCCCAGTTCAAAGCATCCGTCAACAGAGCCCTAACTCCATTCTAACTCTGTATGGTCACCACGTTCCCACAGCCTCCCATTTGTAAACGCGCGGGGACCCAGGAAGGGCCCAGCCCTCACCTTGGTGGGACATGGTCACCGACGCCGCCGTGGTGAGCCCGGAGGTGGCCACAGGCCGCCCAGATGTGCTGGGAGCGGGCCACTGGTCTGCGTGCTTTGGCCTCACAGCTGTGCTGCTGGCTTCTGGCCTGGCGGTAGGGTGCACTGGAGTTGTCACAGAAGGCTCAGCCTCTGCAGGAGTGAGCAAGCCTTTCCTGAGCGCTGCGGGCCCAGCGCCACTATTTTTTTTTTGGTACCGGGGACCTTGTGCTTGCTGAGGCAGGCACAGTGCCACTGAGCTAAATCCCCGGCCTTTTATTTATTTATTTATTTTTAAAGCAAAACCTTTCTTGGTACATTTTAGAGATACATAATGATCACATTCATCATAGGGAATTTGTATGTACGATTTCTTGCTTCTTTTTTTCTTATTCTCCCCCCTCCCTTCAACCTCTCTTCCTCTTCTTTTTTTTTTTTTTGGTACCAGGGATCGAACTCAGGCCCTTGCGCTTGCAAGGCAGGCGGTGAAACCAGTGAGCTAAATCCCCAGCCCCTTCTTCCTCTTCTTATATACAAAAGCTTTGTTTCCATTTTTTTCCTTATCCCTTCTTTCCATTCCTCCTCCCCCTCCCTTGTACATTTGAACATTTTCTTTCCATTTCCCAATGTGTATTATACGTTAGTCCTTATTTCCAACTTTCAGTTTCTTACACCAGAGAAATGCCACTTTTTATTCTTTTGAGACAGGACCTCACTATGCAGTTCAGGCCAGCCTTGAACTCACTATGTAGCCCAGGCTGGCCTCAAACTCATGGCCTCGCTTTCCCATTGGACAGAGTAGCAAAGAGAAGCTCAGAAGGTTCCAGTTGTGCGCCATGAAGCAAGATCTGTGGCCCTACCTGTGAGACAGCTCCTCATGTCCTTGGCTAGCACCATACCATCCGGGCACACACAAGTGAACTTGGGGGAATGGGAGTTGATCTGTGGGGCAGGCAGACACAAGTACTGGCAGCCACCGTTGGGGAGGGCTGTCCTCTCACACCAGTTCACCCCTGGGGTGGGAGAAGGGAGAAGTCAAGGTGAGGCTGAGACATCAAGTAGACTGGAAAATTCCAGAACATTCCAGAATAAAGAGAGACCATTCCAGGAAGAAAAAGAACTCTAGATCATTCTAGAACATTCCAGAAAACCCTGGAATGTTCCAGAAAATTCCAAGGAACTGGAATAGAAGTTTGGAGAAGTAATCAATCCTTACCTTTCGGTTGTGTGACATTGTGAAACAGGACAATGTCTTCAGGTGATGACAGGTTTTCAGCCACTAAATGAACATCCAAACCCGTGAGGCGGTTGACACTGAAAATGGCTTCATTTATGATATCCGTCCAAAATATTTTGTCCTACACAGGTATGAAATATGATGATAAATGTCATTAGCCACTGGGATAGGACACAGACCACAGTGTCCCCCCAATCTCTGGGGTTCTTTGGGAAGAAGCAATATTAGGTGGTAGCATCATTTCTTGTTGTGTTTTATAACTATGATAAAATACACGTGACATACAATTTACCATCTTAACCTTTTAAAAAATTTTTGTTACTGTTTTTTATTTTGTTTGTTTCCTCCTACTGGGGAAGGGACTCGGGGCCTTGTGCATGCTAGGCAAGCACGTACCACGGAGCTTGTTTCAAAATGAAAAATAAAAGGCCTTGCTAAGTTGTCCAGGCTGACCTCAAACTCACAATCTTCCTGCCTCAGGCTCCTGAGTAGCAGGGACTACAGGTGTGTGTACCACGGTGTCCAGCATCATCCTAACCAGTTTTTTGGGGTACCGGGGATCAAACTCAGGATCTTGTGCTTGCAAGGCAAGTGGCAGAACCACTAAGCTAAATCCCTGGCCCATCCTAACTGTTTTGAAGGGCACTGTTCAGTGGCATTATCTTTTCTTTTGTTGTACAACTGCCCCCACCAGCCATCTCCAGAACTCACTCATCTTTCCAAACTGCATCCCTGCCCACATTACAAACAGGAACTCCCCCTTTTCCCTACCCCAGCTCAACACCCACCATTCTGTGTCTGTGAATCTGACCGACAGGGACCCCAGCTAAGTGGGATCACACAGAATTTGTCCTATTGTGACTGGCATAATTCACTCAGCACAATGTCCTTAAGGTTCAACCATGTGTCAGAATGTTTTGAGATAGGATCTTGTTACGCAGCCCAGGCTAGCCTTGAACTTGAGATCTTCCTGCCTCAGCCTCTCAAGTGCTGGGACTATATTGCGGTGTTAACCCATCCACCTTTTTCACTGGATCTGGCATCCTGGGACTTCTGGCTCTTCCCCAAAGTCAAAATGACTGTGAAATAGTAACATTTTCAATTGATTCAGGACATCAAAGCAGCCATGACAGCCCAGCTAAAGACACTCATGAAAGAGGATTCTCAGAACCGCTTCAGAACTGGTAAAAACAGCTGGGCATAGTGGCCGAGGCCTATAATCCCAGGACTTTTTTTTTGGTAGGGATCAAACTCAGGACCTTATACTTGCGAGGCAGGCACCGGAACCACTGAGCTAAATCCCCAGCCAATCCAGGACTCTTGAGGTGGAGGGAGGAAGATCGCTGCAACTTTGAGGCCAGCCTAGGCTACATAATGAGTTCAAGGCAAACCTGAAAGTGAGCCCGTCTCAAAAACCAACAGTGACAAGAGGGATGGGATAAGTGTGTTTGAAGTCAGGGGAAGGATATCGAAGGGGATTAATGCAATGTGTGTTTTACTGTAATTAACTTCTTAAAAACCTTTAACCATTCACCATTTTAGATTGTACCTCATACCCAGACTGTATCAACAACAGCTGTGAATTCTCGGCAATGCCCAGGTCTCACCTCAAAGATGGCCAAGGAGAAGGGGTGGGCCAGCTGCTTTTCATCCTCCAAGATGGTCTTCCTGTTTCTACCATTGACATTGATACTGAAGATGGAGTGGAGTTTGGAGTCAACCCAGTAGAGGCGGCTGCTGGAGAGATCTACAAGGCACAGGCGGACAAGGAGTGGTTACATGCAGATGCCAGATCAGAGGTGAGAACAAGGCTCATCAGATCAGCCAGAAAATTCTAGAAAATTCCAGAATTTCAGCTGGGTCATCTCCCTCACATCCTCTCATGTGTCTCCAGATGGTGTCCAACCCGGGTAGGGACAACGATCCTGTGAACGTACCCAGTGTGATGCCATTGGGCCACTCGATGTCTTCTGTCACCAGCGAGTACATGTCCACGCCGTTCAGGCCCCCTTTCTCGATCTTGGCGGGGGTTCCCCAGTCTGTCCAGTACATGAAGCTGGTGGGACCCAAGGGAGGGAGAACAAGATGAGGCCACTTAGCAAGGCAGGTCCCTGGCCAAGGCTGACACAGCCAGCCCCAGACTTGGAGACAGCCCTTGCTGGGAACCTCCAGAGGCCCATTTTTCAGGGTTTGTTTTTTTCTTAAATTCGTTGAGACGGGGTCTCACTGTGTAGCTCACACTGGCACTGAACTCACTATAGCTCAGACTGGCTTGGAATTCACCATCCTCCCGTCTCAGCCTCCTGAGTGCTGGAGTTACAGCAGTGTACCACCACGCCTGGCTCTGCACATTTCTCTTGTTGGGCCTAGGTCCAGGCAGGGCACCCATGAGCTCTGTTCCAGCTGAGCACTGCTCTGTAACCTGCCCTGCCCTTCCAGATGTTGGTACCTGGGAGGCTGAGGCAGGAAGATTGCCTCGAGTTCAAGGTCAGCATTGTCCATGTTCCCGGCACCTTCCATTATTTCTGCCAGGAAGGCACCACCTCTGGTTGTTACACCTCTGAGGTTGTGAAATCCCCTCTGAAGTTGTGGTCAGGGGGCAGATGTGGCCTGACAACCTCACGGAGGAACTTCCCTCAAACTTCATCTCTACAATCTAACCTGGCTTGGAAGGCTGGGTCACAAAATACAAAGGAAATAAATTACTATTTTAATTTCTCTTTTCATTTCCCGTTTATGATAACTAAAATCTAATATACTTTGAAGTCAAGCACAGTGGTGCACATCTGTAATCCCAACTATTCAGGAAGCCGAGCCAGGAGGATTGTGAGTTCGAATACAGCCTGGGCAGCTTAGCGTAGCTGGGGAGAGCACTTGCTTACCATGTCCAAGATCCTAGAGTCTAGCCCCAAAATCCCTCTGAAGAAAATAAAAACAAAACTAATGTACTTTGAAATCAGATACTTTCTGACTTACAATGACATTTTTTTTTGTTCTGTTTTATTTTTTGAGACAGGGTCTTGCTATGTAGCCCGGGCTGGCCTCAAACTCATGGTGATATTCCTGCCTCAGCTTCCTCAGTGCTGGGACTATAGGTATGCATCACCATGCCTGCATAATGACTTCACTTAATGGGGCTCAGTCTTACAATGGTTAAAAGTCCGCCCATACCACCATTTTTTTATAGTATTTGCTAAATTCAATCAGATATTCCTTTTTTAGTTTGAGACAGTCTGGCTAAGTTGCTAAGTTGCCCAGGCTGAGCTTGAACTTGCAATGCTCCTGCCTCAGTCTGCCAAGTAGCTGGCATTACAGGCATGTACTACCCATGCCCAGCTGGGTTTTGTTCTTGTTTTTGTTTATTTGAGACAGGGTCTCACTCTGTATATAGTCCAGGCTGGCCTGGGTCTCATGGTGATCCTCCTGTCTCAGCCTCCTGAGTCCTGCTGGTTTCTTTCCTGACAACTTGAGCCCATCTCAGACCTCTTCGAGCAGCCCAGGACAAGCCCTAACTGCCCAGGGTAGATACGCAAGTGTCACCACTCTGGGACCCCACACCCCCGCCCTCTGTTCCTGCCACACCAGCCTTTGGAAGCACGCACCCGTGCACAGGGTCCACCACGATGCCCCTGGGCTTGGAACCTTTCCTCTGGAACAAAGTCCTCCTCTTCACGCCCCTGGTGTCGGCCACAGACACCGTACCGGGGACAGAGTCGGTCCAGTAGATGTTACGGTGGACCCAGTCCACGGCCAGCCCGTCGGGGGCCTGGAGATCCCCGTCAATGACAGTGTCGTGGGCAGAGCCCGGGGCTGCGCTGATCCGGGTGCTGAGGGGAGGAGGCGGGGACAGGGTCAGGGCGGAGCCCTGGTGTCTCCCCCTGGCGGGCATGGCTGCCCACCTGGTGGCAGCCTCACCTATAGATCTTCCTGTGGGACAGGTCTGACCAATAGAGCCGGCTGCTGGCCACCTCCGCGTCCAGGGCCACCGCATACTTCAGGTTGGAGAGGAGGCTGGCATACTGGCTGCGGTCTGGGGTCATCTTCCGCACCTCGTGGCGGTTGGTGAAGAACAGGTAGGCGACTGAGCCTGGAGACACAGCACGGCAGTCAGGGGACCAGGGGGGCACTTTTTCTTTTAGATTCTGAGGATGGAACCCAGAGCCTTCCTACTAAGCTCTATCTCCAGCCCTTTTTATGTTTTGTTTTGAGACAGGGTCTTGCTAAATCACTAAGTGCCCCGGCTGGGTTCAAACTTGGGATCCTCCTGCCTCAGCCTCCCAAGTAGCTGGGATGACAGGTGATTTTACCCGCTTACCGACGGCTTTGCAGGTCTTCGTGCTGGGGTCCATCTGGAAGCCATCCTCACACTCACACTTGTAGCTCCCCTCCAGGTTCACACACAGCTGGCTGCAGGTGTCAGGCTCCTGACACTCATCAATGTCTGTGAGTGGAGACAGGGTCTTGCTATGCAGCCCAGGCTGGCTTCGAACTCCCAGCAATCCTCCTGCCTCAGCCTCCCGAGTGCTGGGATAATAGGCCTGTGCCAGCACGCCTGGCTCCCAGTTTTTTTAAAAACATTTTTAAATTTTGGGTCTCTTAGAGTCTTGCTAAGTCACTAAATTGCCCAGGCTGGGCTTGCATTTGTGATCCTCCAGCCTCAGCCTAGCCCGAATTTTTGAAATGATAAACTCAAGACACCAGACTTCCAAGGAGCCCTGCAGTGCTGCAGCTCAGCCTGTACTCAATGCTGTGCCCACGCAGCACCCACCCTGTGAGCTCCCCCTAACAGCCCCAGGATGGAGGACAGCTTTCTCACCCATCAGACACTGGGAGAAACTGAGGCAGAGGCTCCGAGGCTCGGGGGGAAAAGGGAGCGGAGGCCACACAGCCCTGCCCTGCTTGGGCCTCACCTTTGCACTGCCACTGGTCCGCCAGGTGGAACCCACTGGGGCATAAGCACTGGTAGCCGATCTTGAGGTCCTTGCAGATATGGGAACAGCCCCCATTGTTGTCCAAGCATTCGTTGGTCCCTGTGCACGGTGGTGGACACAGCTGGTCACCTGGAGCCTCCTGCCATCCCCTCCCTGCCACCCTGGAGACAAAGTCTTGCTAAATCACCAAGTGCCCAAGCTGGGCTCAAACCTGAGATCCTCCTGCCTCAGCCTCCCAAGTAGCTGGGACGACAGGCGTGCACCACTGAGCCTGGCTATGCTTTATGATTCAGGCAATATCCCGTCCTCCTTGAACTGTTGCCTACTCCACCCCAGGACCCATCCGCCTGTGCCCGGACGCACCACACTCCTTGAGGGGCTCGTCCGACCAGTCGCGACAGTCCCTGGCTGCGTTGCACACTTTGTCCAGTGTGATGCACTCGCCGCTGTGGCACTTAAACTTGTTGGGACCCTCGCAGAGTGTCACTGTGGGAGACCGAGAGGAAGATCAGGGGGCTCCAGGCTGCAGGTGCCGACTGGACCTCTTAAACAAGGCTGTTCACGCCGGCCTGATGGCGCACGCCTGTCAGCCCAGCCCTCCAGGAGGCTGAGGCAGGAGGGTTGCAAGTTCCAGCCCAACCTGGGCAACTCAGTGAGACTGTCTCAAAATAAAAAGGGCGGGGTGTCGCTGTGCCCCTTCTCCGCCCTCCCGCATCGGCGGCCCACTATCCCTGCCAAAGCCCGGAGCGGAGGACAAGGACCCAGGCAGGCAGCCGGAGCTCACCGTTGATGCAGCCGACTTCGTCGCTCTGGTCCCTGCAGTCGTGCTCTTGGTCACACTGCCGGCTGCCGTGGATACAGGTGCCGTCAGCACACTGGAACTCATCGGGGCGGCAGGTGGCCACCACTGGGAAAGACAGGGGGTGTTGGTTTTCTCTGGGACAGTGGGGGAACAAAGAGACAGAGCAGTCTCCTTTCTCCAAGTTTAGTGCCCACGGGCCCATTCATATGTGGTCATTGTGGGCCAGAGCCACTCAAGCTGGAAGTAGCCAGGGCTGACATTCCAGAACCCAGGAGGCTAAGGCAGGAGGATCGCTCTGAGTTCCAGCCCAGCCTGGGCTACACAGTGAGACCCTGTCTCAAAACATCAAAATAAATATTCTGGAAATAAAGCTATTAATAAATTTTGTTCTGTTTTCTGCAGTACTGAGGATAGAACCCAGGGCCTTCGCACTGAACTCCATCCCCAGCCTCTGTTATTTTTTATTATTTTATTTATTCATTTTTTGCAGTACCAGGGATCAAACTCAGAACCTTGCGCTTGCAAGGCAGGCAGCGGCACGGAGCTAAATCCCTGGCCCTGCTATTTTTTATTTTGAGACAGGATCTCAAGTTGCCTGGCTGGGATCAAATTTGTAACCCTCCTGCCTCAGCCTCCTAGAGTGCTGGCATGACAGGCGCATGGCACCATACCTGGCTAGAGCAATTTTAAGTTGTTAGGTACTGAGGCCAGAGACTTAGCTCAGTGACACCGTACCTGCCTCACAAGTGCAGGGTCCTGAGTTCGATCCCCAGTACCAAAAAAAAAAAAGTGCTGGGTACTAAAAGTGACCTCCTTCCCTGACCTGGGGGAGTGGGCCGGGGGCGGGACCAGGCCTCACCGCAGTCCTCCTCGTCAGACTTGTCCTTGCAGTCGTGGGCACCGTCACAGTGCCAGCTGCTGTGGATGCACTCGCCGCTGCGGCAGTGGAACTCCAGGGAGGAGCAGGGGCCATTGGCCCCCTGGGCAGCCGACGTGTCCCGGCCCTCGCAGCGCTGTGGCCACTCGTCAGAGCCGTCACTGCAGTCGGAGTCGCCGTCGCAGGCCCACAGCTGGGGGATGCAGGCTGAGGAGTTGCACTGGAAGTTGGCAGGGCCGCAGGTGGTCACTGAGCAGGTGACCTCGTCTGAACCGTCTAGGCAGTCACGGTCACCATCGCAGAGGAACTGCTGCGAGATGCAGCGGCCATCCTGGCAGTGGAACTCGTCCTCGGGACACGTCCTGGTGGCTATGGGGACAGCGGGGAGCCACTTTGTCACCAAGGAGCCTTGGCCCCAATGTCATCCACTCTATAGACAGGGACGCAAGGCCTGGCTATGTAGCCTAGGTTGGCCTCGAACTCCAGGTGATCCTCCTGCCTCAGCCTCCCCGCGTGCTGGAATGACAGGTGTGTGCCACCACTCACAGCTTTTCTTTCTGCTTTTTGCAGCACTGGGGCTGAACTCAGGGCCTTACACATGCCAGGCAAGTGCTTTACCACTGAGCCGCACTCGCAGCCCTCGTGAGTTTTAGATTCCTTTAACTGGACTACATTGTTAGAACTGTTCTATTTTATCGTTAGTCATTATTGTGAGTTGCTGACTGTGCCTGCTTTATGAGCTGTATCATAGGTAATGTGTTTAGGAAAAGCATAGTAGATACGGGGGTTCAGTACCATAGGCGTTACCACAGGGATCTTGGAGTGGATGCCCCACAGCCAAGGAGAGAGGCTGTATTTTTAAAAGCCAGGAAGCCAGGAATGTAGCTCAGTGGCGCTGTGCCTGCCTCGAAAGCAAAAGGTCCTGAGTTTGATTGCCAGTACCAAAAAAAAAAGCCAGGAAGAGGTTCCATTTCACCACAGCAAAAAGCCTGGCATGGTGCTGCACACCTGTCATCCCAGCACTCAGGAGGCTGGGGCAGGAGGATCACTGTGAGTTCGAGGCCAGCCTGGACTAACAGTGAGACCCTGTCTCAAAAAACAAACAGACAAACAAACACGGAGCCCCCAAGCTGAAGTAGGGTCACCTGGGGACACAGGCCAAGCCCTCCCGACTCCCCAGGGCACCAAGGGCCATACTTACGACAGCCTTGCTCATCGGCGCCGTTGTTACAGTCCTCATGGCCGTCACACCTCCAGGAGCTGGGGATGCAGCGGTTCAGGCGGCCCCCACAGCTGAAGTCACCCGGCTTGCAGGTGGCAGCCACTGTAGGAGCAGTGAGATTAAGCCTGACATCAGATGCAAGAGCAGTCGGCCGCCCCAGGCCTCTGTGCATAAAGGACAACTCTAGAGGGTTCCAGAAAGAGGCTGCCAGTGTGACCTTCATGGGCCCAAATGAAGGGCATTGAACAGGTTTGTTAAAAATTAAACACTGGGTGACACCAAGGACTTGGAACCAGCTAGAGGCGGCAGCCGCACACACTGTGAATACAGCTCTGAGCTGGTTCATTTCTGTTTTTGTTTTTTTTCCCCCTGGAGACAGAGTCTCGCTGCACAGCCAAGCTGGCCTTGAACTCGGGGGAATCCTCCTGTATCAGCCTCCTGAGTGCTGGGATGACAGGGTAATTTCATGATAGGTGAAATTTACCTCAATAAAAAACACAGCTATTGGAGTAAGGGGTGCAGCTCAAGGGGAGAACTTAGCACGTGTGAGGCCCTGGCTTCTGTCCCCAGCACCACCTGATGAATATACAGGGACTCACTGCACGTTTCCTGGGACTCGTCAGAGCCGTCCTGGCACTCCGCCCTGCCATCACACACCCACGTGTAGGAGATGCACTTCCCATCCCAGCACTGGAATTCATTTCTTGCACACTTGTCTTCTGTTGGGAGGGAAGAAAAGAAGGTTGCTCAGCACCAGAAGCAGAAACTGACTGCATTTCTGACGTCTACTTCCTGCCAACCCAGGAGGGAAGTGGAAATGCAACTGGACCCCTCCAGGTGCCATTCCTGGGAAATTAAAGCAGCCCAGCAGGCGAAATTTCATGAAGCGAGAAATACAGTGGAGGATACAATCAGTAAACGTCCCCCCAAAAGACTTGCCAGCTGGGGTGGGGGCACAGCCTGGAATCCCAGGATTGGAAGGCTGAGGGAGGAGAATTGCAAATTTGAGCCCAACTTGGGCAACTTAGCAACTTAAGAGTGACCTTCTCTCAAAAGAAAAAGAATAGATGAAGGTGTAGCTCAGTGCAAAGGCCCTGGGTTCAAGTCTCAGTACTGGGAAAAAAATGTGATAATTATTTGGATAATTGAAAAAAATCTAGGGCCGGGGATTTAGCTCAGTGGTTCCAGGCCCTACCTTGAAAGCACAAGGTCCCGAGTTCAATCCCCGGTACCAAAAAAAAAAAATTCTATATTAGAGGTAGCTGTTGTTCATACCTATGATCCCAGCTACTCAGGAGGCTGAGGCAGGGGGATCACTACAAGTTCAAGGCCAGCCTGGGCTACACAGTGAGACCCTGTCTCAAACAAATAAACAAACGTATATCCTATGTGCCCAAAATCTGATCCCCAGGGAGACAGATTTGAGACTTGGGTCTTGAGCGCCACAGGTGGCTGTCTGTCCAATAATCTTTCCATTCTGGAAACAGCACTGCAGTGCCTGGCTACTGCAAGGTAGGCAAAACAGAAAATGACACAAGGCAAGAAAAAACCATGATGGTAAAAGGAAATGAGTTTTTTCCCCCCAAGAAGTAGAACAGGAAATATGAAGAGAGAGAAAAAAAAATACAAGAAATTATAAATAAAGAGATCAGTGAACAGAGATCCAGCACCAAGGACAATCGTGTGTCTGAAGAGATTTTTTTTCAAAAGAAAATGGCACAGAAGCTGGATACATGCCTGCAATTTCTGCACTCTGGGAGGCTGAGGCAGGAAGATTGCAAGTTTAAGTCCACACCCAGCAAGACCCTGTCTCAAAATACAAATTAAAAAAGGGTTGAGGATGTAGCCCAGTGGGAAGGGCATGGATTCAATCTTCAGTATGCCAAAAAAGAAAGAAGGGAAGAAAAATAGATTTGTGGACCATCAAGTAAAGAGCAGGCTCTAGGGAAGCCATGTGAAATCCACACCTTGAGATGCATGAGGGTCAGGGTCGGCCTGTCCCTCCCTATGAGGAAGAACTTTGGTCTGTCTTATGTCTTTTTTTTTGACAGGGTCTTGCTATGTAGCCCAGGCTAGCCTCAAACTCACAGCAAGCCATTCTCCTGCCTCAGCCTCCTGGGTGCTGGGATGACAGGTGTGCGCCACTATGCCCAGCCATCTATAGTTATTATTATTTTTTTGGTACTGGGGATCGAACTCATGACCTTGCGCCTGCAAGGCAGGCGCTGGAACCACTGAGCTAAATCCCCGGCCCTATCTATAGCTATTATTACACATTGTGTACTATATACTTTTTTTTTGGTACTGGGGATTGAACTCAGAGGATCTTGTGCTTCTGAGGCAGGGGCCTGAACCACTGAGCTAAATCCCCAGCCCAAACCCAGTAATGATTCTTTTTTTTTTTTTTTGGTACCAGGGATCAAACTCAGGACCTCATGCTTACGGAGGCAGGCGCGGTGCCACTGAGTTAAATCCCCGGCCCTATACTATATACATTTTATACAGGTCTATAAAACACAGGTACATCCATAGATTATTATATAGATTTACCCATACCTGATATATTTACATCTTTCCGCTATATGTGTATATTACAGACTCCACATACCCAGATTTACTTTTATGAATCTATCACATATGCGTAATATAGCCATATATATTACACAGATTTACATTTATCTGGGCCAGGGATTTAGCTCAGTGGTTTCTCCACCTGCCTCACAAGCACAAGTTCCCAAGTTCGACCGCCGGTACCAAAAAAAGAGAGTTAAGACGGGCCCGGGATTTAGCTCAGTGGTTTCGCCGCCTGCTGCGCAAGCGCAAGGACCAGAGTTCGATCCCTGGTACAAAAAAAAAAAAAAAAAAGAGTTAAGAAAAATGCGCGGCTCTTGAGAGAGTGGGTTAGCAGTTAGAGCAGGGTGCCCTGCCCCTTTATCTCTCGCATGTGCAGTTTTCTGCCTCATTCTGCCGTGGTGAGGACCTGGCCCTGCGGAATGTTGGACGTCCAGCCTTCCGGAAATCTTCTTTCATATATACAATATATATTCCTACACGTAATAAATACGATATCTCTATCATATCTAAGTAAAAATCTGCGCTAATAGTGTAGCCCCTCTGAGCTTGGTGGCACAGGCTTGTTATCCCAGCACTCAGGACCCCAAGGCAGGAGGATCGCTGGGAGTTAGGGGTTAGCCTGGGCTTCACAGTGAGACCCTATCTCAAAACAAAACAAAAAAACCCCCAAACCCCCCCCCCCGCGCGCACGCACACACGCACACACACACACACGTAGCTTCTCACAGCTGTGAAAATGGTGGTTTATCCTTGTGCTGCTAACCCAGGTGCCAAAGTTCGCAGCAGTTGTGATTCTCCTTTGTAGCTGTGCATCTGCACGAGAAATCATGGCAAGGAGGCTTTTTATTTGCCTCAGGCTAGTTTGATTTTCTTTTCAGAGTATTTTAGGGCTGGGCATGATGTACACCTGAATCTCAGCTTCGAGAAGCTAAGGCAGGAGGATGTGGAGTTTGAGGCCAGCCTGGGCTACATAGTGAGTTCAGAGCAACCTGGACTATGTAGTGAGACCCTGTCTCAAAAAACAAAAGCAGGGCTGGAGATTTAGCTCAGTGGCACCGCCTGCCTGGCAAGCACAAGGTCCTGAGTTTGATCCCCAGTACCATCAAAAAAAAAAAAAAAAAGCAAAGGAAACCAGTTCAGGGAACCTGCAGAATGACTCCGAGGAAGAGAGCTGCTCTTTTTACCCATTTCTGCATTGACAACTTCCCCGGAACTATCCCCGGGTCCCCTGAATGTGATGTTGTAAGGTTATAGACCGTGCTGGGTTTACTGGTTTCCCAGGCCTTCCAACTAGAAGAGCTTGCGGAACTCAGTTGTTTCTTCATCTGTAAAACAAGCAAGGACAGTGTTCCCTGTGTCCTAGATGGTGTCCTAAGGGTAAAGAAAGGAGGAAAAAGGAGCCCCACCCACGTGCTGCTATTACAAATATCAGCTTGAAAACAGCTGTGGGGCGTGGTGTGGCACACTTGTCATCCCAGTACTTGGGAGGCTGAGGCAGGAGGATCGTCAAGAGTTTGAGGCCAGCCTGGACTGCACAGCGAGACCTTGTCTCAAAGAATCAAAAAGGACAGAGGTGAAGATGGGGAGGGAATAAGGAGGTAGAAGAATCAATCAAACTTGGCAGTGGAGCTGCAAAGGGGCCAGGTTGGCAGTGGCCCAGGTGATGGGAGCAGGAAGTAGGGGAGAGGTGAGGGTGGGGCGCTTTGGTATCTGCAGAGCTGAGCTCCAGGATGTGTCCCTCAACCTGGTGACCAGGGTGCAACTGTGGTCGTGTGAGGAAGGGAAATGAGTCACTTTCTCAGCTCTGACACACAGATAGGGAAGAAAGCAATTAGGGTTCCCGGACTGGGCAGATAAATAAAGCAGGAAGTTCAGGCAAGGGCCAGTGGGGAGGAGCCTCTGTCACCCCATCAGGGCCCTGCGGCTCTGGTGACCAGTAGTCCACTGCCCGGTCTTTGCATAAGAGTCCATCTTACAAACAGAAGGTACCCAGGAAGGACTGGGAATGTTAATGACAGCTGAAGACCACCTTTAATTACCACCTGGTCACAGAGTGAAATGGCCCACACCTGTGATCCCAGATTGAGGCTGAGGCAGGAGGATCCAAAGTTTGGGCCCAGCCTCAGAATAAAAAAGGACTGGGGATGGAGCTCAGCGAGAAGGCCCTGGGTTCAATCCCAGTACCATATACACACACACAAATCCTAAAGAGCAGGAAGCCTCCTTCTCTGGACATTTGGACATCAAGCCTTCCCTTGGGTGTAATTTTCCAGACTTTTACTACAGGTGACCCAGGACAGCACCAAGCTCTGCCAGCTGCTGTCAAAGGGGGTGACCCTTCCCGACAGTGATTTCAGGGTGGCTTTAGAGGCTGCAAATGTGCGCTATCCAGCCCTGGGTTCTACCCCAGCACTAAGGAGAAAATGATGGTTTTTACTCCCAAGAGCAGCCCGGTAACAGGCACTGCACACTAAGCCTCCCGCACAGTGTGGGAGGTGAGGACAAGGCCCAGACAGGGTTCCCAAGAGGAGACACAGCATAGCCCTTCCTGACCTAATGGGACCACCCAGGGACGGAACACATTTTTCTTGCTCCTCTGCTACTTCTTTGTGTTGGAGACTGGGTCTCTCAATGTAGTCCAGCCTGGCCTTGAATTTACTATTCAAACTCAAGATCCTCCTGCCTCAGCCTCCAGAGTACTGGGTTTACAGGCACGTACCACCACACCAGCTTCTCGATCTTCTTTCAAGCAAGATTTCGGTTTCCCACACTGGTTCCCTTGAACATCAGCAAAAGGCACACCAGAGATTGCCATCCACAGGTCTCCACGTGGTGGGAACCGGGATATATGAGCTCTGTGTCTGCTCCCCAAAATCCAGGGGCTGGCCCAGCAGGTCCGAGGCCTGCGTTGTCTCCAGCACCACAGGAAATAACGTCTCTACCTGTGGCCCTCAGACCTCTCAGGTCAGGAGTGATGCACCAGGGACAGGGTTATCGAAACGGAGGAGGAGATTCTCACTTCTGCTTTCCCACTTGAATGCAAATCAGGCGGTTGGTGCTTTCGATGTTTTCTTCCCTATGCCAATGAGGATGTTGCACAGAGAAATCAAAATAACAGAACTGTTTCCTTTAAAAAAAGGCACCCAGGGCCAGAGGTTTAGCTCAGTGGCGCCAGCACCTGCCTGGCAAGCATAAGGTCCTGAATTCGATTCCCGGTACCAGGAAAGAAAGGAAGGAAGGAAAGAAAGAAAGAAAGAACGAAAGAAAGAACGAACAAACGAACGAAAGAAAGAAAGAAAGAAAGAAAGAAAGAAAGAAAGAAAGAAAGAAAAGAAAGAGAGAAAGACAGAGAGAAAGAGAAAAAGAAAAGAGAGAGAGAGAAAGAAAGAAAGGAAGGAAGGAAGGAAGGAAGGAAGGAAGGAAGGAAGAAAGAAAAGAAAGGAAGGCAGGCAGGCAGGTGGGCAGGCAGGCAGGAAGGAAGCCAGGAAGGAAGGAAGGCAGGCACCCTCTTGGGCGTAGTGACGTTTGCCTGTAATGCTAGCACTCGGGAGGCTATGGCAGGAGGATCTGCAAGTTCAAGGCCAGTCTGAGCTACAGAGTGAGACCCTGTCTCAAACAAAACAAAAACAAAAAAAGATACTCTCCTGGCAGGCCCAGACTCAACAGAAAATGAATGAGAATGCAGGGCAAGGTGGCAGAACCTGTATAGTCCCAGGTTTTGGGGAGGGTGAGGCAGGAGGATTGCCTGAACCCAGGAGTTGGACTCCAGCATGGGCAGCATAGCAAGGCCCTATCTTTTAACAAGGTCTGTGGCCGGGGATTTAGCTCAGTGGTTCTGCTGCCTGCCCCAAAAGCGCAAGGACCCAAGTTTGATTTTTGGTACCAAAAAACAAATATACAAACAAGGTCTGGGGTGCGGCTCTGTAGGGACCACTTGCCTACCACACAGGAGGCCCTGGCTTCCATCCTCAGCACCAAAAAAATATATATATATTTTTTAAAACCCACAAAACAAATATTCTTTCACAAACAGGCCAGACAGATTTTGTCGCCTGCTCCGTTGGAGAGGGATAGCCTATTTCTGTCACCCCTCACCGATGATTTATTCCACAGTCGCTTAGCAACAAAAAGCCCTGTGCCTTCCATGGGGAGGGTGCGGATGCTGTTAATGTGGTTAAGGTAGGAAAGAAGGTGATATCACAAGGCCCGAATCTTAGAGTGGGAACCTACACGGAAGAGCAGGAACTGCCCTGAACCAATAGTGAACATAAACCGCCAGCAGTGACCCACACCTGTAATCCCGGCACTGTGGGAGGCGGAGGCAGGAGGATGGAAAATTTGAGCCCAACTTGAGCCCAACCAGGACTACTTAGTAAGACCCTGTCTCAATATAAAACAGCTAGATACATAGCTCAGTATGAAGGTGCTGGGTTCAAGCTCAGTACTGCAAAAATAAGTAAATATATACCAAACGTAATTCTTGAAAAGTTTTCATCTCAAGAAAGCTGGCCTTACTTTCTTTACCAGTTGTCTCCAGGAAGAAACATGTCAGACAAGGAATCCCCCTGGGTGTACACCCACCCCACCCACTGGGCACGGAGCTGCTGGCCCAGGCTTGCTCCCAGCTCCAGCAGCCTCTCCCCCAGCTGCAGGCCCACACCTGCCAATAGAGCTGAGTGGACTCTTACCCAGGAGCCTGGGGTTTCCCTTCCCATCACTGCATTCCTAAAGGAGCAAGCAGGAACCCACCCTACCCTGGCTCCTGGAAGAAAGCTAGGGAGCCGGGAGGAGCGCCAGGGCTGTAACACCCAGCAGTGCTGGGTGTGGTGGTGCAGGTCTGTATTTCCAGCCCAGGGAAGGGTGAGGCAGATGGATCTCTCAGACCAGCCTGGGCTGCCTAGCGAGACCCTGTCTCAGAAATCCAGAAACAAACACTCAGGATCAGGCAGCTCTCAGAAGAGCCAGATCCTCAGCCCTAGGAGGGCTTGCCCAGGACTTCCCTAGCAGCACTCGGAGCTGCTCAGGCAGTGGGCCCGGTGCCTGAGACCAGCGTTCTATACACAACGGGGCGAATTTCCACTCAGCACCCATCCTGGCCTTTCCCTGCCCTGCCTTCCCCGCCCACGGATCCATCGGTTCTGCGCACCAGCGTCCCAGCGACCCCAGTCCTCTTATATGGCGAGCAGTTTCCGACTAGGAAAAGGCTGGTGTAGTGGCCGCCTAGGGCTGCAGTGTCCCCACAGCCGATTTAAAGCCATCTAGGAAAATCCGAGACTGCTCGGGACAGTAATTTAAACAGTAGCTCAGGCCCGGGGATTTACCACAGTGGTTCCGCCCCCTGCCTCGAAAGTGCAAGGTCCCGAGTTCGATCCCCGGTAGTAAAAAAAAAAAAAAGCCAGCGCCAAGCACTGACTGGCCTCCAGTCCAAATCTAAATTCCATTTTTTTTTGAGACAAATATGTAGTCCAGGCTGGTCTTGGTTGGACTCGCGGCGAAACTCCCCCCTCAGCCACCCCAAATCTAAATCTGAACCTACTCCCCCAAAATGAAACATCTCCAGCTCTGTGCGCAGCTCAGCCGAACCATCTGGGACCTCCGGACAGACAAGGTGGGTCCCCGAGCACCTGGCTGACCTGGAGCAGCAGAGTTCGAGAGTGGCCTAGGGCACGGCGGGGACTTGGCCCGGGCAGTAAACCTAGGCGGGCGCCGCAGGCCTCCAAGGCTCCGAGTCCCCACGTCGGTCTCCACCTTCACCACTGGAGCACGGACCACGCCAGGCCTCCCGGCTCCGCCCCCACACTTCCCGGGGCCACGCCTCACGCATCCGCCTCCAGCTCCGGTTGGACAAGGGGAGTGGCTCGAGGCTCGGCTGTTCGGACCATGCCCAATGGGAGCCTGGAGGTGGGGCTGGGGCGGAGTCCCCACCCGCCGGAGGGGAGGGAGTAGCAGGCGAGTCCCCGCGGGCCTTGGGGCGCGGGACACCGGAGTAGGGGACCCTGGAGTAGGGGACCCCACTGGGAACTCAAGGTTGAGCCGCAGTAGCCTCACCCCATCGAGACTGGGAGGAAGCCCTCCCTCAGGACTGGAGGTCCCCATCGCCTGTCCGGACACCCTCGGGGTCCCGCAGCTAGCACTGGCTTGGGGGAGCCACGCCCCGCTCCCCCTGACCCCGGCACCCCCAGGTGCCCCTCCAGGCCCTGCGGAAGGACCTCGTGCTGCGTCCCCCACGTCCCCGAGGAACAACCGGTTCTTTCCCAACCCTGCCTCCACGATATATCGCCAGCGCCCCGAGATCGGGGTCCCCGCGCCCAGCGCCCGCCTCACCTGCAGCCCCCGCCGCCAGGCACAGCAGCAGCGCACCGTAGCGCAGCACCGGGCCCGCCGTCCTCATCCTCGGCGCGCACTGCATGCGGCCCGGCGCGGGCGCCTTTGAAAGCTTGGCAGCGGGGAGGAGCCTGCGGTGGGGTGATCCGCAAAGTCTTCGCCTCACTGCCGGGGGCGGGGCCTGGAACGGCCGAGGTGACGAGGCTGAAACCCCCGCGGCCCGGCGGTTCCCCCGGAAGCCGAGCACCCCGAAATGAAACCCCACCCGTGCCTTCCGCCGGTCCCCTGGGTCAGCCCCTCCCTCTGCTGTTTCGCAAAGAACAGCGCGGGTCCCGCAGCCCTTCCGTGGGGAAATTGGGAAACTTCGGAGCCCCTTCCCTGGCCCTGCGCCTTCGCCTTCTCCAGTCTGGGTTTGGGGTGAGCCGTCCCGGTTTCCTGGACCGTGGCTGGAGATGGTTGCCCCTGACAACCGCGTGGCCAGTAGTAAAGGAACCTTCAGGAAGGCTCGGCCGGCCGCGCTGTGAGCTGCGTTCTGAATAGAAAGAGCTGCGAAGCGGGTTCGGTCCCTGACCCGCAGAAGCACCGATCGATGCGCCCCCGGGAGGAGCTGGGCAGAGGGCGGCTGGCCGTCCTAGCACGGATCGGAGCCAGCGAGGCGTGGGGACTGACCCGGGCCGAGGAAGGACGGGAGGGCTGGGGTCCCTGGGGCTTCCTGGGGTGGCCGGGGGCCCGGCCGCTCAGCGGTGCCGCGGGGGCCCGGCAGGCACCCGACCCTGGTTTCTGTCACAACGCCGCGGAGAATAAATGCGAAGCAGAGTGAGACGGCGCCTGGGGAACTGCAGGGGTCTCCGGGAAAGGGTCCGAGCGCCTCGGGGCTTGGGGAATGAGTTCAGCAGGGTGTGGGACGCTGTCGGCACAGGTGTTAGGAACCCGGGAGCGGAGGGAGGCGGAGACCACTGTGGGCTCCGAGGGGAAAACCTGCCGAGTTAGGGGTGCGGCCTCTACCTGTGAGGGGGGATCAGCGCCCCCTGCCCCTGGGGAAGTGGATGCGGGTCAGTGCGTTCTGGGGGTGGCTGCAGCGGTTTTGAAGCCGTCCCATTGAATTCTAGTCCTTAACCTATGTACTGTTTGTTTTTTTTTTAAATTAGGAATCACTGATTTGGTTTCCTTTAGAGAAATTGCAACATACAAGTCCACTTCGTGTGCTAAGCCCTCCCCTTCCTTCTTTCTCTCTCCTGTTTTCTCTCTTTAGTTTGCTTTTACTTTTGCTACTGTAAATTGAAGCCAGGACTTCGCACACGCTAGGGCAAGTCCGATAAGTACCCAGCTACCTCCCTGGTCACCCCATTTTAAAAATTTTTATTTTGAGACAAGCTCTTCCTAAGTTGCCCGGACTGGCCTTGAACCTCAGCCTTTCTTGGAGCTCCTGCTGTCCACCTGGTGCTGACCCTTCTTCCCCTTCAGCCCCACAGGAGGCAGGTGCCCCCCCCCCGCCCCCAAGAGGCTAAACTCGAACTGTCTGCAGAGCTGGAGGCCGAGCTGCCCTGGGCAGGACACACAGCTCTCCTGGGCTCCCATGGTCCCACAGACATCTCCAGGACCCTCCTTTCCCTGTCACTGGGACATGACCCTGCAGAGTCCTGAGGACAGAGTACACACTTCCATTGACTCTTTTTGAGTCGCAGCATCCGTGTGCTCTCAGTAGCCAGATCACAAGGTTGTGAGGGGCTTGGGCCACCCTGGAAACAGTGAGGGACATGTAGGTTCGAGGTGTCTCCTTCTGGGATGCAGCTACATTTCCCTTTAGTCTCTTGGTTTTGGGGGGGTTTTGGTACCAGGGATCGAACTCAGGCCCTTGCACTTGTGAGACAGGCTGCGGCACCACTGAGCCAAATCCCCAGCCCATTTAGGGAAGACTTGTCTATCTCTGCCTTCCCTGGTAGGCACCAGGGGAGTGCTCCTGCAGACCCCATGGTACTGGGCTCTGGTCTGTCTGTCCATCTGTTCTTCCTTCTGGTGCTGGGAACAATCCAGGTATCCTGTGTGCTAGACAAGCACTCACCACTGAGCAGCGCCTCCAGCACTGGAATCAGCAGCTTTTAAAGTTCCTGAGCAAGGACCATCGTGATGGCACACACCTGTCCTTCTAGCACTCTTCGAGGCTGAAGCAGGAGGATTGCACGTTTGAGCCCAGCCTGGGCTAACTGGCTTAGTGAGATGGTGTCTCAGAATGAAAACTAAAAGGCGCCGGGGGTGAGGCTCAGTGCAAAGGCCCCCTTCATCCCCAGCACTAAAAAGGACAGTGGGATGCTGGGTTGAAGTTGTAATGGAGAAGTCACAGGAGTGGACACGAGAGGTGACAGCCTGGGGCAGGGAGAACAGAATGGGGGAGACGTCTCAGGTCAGGCTGCAGTTTTACCTTTCAGGGCACCACACCAGTAGCCACGTTGGTTCGTGGGACTCAGTCAGACCTTAGCCATTGAGTCATGGCGGGGACCTGACGGGGAGGCTGCAGATCCCTGTCCCAGTTGGGTCTCCTCCGTGGCTTCCCCTTTCTAGGTCTCCTCAGGTTTCTCCCTCAGCCAGAGAGCCTTCCAGGGACCAGGGACACAGTGCCCAGGACGAAGGTCCAGTGTGTAGGGAGGATGGGTGTTCTCATGCAGGAGGTGGGGATGAAGAAGTCAAGGGATTCTGGATAACCAGGTTGTGATGTGTGAAAGAGCAAGAGGAGTAGGAGGAGCCGTTATCCCATTGTTATATTTCCCTCCCTGTCACCCTCCCTCCCTCCCTTCCTCCCTCCATCCCTCCGTTTTTATGTTTGTTTGTTTCCTTTTGAGACACGGTCTCACTGTGTAGCTCAAGCTGGCCTTGAAATCTTGGTGATCCTCCTGCCTCAGCCTTCCCAATGCTGGGATTATAGGTGTATGCCACCACCTCTGGCTCCTTCCTATGGTTTTTTTTTTTTTTGGTACCGGGGATCAAACTCAGTCCTTGTGCTTGCACAGCAGGCAGAGAAACCACTGAGCTAAATCCCCAGCCCTCCTTCCAGTTTTGAAACAAGGTCTCGCTATAGCCCAGGTTGGTTTTAAACTCCCTATACCCTGTATCTTTTTTTTTTTTTTTGGTACGGGGGATCAAACTCAGGACCTTGCGCTTGCAAAGCAGGTGCCAGCACCACTGAACTAAATCCCCGGCCTACCCTCTATCTTTGTTTGTTTGTTTATTTTTGGTACGGAATCGAACTCAGGTCCTTGCACTTGTGAGGCAGGTGATGGAACCACTGAGCTAAATCCCCAGCCCCCTAGCCTCTATCTTATTAGCTGCCTCAAACTGTGATCCTCCTGCCTCAGCCTCTGAAGTGCTACGATTACAGGTGTGGGCCACTATGCCCAGCCACTTTCTCATGGGCATATAATAATACATAAAATATAGTGCCTGTCCAGAGGCATTCAGCCCTACAGATTGGTTCCTGTGTTCTGGGGAAGAAAGAAGATTTCTCACATTTGCTCAGCTCATGGCTGAGACCCTTATAAAAAAAAACGATGGACGAGTCATGAAGGCAGCAGTGGCAGGCGAGAGAGTCAACTGAGTCAACTGTGCCTGTAGGACCTCATGGCCCCGGGGGGCAGGATGGGGCCCCTTGAGGGGAGTGAGGCTGTGCTGGTGGAGAGTGGAACTTGAGCTCAAGGACTGCGCCTGCTGCCCCTCTGGCTCCTGGGCCTCCTCCTGCAGCCCCTCAGCGCCTGCACCCCGGGACCAGGGCAAGCGGCGCTGGGTCTGCTGGCAGCTGGGTTTTGGCCTACCCCATGAAAGTGACACAAGAACTATGCACACAGCCAACACGTTTCCTCAGAATGGCCTTTACACACCTCAGAAATTTATAAATAACTGGATAACTTCATCCAAGTATACTGTGTGGAATTTTTGTCCCTCAAAATTTATTTGAACAATTCAGAAGGGGGACAAACTTTTATTTTATTATATATTTTGGTTCAGCTTATGACTGATACACCTACCAATCCAGTTACCAGTGGACTGGCCGGGGATGTGGCTCATTGGTGCCGCTGCCTGCCTTGCAAGCGCAAGGACCCAAGTTCGATCCCCGGTACCAAAAAAAACAAAGCAATTATCAGTGGACTTCCATTATTCTTTGCAATAACATAAAGCCATAAAGCAGGGCTATGAAGATTGGTTATGACATAACTCAGATAATGAAGTAAATGGAGCTCCTGTTTATGTTATTCGAAGTGGTGGCCTTGTAAAAACTACATCAAAATACATTTGGGTAGGGCTGGGGATTTAGCTTAGTGGTTCCAGCGCCTGCCTCGAAAGCGCAAGGTCCCGAGTTCGATCGCTGGTACCAAAAAACAAAACAAAACAAAAAATTAAAAAACATTTGGGTGGATGACATTGTTCCAATAGCCAAAGATGAAATATTCTGCCCTACAGACTTGGTGCTTCTCTCCTCAGATCCACTTGATGGTTCATGTCACATTACAACTGGTAGTTTGGAGGGAGAAACAAACCTGAAGACACAGGTGGCAGTTCCAGAAACAGCAGTATTACAGACACTTGCCAATCTGGACAGTCTTGTAGCTGATATAGAATGCCTGGAACCGGAAGCAGATTTGTACAGGTTTGTGGGAAGAATGATAATAACGCAGCAAATGGAAGAAATTGTAGGGCCTCTCGACCCACAGAATCTCTTACATCATAGAGGCAGATTAAAAAACACAAAAGAAATTTTTGATGTTGCTGTGTACACCAGAATGGAAACTAAAATGGCA